ATCCTCGGGGTCCAGGAACCCCACCCTAGGTAGAGGAGCCTTTCTTTTCCCGGATTCTCGTGACAATGTCTGCAAGACGCGCGAGCCATCAGCATAAAACGAGCGGTTTTATGAGGCGTAGCGAGTAGACGGTTTCGCGTTACATCTTCCTCAAATGCCCCGACATTGTGTTCCCGACTGCTAGAGCTCTTCTAGACGTCTCTCTCTTTCTCTTTCTCTTTCCTGTGCCTGGTCGTTCCCTCGTCTTCCAGAATCTTGCTCCCCTCGTCGCCATGGGCTTCCTCCTTGCGTTTGGCCTCTTCCTTTCCTCCCCTTTTTCGCCCCCTTTTTCGCCTCTCCTCGGACGGTCCTTTTACCTCCGTGATTTGCCGAGGAGGGCGCGGAAGGGCATCGCGACGTCCCGGCGTAAACATTTCCGAAGATCTCCCGGTTTTTATCGCCGCGCGGCTCGTAACTCCCCGAGGAAGGATGTAAAGGATGTAAGGGATGTAACTGCAGGTGTTCCGGACAACAAAGGCTTCAAGAATCGCGCGTTGGCCGCGACAGTGCGACCTTAAATGAACAATCGGACTGTTATTAAGGCGATACCGAATTATTTCAAATCTTATCAAGGTTGCAACACTCGTGAAATTTCATGGCCTAGATAAAGAAAGAAGTAATAAATTGTAAGAATTAAACTCCACGAGTGTTAGGACTTTCTTAACCCTTTGAACATGTGTAAAAAATGTCCAATTGTTTCGCCAGGAAAGGGTGTAAGGGATGTAACGACTTCAAATGAACAATGGGACTGTAATTAAGGCGATACCAAAGCGGAATATGAGGGGTTAATCCTTTATAAATACCCTGCAAGACGGGGGTATCGAATTATTTGAAATTTCACCCCAGGAATACGAACGCCTTAACTCTTTGGCTACTAAGAGCGCCTAAAGGCGCCTGACGTTTGGTCCAATATTGCCTGCACGGTCACATGAATTTCGCCCATACGTCGAAATGGCTCCGTGTTCAAAATGTTAAGGTGATGTAAATGTGGTCTCGTTTATGAGGCTTTTTACCCGAACTGGGTGTACAGAATTGTTTGAAACATTAGAAAGTGAATATGGAGGCTATAAGGAAGGTCCTGACCCTCCAGAAAATTCATCCTCCTTCGAGCTCGCAACCGCAACCATCAACGAACATTCGACCGTATCTTTCAGATGAAGAGAGTACGATCTAACCGTCTGGGCAGAAAGGAATTATCATTTAAAAAGAAAAGTCCGCCTTTCACGGGGACAAAGGAGTTGGAGGCAGACTTTGGTCGTTGGCTCTGGTCCAGCTTCGGAGTGCCCTTTTTTCGCGGAATCTTCGGCGAACAGGGGCGCTACAAAATGGCGGCGTACCTCTGGGACGAGCCGCGTTTTAACGATCACGTTTTGGTTATCGCACTCGTCGATAATCTATGCAAGCTCGATTATCGATAGGCGACCCTGTGCGCATCCCACACGGGGGAAGGAACTTCGTTAGGGCGGATACACATTGACGCGGAATTCTCAATGCGGACCCTAAATTCAGGGCGCGACCCCGACCAATGGAGATTCGATAAAAAGACGGGAACAATGAGCGGCTCCATTTCTCTAATAACAATAAATTATCCACTTCACCTTAAAACTTGATCATGGAGGTCCCAACGAAGGCCTAGAATCTCGGGAAATTTCATTTTTGTCGAAAAAAAACGTTTATCCAGGACAAGAAGCAGAAAAGAAAAAGACGTGAGCGTTCATTAGGGCCTCCATAATCACGTGTTAGTTTAAAATGGATGCCTAATCAATAAACATTGGTCCGCTGGCCTGGAAATCCAAAGAAGTCTCATGATTCACAGCCGTAGGACTCTTTCGTGCATAAATCTGCATAGAAAACGAGAAATTTAATGAAATTCCCTAGATGTACAACTTCTTCGGCGCGGAGGGCAGACAAGATGGCGGACGCGTCGCAGCGGCGCCAGGATTTACTTTGGGGGATCTCAGCCGAAATTGGACGGCTTTTCAGAAAGAAAGAAACATGATAAATAAATAAAGTGGAAAGAAGGACAGCCGGCTGGCCACGGGGGGAGGATTTCGGGGAAGAGGAGCCGGCCGTTAGAAGTTCAAGACGCGTTAGCGCGAAACTGTTTCGGCGTAATAGCCAAAGTTCCCTCCTCGGGTTTCCGGCTCTTATTATTTTATATTTCGGGTCGCGCGGCCCCTGCCGGAGATAACGGAAATTACATCTACGTTCCGCAGGGCCAGGAAACGGCCGTTAGCCGTTTCGCGGCCTGGCAAAACTTTAATTCGCAAGGAGGAACTCGATTCCGTCTAGCCGTAGCTTCCGGAACGCTTACAGGGCCCGCCATCTTGCGCCGCCACCTCGGCCGACGTTTACACCAAGGACATTATCGAATTCTATAAAGGATAGAGTTACCATTAATTATGAAAATCCATTCTAATCTGCCGAACTAGCTCAGCACCTAACCTCGGAATCATAAGATTTCCGTGGTACCGCCGAGGGCGCTCTTCATTTCTCGGGGAGCCCGTCAGAGTTCCTCAGTCTCAACGCGACACTGGACGCAGCAACACCAGAGAGCGGCTTAGAGGTTAGGAACGCCCGGATAGTAGGTTACAAGCCGGCCTTAACCAGGAATTAATATCGATAAAATGTATACGATGAGCTTAACTGTACCCTTGCAATAAAGTAACATGCTTCACTGTTTGCGATCTTTTCCTTTACATAAATTATATAAATATTATCCTAAATATTTTGACGTTTTATATATATATATATAGAATGGTTCTTCATATCCCCTTAATGCGTCTCCGATCGGAGGGTCCTCAGTTTCAACGCGACACTGGACGCAGTAACACCAGAGAGCGGCTTAGAGGTTAGGAACACCCGGATAGGAGGTTACGAGGTTTATCCCTCGGTATATGAAGGTTACAAGCCGGCCTTAACCAGGAATTAATATCGATAAAATGTATACGATGAGCTTAAATGTACCCTTGCAATAAAATAACATGCTTCACTGTTTGCGGTCCATTCCTTTAGAGGTTAGGCGAAGGCGCGAAGTGCGGTTAAAATTCGTCGGAGCCTTAACATTTCGGGGCAGTTTTTTTTAGCAAAGGGGAGCGAAAGCTCGATCTCGTTTCGTTTTGCAAAATGCAGTTCGAACCGAGAGCGAGCCGCGAGCCAAATGCAATTCGGCGAGGTGAAACCTTTTTATTTAAATTCCGCGGAATCAAGCCGATGCGTTTTTCACGTGCACCGCGGAGTTTAATGTAGCGCGGAGAACGTATATCGCGTATGGAATTAAAAGGAATAAAGCAAAATAAATAAATAAAACGGGGAAAAAGGGGAAAAAAAATACGAGGAGAGAAAGTTCCCACCACGCCCGAAATAACAAAATGGCTGCCTCCGATACTGCGACCGGAAAATGGATTCCGCACTAGAAGTGGAACACGAGGGATTTACGTGCGAACTGGAAAATGAATTCTTTCGGGCGATAATTAACGAGGGAAGTTTTTCGGCAATAAAGCATCCCGAGCCGCGCCGTGGCTGGCGCAAAAGTGCAAAACTTTCCGCTCATGATGTTAATTATTGTAACGTAATCTATGTAAAGCTCCGCGTTGGCCGTAAGTCGTAGAAACGGCCGAGCTGGTTACCGATTTGCAAGGAAAGGAAAGAAGTATCGGCAGCGTAGGCATTTAGAAAAATCTTCTTTATCGACGTCGATCAAGTTCCTCGAGGTGTTTCACTTCACCTTAAGTCATTTGACTGAAATCATCGATTTTTATCAAATCCAAACGGTTGCCCGAAGGAAAGAATCAAAGATGGCGGACTTAAAGCTACCTCCCTCTGGAAAGACGAAAAATGATGAAAAAGTGTAGACGGGATTTATTAATCCAACGACGTGACAGACGCCTTATCGGGAAATATCGTAATTTCCGTCCCTCGGAAATCAGCGACCAGAGGAAGGGCGCAAAAACCTCGCAAGCGGGAAATCGCGATCCGGGGAAAGGAGAGGGCGGCAATATAACCCCATTTTGGATTCGGGCCAAGGCGTCACCGGTTATATTATGGCCATTACGCAGGGAACTTATCCTAGACGCACGTCCCGCCATTCCATTCGGCGAGAGCTCGTTCCACGGACCGCACCAGGGCGGACGTGTCGGGAATTCTCGCGTTTGAATTTCCCGCCGAGGCGCGGCCGATCGCAGCGCCGCGGTAGTCCCGGGCATCAACACTATTTTCATAGAAACATTTTAATGTTTCGACCATGAAGTAGTACAAGGATATATAACGCCAGGATCTCAGATGTTCGTTGATCTAACGACATGTGCGGCGCTTGCGGAAAATAAGGGAACTAGCGGACGTTAACTTTTAGTTGCAAAACTTCACACAGGGGGCGTCCTACCAACGTAAATGACTTAAAATGCATTTAATCCCGCGATTAATGTACGCAAAGCTAAACGACAACCCACGGATGATACACAGAACGTGATGCTTTTAACAGCGACATAAAGACTAGCGGACGTTAACATTTAATTGCAAAATTTCACACAGGGGGCGTCCTACCAACGTAAACGACTTAAAATGCATTTAATCCCGCGATTAATGTACGCAAAGCTAAACGACAACCCACGGATGATACACAGAACGTGATGCTTTTAACAGCGACATAAAGACTAGCGGACGTTAACATTTAGTTGCAAAACTTCATCTAGGGGGCGCTCTCGGCCCTAGGTCGAAAAAAGTCTGAAGATCTTGGACCCCCTAAAGTGGCGACGCTTTCAATACATGTCATTGCATCTCCTCGTACTACGTCACGGTTTGAAGATACTTAATTTCTGCTATTATTTTATTCATTCCACAGGTTAGTACCATTTTAATCCGCCTACATTAGAGTTAACAGAACTGAAGTTGGCAACCCTGGACCACAGGAAACCACCCCGAAGAGCCGACGAAGGAAGTGACGGCGAGGAAGCCGCGTTTTACGGCAGTGGAGGGCGACGCCTTGCGGACCGGCTAACCTCAAAGTCGACCTGGACGTGCACGGCGTTCCTAACCTCCATGCAGAGTCGAGATGAAGAGCACCGTGTCGTTCGGGCGCAACTCGTACTCCCCCTGGCCCTGAAATTTATGAAACGTGCAGTCGCCGTTTGCCCTAATGTTGTACACCATTATCCCTAACCTCACACTCTCGTCGACGTCCCGAACACCAGAAACTTCAAACTCTATCCCATGATCATAAAGGCCTCAAAGAAGGTCCTAACGCCAACGGAATTTTATTTCATATAAAAAAATGTTCTAAATAACTACATATTTTTTAAAAATCGGCAGTTCACGTGTATCAGGACCTTACACCTGCACATCTTCAAGGTAGAAAGTTTGAAACGATTAGATGCACTGAATTCAACCTAGAGTTTCATAAACGAGACCTCTTTGACGCCGCTTCCACGTCGCCTTAAGGGGATGTAAAAGTGGCATCTTAGAAACTTTTCTATGAACTGGGTGTACCGATTCGTTTCAAACTCTATACCATGAACCAAAATTCCTCAAAGAAGGTCTTGACGCCCATGGAATTTAATTTCATATAAAAAAATGTTCCAAATAACTATAAATTAAAAAAAAAAAATCGGCATTTCCCGAGTGTCAGGACCTTAAAGCCTGCACATTTTCATGTCGCAAAGTTTGAAACGATTAGGTGCACTCAATTCAGCCTAAAGTTTCATAAACGAGACCTCTTTGACGCCGCTTCCACGTCGCCCTAATGGGCCCCTACTCCCAATCTGGAAGATCACCGTCGTGGCCGCCGAAAGCGAGCAATAAAACCGAGCTCCTCTTTTCTAATTTACGAGGCCGCAGAAAAGAGGGTTACCGAGAAAGCGCGAGAGGGCGAGAAGTAGCACAGAGAGGGGTAGCGAGGGATAAAGAGGCATCCGCGAAACGTCGGTATTATCATAATAATGGCGGGAGCCATCATCCTCCCCGAGGAGGGGCCTCCACCCAGGGATCCCCGTCCTAATAGCGGACCGGCTTGTACATTTACAAATTTAAAATGATAATTCCCCGGTGGGAGTGGCCCAGCCGGAGGTCGTTTGCGCCCTTTCGCCGTCCAGGGGGTGATTCCCCTATTTTTCCGACCAGGACACCTCTCCTCCTGGAGGCGCCTTCTCGTCTTCTCAGCGACCCTCTGCAAAAACTCGGCCCGATCCTCAGGAACCCGGCATTAGTCATACGTCGAGAACAGCCGCATTTCCTCGGCTCCGTAGCCATCAAACTTTCACCCTGGCCCCCCAAAGCCCCAGGTCCTGGAGACGCGCTTTAAGGCGAAGTGAAACACGTAGAGGAACTTGATCGACGTCGATAAAGACTTTTCTAAATGCCTACGTTGCCGACGTTGGTTTTTACGCAGTCGTGAAGTAAAAAATGTATTTCAATTATGTCAAGAATTTCTGAAGAAACCTCTTTCGCAAGAGGTTCGATGACGATATAATCCAATGTAGTTGAGATATACATACTATGAAATAAGTCGACAATACATACACACGTAGAAATGAAAACAGCGCTTTAGTAATAAATGGTGTTCGGCTACTGGGACGTTTTCGATCACTTGTACATTTACCTTAATGCAATGGTTTTCTCACATATATAGAGAGATCCTGCACTTTCCAAGGTACCTTTAATCGGTGAAGGAATTAAATTATTTACTCACCAACAAGTCCCAATCTGCATCGTTTACCAACACCAAAATGCCTGGACGTCTAAAAAATAAAGTTTCCCTTCCGTAGGTCTTAACTTGACGATAAGCTATAGTGTGAATAGTGTAAATTAATTCTTGACGATGCAGTCTTATTAATGATAATGCAGAAGTTATTACGATATGATAACAGGGGATGAATTAATATCGACTCGTTCCATTTCCAGTGAAACACTCGATTACTACTGGAAAATCTGGATATAGTTCGGATTTCCACCGTAATTCTCTTTTAAAGAACGCTATCTACAAGTTTACCGACTCTCCTTCGATAACCAATTAGCAAAGAAAAACTTACGATATTATTCTGCTTCTTGATAAATACTAAAGTCATTGCGAAACGAATGGATCATTGGAACTTCTTTATAAACCCTAATTGTTATAATTTCTCTTCCGCTCGATAGATAAATTCTCAACGGAGTTGTTATTCCGTTTCCCATTTTAACCATCGGAGGTTAGTCTACCTATTTTCCTATGAACCATCTGTTAGGTTGGTTGAAAACTACCAGGATAAATTTCTAGTACACGACGGAATACTAAAAACATGATCGATAATAGTCTGTAATACCAAAGGTAACTTTTTGGTCCTTAAACTGCAACGCCATCTCCCATGAGGTGTACGAACCGTTAACCCAGTGTTGCCAGCCGTACAATTATTCTAATATTAATACTATTATTTTAGTAGGAAATGGAACTGGATAACTTTATTATCAATGGGTACTTTTCTTTATATTCTTCATTTTATTCGCAAAGACTTATGCTTCGTTAAAATAGGGAACGGAATTAACCCGTTCAACTTTCGATACCAGTTCATTTTCGGTATCAGAGTTTATTCCGTGTTTAATTTCTAGGCGCCCTCCAAAATATTATAAACGAGTACTACAACTATATATATTCGACATCATAAATTATTTAATGCAATAAATTGCATTTCCTAACCTTCATAAATACAGGCAAAATTTTTCTTGAAATACTCGAACGTCTTAATTTATGCTATTATCTTCATTAAATTAGATTGTACTATTCTTTTAATCCGACTATACTAGAATAAACGGAACTAAAGGCGACAACACTGTGTTAACCAAAAAAACACGTCTAAAGACGCATACACATTTGAACGCTACCCATGTGAGGCATTCGTTCCGCCTCGCCTTGCCTCGTACGCGTTCAGATGTGTACGAACCTTGAAAAGAAACATTAACTAATATTGAAACTCACACCGTGTCACCTTGAATAAAGAGCTCCGGCCTCTCCTTCAGAAGATTGTCCTTAATCCAGAATATCAGTTTCCGCAATGTCCCTGTGACGTTGGAAAACATTTAGATATCCTCTAACGACCGAAAAGAAATACTCGACTACTTACATTTCTGAGTGCTAGGCAAATCGACCTCGTAAACTTTCTTTTTATCGACCAGAAGTTCGGCACCACCTCTACAAAGTATGAATTCACGGTTTATAAGACTTATAAAGTAAATAATGTAAGATTAAGTCATCCTAACCTGAATTCCAACGTTACATGCAACGCAGAACCGCCGGCCGACATGTCTGTTGTTAACGACTATTTATTACGAAGTTATTAAACGCTGCAGAAAGGACGACGATCGTTAATTTGATTTATTAACCTTGAAACGAAGTTCCCGCCACTTTACCGAAGAATTTAACCGACGCCATGAACGTAAGAGAGTATAGACGGCGTCTATGCCAAAGAGGAAGGGGAGACGCGCATGAACAACGGGAAGCTAGCCATCAGGGGGTCTATTACGTAAGGCAAATTGAGCGAAAATGTGAAGAATGAGTAGCTGACGGTATTACGGAACGTTTTTGGTGGTGAAAATGCGAGACCATTCATGTGAACTGGGTCGGCAGACATTTTTAAGCGAAATAGTAAAACGTACAAGAATAAAGTGCGTATCGTTTCTAAATGAGCAAAGGTTTTATTGGTCAACAAATTTCCAAGATACAATGCGCCTTTCGCAGGAGTACATTGCAAAACTTGCTGGACAAAACCTTCGAGTGTATATAAAAGGAAACCCTGACGGCCGTGTTAGTAAAACTGACCATGTCTCCATCGTACTCTAAATCCGAGATTTATCTAACTCAAGTCGTGTAAACCCGGATTAAAGTGTTGATTGAGAGCGCTATGAGATGAGTAACCACAATACGTCCAAAATCCTCGATAAATGGGGAATTACCCAACCCTGATCATATTTATCGCGACGAAGAATCATTTTCTTCAAAATCGTGCTCATGGAAAATTTTCTTCATGCCGAGAATTTGTCGTGAACATTTCCAATAATTTCCATACGTCCAAAGACCTCGACAAATGGGGAATTACCCAACCCTGATAATTATAGCAACGAAGAATCATTTTCTTCAAAATCGTGCTCGTGGAAAATTTTTTTCTCCATGCCGAGAATTTGTTGGCAGCTTTTCCGATAATTTCCATACGTTCAAAAACCTCGACAAATAGAGAATTACCCAACCCTGAAATTTATCTCTACGAAGAATCATTTTCCTCGAAATCGTGCTCGTGGAAAATTTTCTTTTCCATGCCGAGAATTTTTTGGCAGCTTTCCCAATAATTTCCATACATCCAAAACCTCGATAAATAGGGAATTACCCAACCCTGATATTCATCTCTACGAAGAATAATTTTCTTCGAAATCGTACATATATAGAAATCTGCATTTCCATGCCGAGAATCAGTCGGCAGCATTTCCGATAATTTCCATACATCCAAAAACCTCGATAAATAGAGAATTACCCAACCCTGAAATTTATCGCGACAATGAATCATTTTCTTCAAAATCGTGCTCGTGGAAAATTTTCTTCTCCATGCCGAGAATCTGTCGGCAGCATTTCCGATAATTTCGCGTCCAGTGGTTTCCATCAACGGGGATTTTGTCCGAGTCTTCCGACACGTCGAGGACGACTCTTCACCAAGTAATACACGTTATTAATTGTACAAAAGACAATCCTAGTAGCGATCGAACTTGGTGATAAAGTAGCTTTTTAGACTCGGATTAAACGTGTAGGATGATTGGTGTACTTTGTACAGTGGAATGCGTGTATGTGTGCGCCAGGTCCAAGCCCGTTAATAATAAATAATGCATAAGCAACTTTACCGCATAAAGAAGAAAGAAAAACAATCTCATAAAAAATGGAGAGCTCTCTCTCGATTTTTCTTCTTCTTAATTAAAATAGCAAAAAAAAAAAAGCGAACAATGGAGCCGTGTCTCCATCAAGAGCGAACTAACAACAGGCGGTAAACAANATACCAAAAAGTCAAAATGGTATTACATAAAATCCTATCTCAGTATTCAGGGAAATTCTTGAAACTCTAACCAGTGATAATAGAGGTCCTAATGAAGGTCTCGAAACTCGGGAAATTGAATTTTTCTAAGAGAGGTAATAAACAAAAAAATGAAGTTCTAGGAATTTTTGAGGCCTTCATTAGGAGCCCCGTGATGATACGTTGGTGTGTCCGGTTTGGGGTAAAATTTTATATTTTTATTCTTTTTATATATATTCCTAATGACCCTTTCGTACCACCTTAATGACGATGAACACTTAAACGGAGTAACTCGAGAACCCTTGCACCGATAGGGGTGACTTCCCCGAGACCGGTCCTGGGAAAACGAGCCTTAAGTTCTTCCGGTACGTTCTAGTCGGCAGTAATTCGAATTGTTTGGCTCTAGAAAAGAATTCAGAAGTCTCCATAGAAGCCCAGAAGGATACGGACGTTCCATGCTCGATAGTACGTTATCCAACGGGTGGCGGCGCTGTGATCGCTTCTTTTTTATCCCCTCTTCTGGTTTGTTAGCGAACTTTTAGCGCATCAAGCGCTGACATAGTATCTAGGCCTTCTACGGAACTTCTGAATTCTTTGGTCCTTACTCATATCTCACTTTTAGCAGCGCCTTTAAACGTTTTTTTAACTTTTAGTTAATAATCGGACCGCTAAGACGCCACACTCATGCCTCTACGTCGATCAAGTTCCTCTAGGTGTTCCACTTCACATAAACAATGCTTTAAAATACGTAATTAACGCTAAAAGTGAGATATACGTAAGGACCTTTGGCTCTACATTAGTCCAGGGTGCAATTGTAAAACGACTATACCATGTCCGTACGTAATTAACTATCCTTATACATAGTTCCTTAACCGAATACGTGCTCTCCGACTCGTAGAAATATCCCGAGGTCGACCGCACGGAGTTTATCCAAGCGTGAAACTCTACGCTAAACGTTTCCTTAACATACACCGGAAATTAGCATATCAACGGGGTATCACTTTGTTTAATTAACGCAGTACTCGACGAGCGCGTTTGGCCCACTTAACGTGCAACGTTTCACCAGGAGGGGAACGGCCCTGATGGAGATCTATCGACCGCTGGGTAATATACAAAATGGCGACCGACTTGGTCACCGACCTTCGAGTGGTTTCCACGGGCCTCGACAGCGTCCCGGTGTCGTTGTATGATTCGTGCTTCCTGACTAGTACCGTATAAGTAACGAACTGAATTCTTTGGCCTTTACCAAAAAATTCAGAAGTCTCCATAGAAGCCCAGAAGGACATTCGATGCTCGATAGTACGTTAGCCAACGGTGGCGGCGCTGTAATCATCTCTCCATCTCTCTTAATCTTACGGCGATATACAGCGAATTGTATTCTTTCTTTCTCTTACACCCACTACTCGCCTTTCTATATACGTCTTTCTTCCTTCCGTATGTGAGATATTGTTGACTAACACATCCGATCTCTCTTTTACCCCACTTCTGGTTTGTTAGTTCCAACTTTTACCGCATCAAGCGCTAACATAGGATCTGGGCTTCTATGGAACTTCTGAATTTTTTGGTATTGCACGTGCCCCGTGATATAGGCCCTGTACCGACATTCATTTCACCTTCTCCTTGGACATCCGCCCCGGGTACAGTTTTTTAGTGCCTTACATTACCCAGCACTAAAACCCCGACCACAGGTCGTCCATTGAAATTCGAATGAATTTGAAATCCCGACACCGGTACGTCGGAGTCAGTGTTGCCAACTCCAAGCCCGTGAATTATAGTACAGCCTAAATTACATTACAATTATAGTAGACCTCATAAGTTGGAATATTTTCAAAAAACGCCCGTACTAAAGAAAGGAAATAAAAATAAAAAGAAAGCCAACCGAAAATGCAGGGAATGTAATTTAACCGTTTGACTCCCAGGCGCCGTCTCCGCTCTTCAGATTTCATGTCTAAAAAAGCCAGTGCACCTGAACGCTACCTCTTTTGCATATAATTAACCCAAGTAATACATTTTCACTTATCCCGACATGAAATAAAAGGAGCTGTTCGGCTTTGTTGGGCCGTGGTTTTTGAAAAAAGCCTCTAGTACTCAAACGGTGGCGCTGCAGTCGCGTGACGTCAAGACCGGGAACCAATGAGAACGAACCACCGTCTCTGATAAGCAAGAAAAGTTCTAATTGGTCCGCTGTTCATGCGTAACAATTGCAAACTGCCTACTCAAGTTGTCATGGTATGATTCCTTGTAAAACAATAGGTATATCATTCTTAGACAAATGGATAGTACTTAGGACAAAGTAATAGTACAAAGACTACACTTATAGTACGGTTGGCAACACTGGTGCGGAGTGGCCAAGAGGATGGCCTACCACCGTGTATATTACAAATCGTAAGACGGTACCAAGACGTAGAGGGCACCTCGCGATAGGCCTCGGCAAGGACCCGCCACCCATGGCCGCATACCACCCGGGAGACCCGGGTGGGCAATTTACAAACGTCAACCGGGTGGCGCTTAACCATTCGTCCGGCATATTGTACAAGATCGAGCGACTAGGCACCGCGATAGCGTTGCGGGTTCCTGGCGATGGGTCCCTCAGGGTGGAGGGCGCCTCCAGGGCATCCAGGGAGGCCGGACCCGGTCTTCGCCAGGAGCTTACAAAGGATGGCCGGTACCGATGCGCCGTTCGTGCCTCACGACAGGCCCTGGGGCGTGAAGCAGATCTTCTCCAGCTCCCCCGTGGACGAGCTGACCGGGGACTCGGCCCTCTCGTCCTGCTCGGCGAGTTGCTCGCTGTAGTAGTGCGGGGTGCTCAGGTAATCGATCAGCCTCCGGGGCAGGGGCAACGTCGGGATCAGGTCTCTGCGCACCATCTTCAGGATGACGAACCTGCAGGTGTGCTGGAGGCTCTGGACCTGCTTGAACCTGGAGACCGGGTGCAGCAGCTGGACCCTCATCGGGCCCAGGACCGGGCGCCGGTGCAGGAAGAAGAGGTAGCGCCCGCTCCTGGAGTGCTCCACCGCGTTCTCGATGAAGTCCACGATCGTGTGGGACTTGAACTTGGTGCAGCTGCCGAAACTGAAGTTACCTGGAACGCGAGGACGCGGTTAGAAGCGGACTCCCAGGCGAGGGGCAGGCTAGGGACGGTGCTCACCCTGGTCGTGTTCTATCCTGACGTGCCGGACGCAGCTGTTCAGCCTGAACGAGAGCGAGAAGATGTAGCGGTCGTCGCTGCTGTCCCTCACGATGAACGAGCCGTCCGGCTCGTTGGACAGGATCTTCTCGGCGGCTTCCCCGGATATCGGACCCCAGTACCAGCCGTACTGCAAAGACGATTGGAACGTTAAGGCGAAGCGAAACACGTTAAGGAACTTGATCGGCGTCGGTAAAGGTTTTTCTAAGTACCTACGTTGCCGACGTTGGTTTTTATATTGAGAGCTGGGTCGAATTATATTCGGTATTGTACTAAATTGCATAATCCATGTTTCGTTCTCGTACAATAATTATAAAGAAATCGAAGTAAAACTCCAGAAATCCCCTGGATTCATGCTTTCTGGGGTCCTAATTAACTGCAGAGGGACCCCCTGCGCCATCTGTGATTTCCAGGCCAACTAAAGTTTCACTCCGAGTCCTCATATTCCCATCGTTTTAGCATAGAAGCGCATAAGACACTTTTTTTGCCTTTATCTCTTTCAAATGGGAGTTTCTCGATTACCAGAGTGTTCTAAATTATAGTACAATTGTCCTGACCCTTTCGTTCCTCATATTAGAGCCTTAAAAAAATATATATCAATCGAAATACGAGAATTTTCACCAACGATTGCAAGAGAATGCTGGCTCGTCCCGGGGCTAACGCGGGTCTTTAGAGAGAAAGTTTAGTTGCAGCCAAACGTCACAGATGGCGCCATTGGTCCTAAACAGTCGCTAAAATACGAAATCCCAAGATATCGAGTTTCACATCGATCTCTTCATCATTACTTTATCGAAACAACATATGAAACGCTTCAGTTCGTATAATTCTCAACGTAGACTGTAAAAGACTTGAACATAAATATAAATGTCGGTAACGGGACGCGCCAGCCTATGTTACCCTTGAGTATTCAAAACGGCGTCCCCACCAAAAAGGGTACATATGAATTTTAATTTATCGACGTCGATTAAATATCTTAGCGCCTTTCGTATCCCCTTAACGTCTCGTCCCCGTGCACGAGGAAGCCGAGGAACACGACTTACATCCTTGACCTTCTCTATGCTGGCGGCGAAGTCCATGCTAGTATCCTCGGCAGGGTCCTCCTCGTCCCTGGGAGGAGCAGCCGGGAGGTGCTGCACGGAGCTGGGGCTCTCAGGCTTGGCCACCATCGCCGTGAGCGCCTCCTCGGCCTGCTCCACCCTGACCTGGCCGTTGCTCTTCGGCAAGGGGGGCAAGGCCCTCTTGAAGAAGGGCATCTTCGGTGCGGAGGGGTCGCCCTCCCCGGTGGTGTTATTATTGTTCGCGTGCTGGTCGGAGTCGAGGCCCTCCTCCTCCTCGACGATCTCCCCCTGGACGATGCTGTTCCTCTTCCCGACGAAGTGGTCCGGGGAGCCGAGCCTCTTGAACCTGAATATGTTGCACAGGGTCTGCTTAAGGTTCAGGGAGAAGTTCCTCTGGCTCTTCTTCATCTTCTCCTTGTCCATGTCGACGACCTTGTCCTTGTGCTGCTCCTCCTTCGCCTTCTTGTGCTTCGCGGCCACCAGGGCGCTCTTCTTGTGCTTCCTGGCGTTGGGGTTGTTGTTATTGTTGTTGTTGTTGTGCACCAGCCCGTTGGTGGAGCTCTTGTTGGAGATGGGGGTGTCGGTGGAGGAGTCCGTGTGGGGGTTGCAGTACCTGTTGTTGTTGTTCACCACGAGGCTCTTCGACGTGGCGAGGTGCAGGGGGGTCTGCTCGGTGGGGAGCTTCTCGCGCTTGATGCGGTTCTCGCTGGAGTCGCTGGAGCTCGAGTAGAGGGTCTGCAGGTACTGCCGCACCTCGTGGAGGGTCATGTGAATGGGTTCCCCGATATTGTGGGAGTGGGCGTTGGAAGTCCTCCCGGCGTGTCGACCGGAGGTCCCCGGGACGCTGTGCCGCTTCCCGTTGGCCGCCTCGTTGCAGCAGACCTCCGCCAGGAGGCGCTGGGACTTTATCACGTGGGTGATCGCCCTGGGCTTGCCGCAGTAGTGGCGAGCCTGGTTGATGTGAGCCTCCAGCTCGCTCTGGGACCCCGCTGATGCGTTCCGCCACCGCTTCCGGGGATGGTGGCGCTGTCGCTTGGGCCTCTGAGGGGTGCGGAGCTCGTGGAAGGGCCGCACCACGTCTATCGGCACGGTGTAGATGTCCGAGTCGAAGGGGACGTTGTACATGTCGCTGATCTCGCTCGTCGTCAGGACGTCGTGGGACATCGCCGAGGTGATGAAGCTGCTGTCGTCGACCTTGTGCCCGAGGCCGGCGGTGTTGATCGAGTTGTGCGAGGAGGAGAGTCTCGAGGAAGCTAGGGAGCACCGGGAGGTCGGCCGGTTCAGGGTGTTGTAGGGGGTGATGGTGATGGTCGCGCCCTGGCACGCCGACGGGGGCGAGAGGAGGTCGCTGGTCCAGATCACCCTGGAGTTGTGCGCGTTGCAGGTCACCGTCGACGCCGGGTGCGCCAGGGGGGCTATCCTCCCCTCTGGCCAGGATATCCGGCAGGAAATTGCCAGGGCCTCCTCCACTATCGGCTGCACCAGGCCCTCGGCGAACTCCTCCAGCCATCGGGGCACTTTCCGTTCGGACGACTGCGGCGCGTAACCGAGGATCGGCGCCGTCGAGGACACCGAGTCCGGGGGAGAGGGGCTGTCCTGGAACTCCGGGGGCGGCTTTATCGCCACGTCCACCACCTCCACCTCCAGCTTCCCGTCCACGTCGTTCCACCCGGGGCCCTTCTTTAGGGTGTTGAAGTTCTCGCCGCACATCCCGTCCGAGTAGTCGAACGAGTCCTGGGACAGGGACTTGCTCTCCATGTCGCTCTCCTGCATCTGGAAGGCATATGTTAGGTCAGGGTCGCTCGTTTACCCGCTACTTACCACCAAACACGGTCATGTAACAATTATATAACCGTTACATAACATTTGGAACATGCAACGTAACACAAGATCTGTAGTACTATGTCCTCCGCAGCTATATAATATTAATTTATCCTTTGAATTACATTCGATATATATCGTGTTATTCCAGTGGCATGTAACGTAACATAAAATCTGCACTGCTATTTCCACCGCAGCTATATAATATTAATTTATCTTTTGAATAACATTCATTATATATCGTGTTATTCCAGTGTTATGTAACTATAACATAGTGGCATTAGCTCTCGGTCTGGTTCCTGAGGAGGCGTACTTCTATGGCAAGATGGGCGCGTACGGAGTCACTGGATATGGAGCCCCCAAGCCCGCTGCTGCCCAGGTCGCTCAGCGGTCCAGTGGCACTCAGCGAGCATGACGGCGGGGAGTCCATCTCGCGTACCTCAAAGTCACCGCAAGAGCAGGATTTACCGACGGCGCATCTTTTCGAGGCTCCGTACTGCTGCCTGGACATTAAATTGCATCGAAGGTATTAGAACTACCAAGAACACAGATACAACTTAAATCACAGGTATTCACTTCGACACTTGTTTAAAAGTAAAAAAAATCCTCCGCAGGTCTTCGAGGTAACCTAAGAGACTACAAAATGATTCTACATATATTCAGGATTAGATTTAAAAAATGATAGTTAAATATAAAATAAGGTAATAGGTTTCTACTTCGGGCAAGGGGCATGCCTTCGTTTAAAGCGACTCCTAAAACTTATCCCGGCATGGGTGATGTTTGCTGTGCAGATAGTAGAGCTTGTTTGACGTTTCTCTCCGATCGGAAAGTCGGTACGTACTTCTGCTAGGTTATTCGGGGCCATTCCTCGTCCTGTGGGTTGCCGTCGAGGGGAGAGCGCGCCGGAGAGCCGTTCATCGTTGTAGCATCACCGAGGCGAGCACTGCCAATCAATATTCAACGAACAACGTAAGATCCTCACATTTCACCCTGCTCCATGTTGGTCCGGTTTCGCCGTTCCTCACTATCCTCCATAGACAAGAGCCAGAATTGCCAACTAAACCCGTGAATTATATTCAGTAGGGCCAGCATTATAATATAACTACGATCATAGTGAACCTTGGCCTTTACTACGTATGTTTGACGAGAACGCTCACTTCTCGCACTTTCATCTCACGTGGGTTCATTCCCCGAATTACGTATTCGATATATGAAAGAACGAGATCATTAGCACTTCCGGTCTAGTAATATTGCCAAATAAAAGGCGTTTATTACGTATTTTTGACGAGAGAGCTCCCTTCTCGCACTTTCATCTCACGTGGATTTATTCCCCGAATTACGTATTCGATACATGAAAGAACGAGATCACTATTAATTATTACCTTCTCGAATACGATTGTTGCCAAAAATCAAAACACCCAGGAGGTTTTCCATTTTGAATTTCGGAGTCACAATCCGTGGAAGATGGCGTTCACGTCGGTTATTTTTCTATCTTTTCTTGTATGCTTCACCATTTCGCTTAAAAATTTGTGTCGAGCCAGTTCATACGAATGGTCTCGCATTTTCACCACCAAAAACATTCCGTAATACCGTGAGCTCCTCATTTTTCACATTTTCGCTCAATTTGCTTTACGTAATAGACTCCTAGGAGGCCGAAAAATTGGCTGACCAATATGGCCGCACCCTTACAACGTGCAGGCTTCCTCCCTGGTTAAGTTTGATATGTGATAATATTGACGTTGTGTTTTTAATCATGTCTACCAACAGGACTTTCAGTCCATATGGGATTCTAAGTTTGTCGATTTCGTTTCTTAGCGCGGTAGGTTCTACGTTGTCGTAGGCTTAGGTTACGTAATAGACCTTTTATCTCGATACGAATGTATATCAGTTTCTTCCGAGACGCCACCAGGTGGCAGCAGCGTCTTATAGCTAGGAAAATCGATGAATAGACAATCTTTGTGTAATGGCTTTTGTTATCAGTTCAGTCTGCCAACAGTTATTGCTATTTAGTATTGAGAAAATGGTTCGCTCTCTATCGTGTGAAATAGTTTATCCCATGTGACGGAACTGTAAGAACGAAGCCGAAGTAAATGACTTAAAAGTCAGGGTAAAACGGAATAGAGAGATCCGAGTGTTAAGATCCTCACGGTATAACCTCTCTACTGATATCTGATGCCTTGGTATTGACGCTTAACTTCAAGAATCTAGTTAATATATAATTTTTATTTCAATTGCATTATCCACTATCACTGTAATGTACCAGTCGTATGTATATAGTCCCTGAGTTAGAGGAGAATTGTGTAACGTAATTGAAAGAAAAAGAAAAAGAAAAATGTCCGGTACTAAAAGTCTACAATTGGGCGATAGTAAATCAGTAGGCGAGGTTGTCAATGGGTTTCAGACCTGCAAGGATCTTAGCGACGCCGTACCTCTATGTCCATCGAAGGGTCTTTACTTGAAACCGAGCGCTAAAGTTAACGTTTCGATTAGTCTCCCTCGGCTCAAGACTCCAGGTAAAGAACCTAATTTCATCGCCGAAATGAAACGTTCGTTTTATATGTTAGATTAATCGAGTGTGCAAGACAAAGACCAAGACCGCCATAATCTTGGTCTCGGTCTTGCATTTTATTTTTTAAACAAGCGCTATTCACTCGCCGCCTTGCCGAGCACCTTTTTAGGGAGTCGCCCCGAGTCGACGTCGATCAAAGGACCCGGGGATCCCGATCGATCGTGTACATATCCAGCTAAATAAAAAATGAAGGAATGAGGAGTTTACAGGTTAATGTAGGTTCCTCGAGGAGAGCGAGGAACTCGACGGGGACTCGTCGGAGGATGGCTCTCCGGCGAATGTCGTGTCTCACCGGCGTATTGATACGGTATGAACAGGGAAGACGATCTCGACATGGGAGGTGATGGAGAAGGTGCGTGCGCTGGTGCTGCCGGAGGAGTTTGGCTCCCTGAAGGTGGCGAAGAGCACCTTGGAGACGATCCGCCTAGAAGGAGAGCTTCGAGACCGATGTCGACTGGATCGAGTGCTGGCACGATTACAGGGCCAGCAGTTATCCTTACCAGGATTTTCAAAGGCCCTGAAGGTACGCGTCGCCGAAGCAAAGGACGAGTTCCCGACAAGGCATTCCTGGGACTCGTACTTCCGGGATGCCCGACACATGAACGAGCTGAAACCTGGAGAAAGACCCGACACTGTCCACGTGTGTGGTCTGCCGACTGAATGGTTCTCCGATGAGTCGTGCAAGCCAAGTGAAGCTGCCCTGGCCCCGGTCTTCGCCAAGTGGGGTCGACTCCGCAGGGTGGACGTGCCTGCCGCAGATCCCTACAGGTCCAGAATGCGACTAGGTCCTAATATCCCCAAGTTCAGCTATGACGAGGGCCTCTTCTTCGATGCCTATGTGCAGTACGTGGAGTACGTCGACTTCGTCAGGGCTATGGATGCTCTTAGAGGAATGAAGCTGCTGAAGAAGGAGCCGGGCGGATATCTCACAGCCTCCCTCAAGGTATCTTCGACCCTTTTCCATTATCTCGAGGAGTTTAGCACGCTTCGATTTGGGTTTTTTTGTTTCTAGGTAGACTTCGACAAGACGAAGCACATGAGTGATGCTTCCGTCTCTCATAGGGAGTTTGAAAGGAAGCGGTTAATTGCTCAGGATAGCTTGGCTGCGGAGAAACTGAGGAAGAACGAGCAGGTTGAGCTGGAGAAGAAGGAAGAACGGAGGTTTGTGTTTGAATCGACAGTTAGAGGCGGAGGGTGTGCGAAAGCTTCGTTAAACTCCTATGTCTGGTGTCCAGTGATTTTTTTCAACCGCGTGTGAAGCTAGATTAACGATCGAATGATCTTCCGTCGCAGAAAGAAAGAGGAAGCTAACCTAACAGCCAAGGAGTCTCGCCGTCGGAAAAGAGAGGAGAAACGTAAACGCAAAGCCCTTACGATATTTCGCAAACAGGAAGAAGACAAAGTGTCTTTGAAGATCGCCAGGGAAGAACGGAAGTTGATCAAAGCTCAGAGACAGCTCGAGAGCATCAGGTTGTTGGACTCGTTGTTCGACAGATTAAAGGTTAGGATCCCGGAAGAGAAAAAGAAAAGCTGAATCGGGTTTAAATAATCATTGCGACTACAAGAATGTCTTCAATCGATTAGGTCAAAGTGGAGAAGAAGGAACTGGAAGTCGAGCAGAAGCCAGATCCAGTTTCTAAAGACAGTGGGAAACGATCGACAGCTCCCTCGGAGAAGATCCAAAATTCCGAGGGACCTAATGGCGAGAAGAAGCAAGTCAAAGGGAAAGGGATAAAAAAGAAAAGACTGAAGAAGGAGAAGAAAAAGCAGGTTTGTTTAGAAAATCCTTTCCGTAAAGATTCATCGATGTTCCTAAGCTTTCGATCGACTTCCATCCTTCGTCTCGTTGCAGAAGAAAAGAAAGAAAGGCGATCCCACGGAAACGGATGCCAGCTTAGATTCGGCAAGTGAGGAGAAGACGAAGAAAAAATTAAAAAGCGTCCTGACGATGGGGGGGATAAATTCGACGTCGGTTACAGGTATATATTTCTTAAGAAAATGTGTGCGATGAATAGTTCGAAAGGGCTAAGAACTGTTATTAATTCTTATATTGTTCTTTTTGTACAGAGGATGGCGCACCAGGAGACTCGGTGTCATCCTACCTGGGGATGTATCCCCGTATTCCTCAAGCCTGGTATTACGATGCATCGATGCCAATGCTTTACCCTCCGATGTCGAGAGGGCTTTACAGAGGTCACCGATTCCCTTGCAGGATCAGAGGTCAGTTCTCGTGGCGAGGGAACCGGTCGTTTCGTAACCTGAACTCTAGGTTGAACGAACAATATTATAAGTATTTTGCTAGTCTGACGGGCCAGAAGTATCATGAAAGTGACTACGAGAAGACCTCTAAGTCACGGTCCAGGAGTCGAGAGAAATCGAGATCATCTACAAGGTCCAGATCGCGGTCAAGATCCAAGTCCAGGTCCAGGACGAGGACGAGGTCCAGGTCCAGATCGCGTGGGAGGAGACGTAGCATAAGCAGAACCTCTCGTTCCAGAAGAAGATCTAGATCGACGACCTCTTCGAGGTCTAGGTCTAAATCCAGGTCCAGGTCGAGGACTTACAGGTCGAGGAGGAAAAGACGAACTAGGTCTGGCACTGGATCGAGAAATGGATCTAGGAGGAATCGTGGGTACAAGAGGAGGTCCTCCTCGAAGGTGAAAGTGACCCGGGCGAGGTCCTGCACTGCTTCCTCGAAAAGGAAGTCTCGAAGTGGCACTCCGGTGGGCTCCAAGGCGTCCAATGAAGCTGCGAAGAGTGTAGATTCCTCGGGGAAGGTGGAGGATAAAGGGAACGACTCGCAGAGGGGAAGGAAGGAAAGAGAGGATGAGAGTAAAGGACGAGCCGGCTCCTCGGCTCAGGGTGACAAAGGTGTCTCAGCTGTTCTGCCTTAGGGCAAGGCCCCGGATCTGTTACGATGTTCATGGAAGGCAGTATAAGACTTTTTTCTTCGTAATTGTAAGGGTATTTAATAAATTTTATCTCTAAGTCCAGCTTACCGTGGCGCCAATGATTATTAGTCGAGTTACAACTGTCGAGGACTCGAGTAGGTTGCAAACTACTTCGAGGATCAGGAATTGCCAATGAGTGGGTTCGCTAGACATGCTCGTCTAATTAAACGTACTCATTGGTATTATTCAATGATTTGCTTTATCGCACTGATTATTTTACAGTTTATGCAAAATCCAAGGTGTAGATTCCCTCTGCTACTCCCTGGGAATTATTTGAAATCTGAATTTATTACTTACAAATGAAACGATACACTATGATTTTTATTCCGAATAGTATTGCTGATACATTTTATAACTATTTTGAGGTTATACATCCATACACTGCTCTTCACCGATGATTTCCTCTAACCTACTGCCCTCTCCATTCGCGCCGTAATTTAATACACGTTTAAACATATTTAAGAAATTCTCTAAACAATCATTTACCAAAAACCAGGTTAAGCGCCTTAGGGACACTCCACAATAACATTGAAATAATTTTCATTAATTGTTTTCCTTCACAAGCATTTATTTTCTTTAGGAAATCCATTCTACATCTTGGGCGATTCAAATTCCTCGCCGCTCCCGGCACTAGTACGCCGCGCGGCTGCAGAGGGCAGTAGGTCCGCGAGGAACCATCGATGAGCCAGTATATATATATATGTGTGTGTGTGTATATATATAAGCGCTATAAGCCGAAGGTTAGAGCAGTAGCGCGGAGAGCGGGAACGAGAGAGGGCAGTAACGGTAGCGGGAAGCGGTGGGTTCGCGGCGGCGCCGCCAGGCGGCGCGTCGGTCGCGGCGGCGTGGTGATGTGTCGCCCCGCGTGTCGGGGGCCGCTTCGGGTACGGCCACATCACCGCCACCAGCCCACGGGATGAAAGTGGTCGGCAGTGGCCGCGTGTAGGTCGCGCTCGCAGTCGCGCCGCTTACGAGGGATACACGACGCCGTCAGGTCGGTGCGCCCTGGTGGAAGGTTAAGCTTTTACGGCTGACATGCGACATTGATCCCCGGCGACGTCCTAGAGTGCGTATGCATGCTCGCTGAGATAAGTCGAGCCCTTTGACTTGGTTGGCCATTTATTTTTCTCACTCTTACCTCTTATCTGCCTAACCCCTGACGAGATACTCGTCTCGAGGAGTTACATCATGACCACGCCGCAGGTGCAGATGCACAGGGGGACCGTCAAGGAGGTACGTAAATATCTTAAACCGATTACTGGGACTCTGGTTAACCTTTTAGACGCCGTTTAGGGTAGGCGATTAAGAGCTTTCAACGTATTCCTCGAGGGAGGGAAACCGGTCGAGGCGCTGAGCCGAAGCCTACTCCGTCTTCCGTCCAGCCACGTTTTAAGGTGATACGAAAGTGGCATCTGTGAGGTGTTTAGCGGTTATCAAAGTATTACCAGAAATGAGGCTACGAGGGAGGTCCTGGTGGAAATGAAATTTATTATTTAGAAGTGCATGCGTGGTCGCCACATGTTGCAGCTTATCTTTCCTTATTTATGCGTTATTTCAATGGAAACGATTACAATGATATGACGTTGGACCTTTCGTATCACCTTAACGGAGGAAATGGAATACCAACAAGAACGTTTATTGAAATTGTCTTGGTATCTTGGTGATAAATGTAAATAGCAACTTTAAATATGAAATAATGTGCTTCACTTTTCGCTTCGCCTTTATTTGCAGTACTGTAGTGAACGATCGCTACAGAAATTTGTTAAATGTTTATTAACAAAATTGAAAGGAATGAAATTCCACGGGTGGTAAAACCTTCTACCTAACCTTATCATCTAATAGGAAATACATATTCATGTGGTAGAATTTTGAACAATTCGGTATATTCAGTTTGAGGTTAAGATTTGTAAATGAAATATTTCGGATGCCACTTTTATATCGGCTTAACTAGTTTTAAACTTCTTGCGTAGATTTGTTTTCTTTTAAGGTTAAGGTTGGTCGCCTTGTTCTACTTTGAGTGTCCATCGTGATACTCATGGTCTCGTTTCGACACTGAAACTCCAGTTATGCCGACGCAGGGAATTATTGGGCTTTGAAATTTTTCAGCGAATCGGTGGAACATTATTGTTTTCAGATCTACCACTAAATGTCAGAGTCTGTCTCTAGTAATTGATTTTGGAAACATTCTATGGCAATGCGCTGTAGCGATGGACGTTAATATTTGTGTTTCGCATTTCCAGGTATTTTCAGGAGATCAAGTTGTTGTTCGGGCTCGCCTGCAGGTCGGTGGCCCACCACCTGAAAAGCATGTAATTCTCTCCAACGTAATAGCTCCTAAATTAGCTCGCAAAGTCGCAGGGAGGTAAGTAAACGTCAAATGAGAAATCATCGTCAGATTTCTATCAAACGTACCAATCATGTCTCGTACTGTCACAAATTCCAGCTTGAACGAACAAAAGGATGAACCGTATGCTTGGGAAGCCAGGGAATATTTACGAAAGAAACTAATCGGTCAACACGTGACATTTACCTTGGAAAAGTCGACTAACAATAACAAATGGTACGGAGTTATATATTTGCCAAAAGGTACGTGCTTCTACTGTCAGTTAGCAAAGCAAGTAAATATGAACTTGTCGGTAATTCTAGTTTGATTTTCAGATGGCAATAACAAGGAGAACATAACCGAGTCCCTGGTATCGGAGGGATTGGTCTCGGTGAAGAGGGATGGCATTAGGAACCCGAGTCCAGAGTTGATAAAACTCCAGGAACTCGAAGATGCCGCGAAAACTGCTGGGAAGGGGAAGTGGTCCAACTCCCCAGCATCGAATCACATTCGCAGCATCACCTGGACCATCGAGAACCATCAAGCACTTGTCGACAAACTGGGTCGAAAGCCTGTCAAAGCCATCATCGAGAGGGTCCTCGACGGGTCGACCGTTCGTGCTTTCCTGCTTCCAGAATTCTACAACGTCACCCTTATGATATCCGGAATTCGATGTCCGCATCTAAAACGAGAAGGACATTCTGACCCTTCGGAGCCCTACGCAGAGGAGGCTCAGTACTTTGTTGAGATCCGACTCCTACAACGAGACGTCGAGATCGTCCTGGAGTCCGTCAGCAACAACAACTTCATCGGGAGCATCATTCATCCAAAAGGTAGCTCGATTAGTTTAAGGTGAAAGTGAAACACGTAGAGGAACTTGATCGACGTCGATAAAGGAGATTATTATAAATGCCTACGTTACCGACGTTGGTTTATACTTCTAATATATAATTAAAAAAAATAAAGACGAGAGATTTACCAGGGGATTAATTTAACAGGGAACATCGCGGAGGCGCTGCTTCACGAGGGATTCGCGGAGTGCGTCCCTTGGTCGATGAACCACGTCAGGTCGGGTGCCGAGAAGCTCTACCAGGCGCAGAAGTCCGCCCAGGAGAAGGGCCTGAGAAGGTGGAAGGACTACGTCCCCTCGAGTCCTCACGCCGACTTCAGCGGCACCGTCGTGGAAATCGCGAGCGCCGATTCCCTGATCGTCAGGACGAACGCCGGCGAGACGAAGAAGGTCTTCCTGAGCAGCATCCGGCCCCCACGGGAGAGGAAACCGGAGCCTGGAGAAGATGGGAAGCCCGTTCCTCGACCTAAGGACTTCAGACCTCTCTACGACATCCCCTGGATGTTCGAAGCTCGGGAGTTCCTCCGGAAGAAGCTCATCAGGAAGCCCGTCCGCGTGACCGTGGACTACATCCAACCGGCAAGGGACAACTTCCCCGAGAAATTGTGCTGCACCGTCACCTCGGGGAAAGTGTGAGTAGTACCAGCAAAGAATTCAGAAGTCTTCATGGAAAAGAGAAGGATACGGACGTTCGATGCTCGATAGTACGTTAGCCAACGGGTGGCGGCGCTGTGATCATCTCTCTATCTCTCTTAATCTTATGGCGATATACAGCGAATTGTTTCATACTTTGGCGTTTAGCAAAGAATTCAGAAATCTCCTTAGAAGTCTAGAAGGACGTTCGATGCTCGATAGTACGTTAGCCAACGGGTGGCGGCGCTGTAATCATCTCTCCATCTCTCTTAATCTTATGGCGATATACAGCGAATTGTATTCTTTCTTTATCTTACACCCACTACTCGGCGTTCTATATGCGTCTCTTTTCCTCCCGTACGTGAGATATCGTTCACTAACACATGCGATCTCTCTTTTACCTCACTTCTGGCTTGTTAGTTCCAACTTTTACCGCATCAAGCGCTAACATTGCATCAGGGCTTCTATGAGACTTCTGAATCCTTTAGTACCAGGTCCCGAGGCTAGAGGGCGTCTATGAGCGACCTAACGTCTTAAATCCTAACATTTCAGGAACATCGCCGAGGCGATGGTGTCGAAGGGCCTGGCGACGGTGGTGCGCTACCGTCAGAACGACGACCAGAGGTCCTCGCACTACAGCGAGCTCCTGGCAGCGGAGAACAAGGCCGAGAAGTCCCAGCATGGAGTACACGCGAGGAAAGACGTGCCAACGCACCGGATACCGGACCTCTCCCTAGACCCTGCCAAGGCGAAGAACCACCAGGCCGCCCTGAAGCGGGCCCGGGGCACCAAGGCCATCGTCGAGTTCGTAATGAGCGGTTCCAGGTTGAAGCTCTTCGTCCCGAAGGAGTCCTGCCTGATCACCTTCCTCCTGGCCGGCGTGAAGGCGCCTCGCGGCCCTAGACCTGCACCAGGGGGCCAGGGTGCTCTCCTGGAGGGCGAGCCCTACGGGGAGGAGGCTCTCGCATTCACCAGGGAGCACTGCTTGCAGCGCGACGTAGAGATCCAGGTCGAGGGCATGGACGCGAGGGGGGCGAACTTCATCGGGTGGCTCTTTGTAGATGGCGTTAACATCTCCGTCGCCCTCGTGGAGGAGGGCTTGGCAGAGGTTCCTGGCTTCACAGAACAGGGGGAGTACTACAAGACCCTTAAGGCCGCCGAGGAGCGCGCCAGGGTCAGGAAGCTTAACGTGAGTTCAGGATGATCCTGGTAGGTTGTCTTTCTTTATCCTTTGGTCTAACTTGGTGTCCTGGGCTTCAGATTTGGAAGGACCGCGTCCCGGTCGAGCCGGAGGTCGAGAAGGTCGAGGAGGAGAGGCAGGTCGTCGAGAGGAAGATCGACTACCAGGAGGTCGTCGTCTCGGAGATCGGGGAGAACCTTCACTTCTATGCCCAGAGCGTCGGCCAGCGGGGCATGCTCGAGAGCCTGCAGTCCAGGTTGAGGCAGGAACTGGGGAACAATCCTCCTCTTCCTGGGGCTTATGTACCCAAACGCGGCGACCTCGCCGTCGCCAAGTTCGTCGACGACCAGTGGTACCGGGCCAAGGTCGAGAGGGTCGCCAAGAACAACGTCAGCGTCTTCTACGTAGACTATGGCAACAGGGAGATCGTCGACGCGGGCAGGGTCGCTGCTTTACCGACCGGGTTCGCCGCCGATAAACCTTTTGCCAGTGAATACGTCCTGGCGTGTGTTTCTCTTCACACGGATGTAAGTCCTCTTCTTGGTGAAGGTCTATACCTACTGATTACTTATATCATTTTATATTTTATATTAATATCATTTTTTATACAATTTATCTCATCGTCCGATTCAGTTAAGATGATGTAATAGGGTCATTATATCTCGTCATAGTATTGTTAAAATTTTTCTTCGCACTTCAGCGTGTGATTATGGAGGCCTTAAAGATAAACGCGATGCTCGTGAAATTTCATTTTTTATTATAAATATATGTAATATATAAAAATGTTGCTAATCTCTGTCTTAATTAATAAACAGAACGACGACAAGAAATTGGCGACCGAGATGTTGCAGCGGGATGTCGAGGATAGGACTCTCTTGCTGAACGTCGAGTACAAGGTTAACAATATCCCTGCGGCCACTCTCGTCGACGCGTCGACGAAAGAAGATATTGCCAAGGGTCTCGTTCTGGATGGCTATCTCATCGTAGCACATATCCGGGACAGAAAGTTGGAGAAACTGGTACGTTAATGTATCGCTCTAAGTAGTTATGACGTCTTAAGAGCGCTAAGAAATTTAATCGACGTCGGCAACGTAGGCATTTAGAAGAATCTCCGTTATCGACGTCGATCAAGTTCCTCTAGGCGTTTCACTTCGCCTTAATTTTCCCTAGAATAATCGGTAATTGTGTGTTTAATTTCTTTATTGTTTCCCAGGTGAAGGAGTACCAAGAGGCGGAAGAAGATGCGAAAAATAATCATCGCAACATTTGGCGATACGGCGACATCAGAGAGGACACTGCTAAGGAATTTGGCATCGGTCCCTGATGGACCCTATCTTGTCATCGGGGCCCTATTTTAATCATATTCTGTTTCCGCTACGAATTAATTTAGTATACAAACACTCGGGACGATTATTTTAATAAAGAAATATTCGTGCGCAATGTTTAAGGGTCAACTTAAACGTTGGCGGGTTAAATTAACGGAATATTCGGGATATTTTATACGAGGGATAGGAGGGAGCCAACGATGAGATAAATCCTTGAGAGAAGAATCACTAGGACCTTTGTACTCGATTTTAGTAACTAGGAATCACTTTTAAAGCCGAGGCATGTCCTCTATAATTCTCTAATTGTTGCGCTCGGAGTTTCTTTTTTTTTTTTTGGTTCCTTTTCGGTATTATTGTCGGTTAGTTTCAAATCATTGTGTTTAAGGAACTGGTCCTTTTTCCCCTATGGGACTAGTTTCTTTTACGCGGAGGGATTTGATGGCTTTCTAGGGTTATTTTCTCTAGACGTTTCATTTGATAGGAAAAGAGGGACGCTGCGAAGGTCTACTGGAGTTTAACATCACTAAATCGTGAGGAAAATTGTAACATTTGTCTGAGTAGTTGTACTGCCTTTTTGCATTATTCAGTTTAAACCGAACTGTTGTAAATACACGTTAAATATTTGTTCTCTTAAGGAGCTTCGGTAAGATTATCTCTCTTCACTTCCTTGCGGTAGTTTAGAAGCAACAATTTTACTCGACATACCATTGTGGATTGTTGTTTCTTTCCTTTGTTTAATTATTCCCGAAAAGGAAACGAATAATCACCTCGATGTAGGTTACGCTTCAAGGTAAGGACAAAGTTTAGCGAGACGTTTTACTGTCGGAGGTATAAGACCAATTATAATTGTATTAAATATTACAGAATGTACGGAAGAAAAGGAAGAAAGAAAGAGAAAAAGAGAAACCGGCGAATGGAATGGTCAGTACTCGATGTCGAGGTCTTGTACTGGCTACGCTCCACCGTCCTTTTTTATGTTTTTAATAAACATCGACGGCTGTTTCTATACAGGCTGCTCATAAATCTGATAACACCTGTAAATAATAATTTCATAGATAAGAATTCAATGACTTAGAGAGATAGAATGTAATATCTTAATGCCATTTGTGATCGTTGGACTCTTACGTCATTGTGATCGATGTCCATCCCTTCGATGGGTGGGGCGTCGGGTGTTTCTTTTATTTCTTTTCTTTCGTTTGGCTTCTTTTCCTCGACTCTGAACAGAAAGTAACAAACTATTATGCCTGATTAGTGGTAAATTGGAATAGAAAAGGAAGGTGATCGTTACATTTTAGAGTCAGATTCCTCGTCGGACATGAAGAGAGTTCTGATTTTTTCCAGGACAGGCTCGCTCTTCTTTTTAATGTCATCGGATAACGTATGGAACTTTTGTAAATTGGGATCGACTTGTGGTAGTGCTTTATCTGGATTCAATGCTCTGTGGGAGAGTACGTTCCAAAAATGTTGTACTTTTAAAAGAGGCAGCGAACCAGGCTCGTAGGTTATGTTTTTGTCTTCCGATATCCTGGTGGAAACATTAGGTTATATACACTGCGATGCATTTTTTTTAGGTTAATTTATCCCTTACTCCGAATCAGAAATCATCATTGCTTGTATTAAATCATCAAGAGCTTCGTCTTGTTCCTGGGAAATTCGGTTTGCGTAAGACTTTGTAGGCTTGGGTCGAACTATCCGTTGATTCTTCGCAAACCCCAGTTGGATGTGAATAAAACACTAAGCACTCGATGTAACGATTAGGACATGTGTATGCTTGCGTTTATATTTTTAAAAACAAATTATTGGAAACACGTACCCACGGTTTATTAGACTCCATGTGTGGTATTAACACTCCCATTTTTGGTCCACTATTCTTGCGGTATATCTTTCGTACTATCGCAACCATTTCCTTTTTGATCATCGCTCGTAGCAGGGAATAAAATGGTTTTTTAGCTCGCTGTCGCATAATAACATTGTTAAGGAAAGTTTGTTAAGTATTAAAGTCATAAATTACTGAAATGATCACTAATATTGTACGGGGAAAGGTTTGTTACCTCGGAAGCAGGTAATATGATGTGCGTTCCACGTCCAGACATGTTTCCGATGTTTACATTCTTCTTTCGAGTGAAAGCAAATAACGACAGACACTTCTCACCAGTTTCGTACTTCATTTCGTTCTCATCTTCTACTATAAATTGAAATCTTAGACCGACGTAGGATGTCTTAGTTGCGAAATGTTTCAAACTTACAGGAAAGGGGGACGTACTGTCCTCCGTACTTGTAGCCATATATGATAGACTCATTGTCGTAAACCTCTCGATTTTTATTAATGTATTCATACCTCTTTGACACCATAAACTTTTGATTTTGCTTATCGATACACATCTTTTTCCAAGATGGGGTTATGAAGTTGTTCGTTATCTGCACAGAAATATTATTTTAGAGCTGCGAGTCACATATAAGAGCTTTCGAAAGAGTATTTACTTTGACGTATGAGGTGGTCGGTATTTTCATTCCAGCTAGGTCCAGCATACATCGCCAGGGCATGTGTTTGTGTTTCGGTTTCAACATGAAGCGTACGCTGGAAAGTGCTTCTTCGAGAGTCATAAATTTACCCGAGCTCTGAAAAATACCGTTGTATTTAAAATGGAAACGTCTTGTTACGAAAGTAATTTTCAAAATCATTCTGCTTGCGAGCAAAGAACCTAGTACCTTATCGCAGACTTCTTTGATAATCTCTTCGCTTGGATTGAGATCCCGATTAGAGTCTTCATTTATGTCTTTTTCCCCACTGAGGTAAAATGACGGTAATTATATAAAATGATCTTATATCGGTGAAGGTAACGAGCAGAATAACCTACACGACTATCAGATGAGCTCCACTTCGTTGAACCTCCTCGACGACGTCGCTTGCGTTAAATTGTTCGATGACATTCGGATCCTCTTGGAAATTATTTACCAAAATCAAATAGCATGGATCCTTGACGCTGGAAAAGGAGTTAAATCTCTCGTACACATCGTACCGTACTTTTAACGTAACACTTATTTTAAACGCTGTAACTTACACGTTCTCGTTCTTGATATATTCGAGTCCAACATAAATGGCCTCTACCCACGTAGAAGTTTCATTGTTCCGTTCGAGACTCGATACCTGTTTAACATTCTCCCAAGTAGGGACTCGTACTGGATATTCGACGATGTTATCAAATTGCAGAGCATTGTCCGTCTCATCGGCCCCAAAGATTATGAGACCTACTTCATCGTTAGGCCGGAAAAATATCTGAATGGAAGGATCGAACACAGTAAAGTGTATTCCATTGAGATATGAAATCGACAAAAAGTACGCATGACATAGTAAAGTATTACCTTCCTTTCTATCAAGCGCTTTACAAATTGCTTGGAATCGTTAAGGAATTGTGAATTGTCTTGAGACTGGCTACGCCGGTCATTGCCAACATTCATAACAACGATGAGAATTTCCTGCGAAGAAATTTTCTCATCACGTATCGACTTGTATTAAGATTAATTAATGTATTATTATTATTCCCACCTTTTTCTTCCTTGGTGGCATGGTGATATTGGAAGATTAATAATTTTATATCTGTATCTGTTTCAAATCTCGACTTTATTATTGCTGATTACTTTGTGTCCAGTCATTGAAACATATACAAAGTGTATTTGGCGTGAAACTCTACCGAGTTTCCGGATTTAAGTGCGATAGAGACAAGGGGCTCGATTCTGTAACTTGAATCTGGTGACAATTCTAAAAGTGAACATCTCCCGCGATTCCGTAAGATTAACTATGGTAGAAATGTGAGATACTTCGCGTGACAACTCGACCAGGGCGTTTATTACGTACTTTTTACGAGAGCGCTCACTTTTCGCACTTTCATCTCACCTGGGTTTATTCGCAGAATTACGTATTCGCTATATGAAATAGAGGTGAGTTATATAAGACGTGATTAATGGTACGAACAAACCTCACGTCTTAATCGAATTACTAAATACGCAGCTCGATCCTGAGCGTTTCTATCGACACTTAAATCCGGATTTACAGAATTTGGACTCGATAAATCCCGGATTAAGAATGCGATGAAGGCATGGTTAATGCTTCTATGTAGTGAGAGGGGGTATCGCGTTTATTATATGTCAGTGGTTACAACTACAAACATGAGACCCCCCGTCGTCCCTGACCACTGGATTTAGCTGGACTGAGCTGGACCGCATCAGCTGGTATCAGCTGGATGTGTTTTGCTTTGGCACATCAAATCTGCGCAATTTTCGAGGTCTCCACGTCCTAGATGGCTTGTGGTCTTCTCTTCTGGCGACAAGGTATCGCTTTTCCTTTCTCGATAATGGATCGCTGATTTTTTCCACGTAGCTCTAATGAAGTTCCCTGTAAATAGACCCACTCGCGTTGCGCAGCACCAGGATCGAATCTCGACATTAAATCGAGGCCTTCACCTACTGCTGCGAAGGACAACTGTTTCGCTGCGACCAGGTCCTAAATGTGAGACTCCTTCGATTTGTCGAAGCCAGATTTACAGGTGACCGTTCTGTATCTATCTCATGACGTTCGATACCAATAATGTTCTACTGTCCTTTTTAATTCTTTGCGATAGGTTCGGAAGCACGAAACGATGCCTTCGTAGGCGATGGTCGGTCGACATTCAAATCGATACCAATCGAGGGTCTATTTGATATTATAATGCTTGTAAAATGTGCCGCAATGTTCATTACAATAATGTTTTGCCTTTTTTAATTCCTTGTGATAGGTTCCGAAGCACGAAATGATGCCTCAAGTCGATTTCATCGAGGAGGAAGGTCAGTCGACACTGAAGTTGGTACCAATCAAGGGTCTAGCTGACGTAAAAGTAATGCTTGCAAAATGTTTTTAATGCAGAGGTGGTCGACGTAACCGAACGAGTCAAGAAAATGTGTTCGGATGGGAAAGTATGCGTCGCAACTTCTATGCCAGGAGTTTTAGATACCGGTCCGCCGGCATGGTTCAAGGATTACATGGAAACGGTAATATTAATAGGAAGAAAGAATTGCATAGAAATTATCAGGCTTCATTTTAAAGTATCAAACGTAGGATGTAATTTTCACCGATAAGATTATTTGATTCGATAGAAATTAAGCACGATCTCCAATTACTTTGCAGTTCAAAAAGGATATCATGAGTGAGGTTACCAAAAAAATAGCAACTGTCCTGACGGAGACATTGAACAAGTCTCGGTTACCCTTGGCTTGCACAAACTGGGAGTACAGCAGGTATCCTAGCCATTCGGATTTTGAGGAGAACTACCAAAGTAGGAAGAAGAAAAAGGTGAAAAAGAAGGGCGTCGTCGCCAAGGAGGAAGAGTCGATGAATTCCAAGAAGTTAAAACGAATTGCCCAAAAATCAAGGTTGCGTTCCGAGAAGAAGAAGTGGCGTCGAGACCTTTCGCATCCCAATGGCCTTGAAAAGGATCTGGATGCATCGGAGTCTAATAACAGCCTGAAGGGAGACTCCGGTACGATGCAACGATGCATGGTTCCTGAGTCCTATCCGTTTGCAGTACCGTCAACTGTCAAAGATGATGCGTTAACTAGCGATGTAAATGTGCCCAACGGCAACAAGCTCCGTATGAGTTGCTCCATTACTGGAAACAAGCTCGCAGGTATGCCGATCATCGCAGATGGGGACTTCGATTACCCTCCGTACAGCGAGAACCTGCGCACCAGCTGTTCCACCAGTGAGACCGAACCACTCGGACTGCTACATTCCATCGACACTCACTTCGGGTACCAACCTATCAGGGAATCTTCCCAAAGAGAACAAATGGTCAGTGACTTTTCATCGAATACAGACTCCGACTTCGGAGCAATGTCAGACGACAAGACCCGAATGAAGTGCTCGATAACGGGACATGACATTCACTTGGATCCCGTGACAGCTGTCGATTATGAGGATGCATCGGACAGCGACATCAGCGTCATCTCCCACGTAAGTCACAGATCCGACTCGAATCAAGAGGGCAACTTTGAGGTTATACCAATGCCGTCATGTATCATAAGTAAGCCTCTAGATCGTTGTGAATCGCAGGCTGCTAAACCCATGGAGAAGTCTCTTCAGGATCAGCCTCGGACTGTCAGCCCCTGCGAGAGGGATTTCAACTTTGTGTCCTGTGGAGATGACAGTGACATCGACAGCAACCGAGACTCACCAAGCTTCGAGCTCCTGTCGGAGTCGACTTCTCCAGCAGTCTCCCCTCAAGTTGCCTCAACGGAGGCCAAAGCTCACCCTGGAGTGAAGGATCTCGATAAATGCACCTTGAGCGTCAACTTGTTGGACTTCGGTGACCCGGAGCCTAAAACTACAAGAACCGGAACCTGTGCCGACAAACTACACAATACCGAAGACAAAGTGAGTCTCCGGAGCGAAGCTCCAGGAGGAATCCTCATTCCTATCGAAAAGCTCAAGCTGTCCAGCTGCTCCGAAAGTGAAGTCTCTCAAGAAGTCAAGACCGAAGAAGCAGAGAGAGGCGAAGGAGGAAATATATCCACTATCTTGTGTCCGGAGAATGATTCGAAGTCGACTACTCCTTCTACCGCAGGCAACGCTTCGAAGTTCATACCGGAGAACTACCGTCTGGTGTTCGGTGGTGGTTCGTATGTCCTTACGGAGGTCCAAGATGACGCCAACCAAAGCTCCGAGTACGTATTCAACCCAAACTTAATCTCGATTGACAACTTGGCCGATGAAGTTGACGCCTCCTCGATGGCTAACGGAGACCATGAGACAAAGAGGGAGAACGAGTCCCCCGAGAGAAACCCCTGCACTCAAAAGACGACCAACACCTCCTGCGTTGCTCGCCCCCATAATCCGGTTCCTGATATCGATGATGATTCCTTCGGACTTGTCAACATCCTACCCGAAGACATTCTCAACGTGGCGCTAATTCCAGTCTCTCTTTGGTCAACCTTCCGTGGGGTTGTGTTCAGGATTGTTCATGCCCACACGGTAATGTTTAAGAAATTAGACGCAACGAAATTGACGCGCTTCACCTGCTCGCTTCTAGATCTCTTCAAGATAGAGTGCATGCAGAGTTGGCCCGACTTCCAGTTTCCTCTCGGAAGGGAGTTCTGACAGCTCACATAACCTCTCTACGCCTTTTCGACTACCCTACATCGTTCGGACCACGTTTAATCCTGTGAATCCAAATCCTTGGCTGCTTAAAACGAGTGCTTCCAAGTTTATATACTTATGTTTCTTCTACTCTACGAGACGATTGCTCGACATGCACCTCGGAACGTGATCTAACCTCAAGTGATAGTTGCTCTTTGTAGTGTTGTAAGGATCTTCACGAGTTATTTAGAATTTCGATTTGCTGATGATACAAATTTCTGCAATATTTGTAGTTGGATTTAAAGTAGAAGACACCGTAGAGCAACGTTTTGTCACCTTGCTTCGTCCTAACCTCAATGTCTCTTGCATGTATCTTACGAGTCTCTCCTTAACTTGCACAAGACTTATCACTCCTTTTATATCGTTATAAATAAATTTATGCTTAACACACTGATTGGTGGTTGTTTCTCTTTCAGAATGCCCGAAGGTGAGTTTCACGATTTATGGCTGTTTAATAAATCAACGTGAGCATGGACATTAAGCGACCGTCTCTTCTGGGATTATTACGATTAACTGACAAGACATTGGAAGAGACAATCGCTTCTTCGTGTAATTACAATGTTATCGCGTTGTTTTGTCGGTGCCCAGGATTTTTTCAAGGAAAATTCGAGCCGGTCAGTATTTTCTTCAGTCTTCGACGAGGCCGAAAGCGAAGGGAAAATTAAAAGGTGTACATGTGTCTTGCCGAGGAAAATAATTAACCCTTTGCAGTCGTATGTCTGCTCTCAGCCACCGAAACACCTATGTATAAATTTAATACCACCGCAAAGGGTTAATAAACATGACGTCTTCATTATTTCATTGACGTAGCGAGACACAGAGGTTATAAAAAGAAATCTGGAAGTTGAATACTCGATGCTTATTAGTTATTCTCTGTTAATGTTATTCTCGTTACTCAAAGGAAGTTCTTTTCCAGGGAATGGATCTTGACCCGTGAAGAATAAGAGTAAACCCAAGGACAAGGACGTCGGCATAATGATTTTCTGCTCGTGCTGCTACAAAGCTTCCGATCGAGTAAACCAGGACCACTTGTCGAGTGAGCGAACAGTAAGAAAGAAAAAGTGAAACGTCTTTCATGCTGCTTTATTCCACCAGGTTTCAATTAGTGATCGGTGTCCTTTCTATTCATGTCGCTACGTTACTTTCTCCCTTTTCTGTTAAGATAACCTAAAACTGGAAACACTTCAGGTTTGTCGGAGTGTTATTCATTATGTTTCAAAATTCCTCGCGATATCTGCCCTCTTCTCTCCGAGTTTTGTCGAAAATAAATGTAAAAATATTCCACCCAGTGGTTAATATTTAAAAGAAAGGCACCGTTGAAGAAATTCCATATTAAGATTTACTCTACGAGGGACACTGTAAATGGGGATTAATTGTTAAAGTCATTCGACAAGTGGACTTGGTCCCCTCCGAGACAGGCATAAATTTGAAACGTCTTCAGAAAATGCTTTCCATGCCGTAGGCTGTGTTATTAAAATTATTAGACCGTTAAGGAACTCATCGAGTCAGGCTGTACGAAGCGAAGATTAATTTTACTCTTCGATGAATGGGTGTAGTTAAATGCAAACCTGTCCCTTAGAATCTACGACGTTTAAGTAGACGCAAAGCGTGTTCTTTTAGCAAATACCCGTTTTTAGACAAACAGAGCTATAGTCTTTTAGACGATACAGTGATATCGATGTTACATTGTTCTCTTCGGAAAGCGTATCTCATCTAATAGATAAATAAAAATGTCCCAAAGCGTCAAGATAAGGAGACTCTTCTTCTTTATCTAATAAATATTTTTAGTACGAAATTAAATATACGCTTTCGAGTTAGATCACATTAAATAAATAAACTCATGGCGTAGATGGAAATATTAATAACGTCCAGTTGTGAAATTATTCTTGCGCAGTTGAAATAATTACATGTAATGAGCCACGATGGGAGAAATGGAACGGAGACTAATTAATTAGGATTAGCTAAGTTCCACTCCCGGAGGGGTTTATACGGTTCATTAGAGTACTTAGTTTAATGGAAATTAATGCGTCCTTAGGCGTCCTTCGAAATTGTAATTAGAATTTAGAAGTAATGCCCGACTAAGTGCGCGTATGCTAATTATGCGTACACGTATAATTCCAGAATTTATCTCCGTCTAAACAGGATTTGCGATTTTAGGATCAGGCTTTAATAGGAGCACTTATAATGGAATAAGCAGACGCATAATAATAGAAATAATTGTTTCTCATTGCACAATTACCCACTGAACATTCTTATATAACTGTTAGGTAAATGTTAAGTTTCCGAAGCTAATGTGTTACGTAGCATAAAAGTAACGTAGAAGGTGGATCTGCCTTATTATTACCCCTCGATAAGTTAACATGTTACGCAACGTGTTATATCAATGTTATAGGTTCAGTAACCTCAAAATAATATTAATTGTTTGAAACACTTAATAGAAAAATAATAATGTAATAAAATAGATGACAGCACCGATGTAGTTCTGTTTCGTTACAAATATGTGCTGCGTATACACAGCAATATCAGGACGATACCATAATGTAAGATAANCTAGCACATGCGATCTCTCTTTTACCTCATTTCTAGTTTGTTAGTTCCAACTTTTACCGCATCAAGCGCTAACATAGGATCTAGGCCTTCTATGGAACTTTTGAATTCTTTGTCTATACTGAAATGATTTAGCCTAATGCCAGGCACACCAGCGCCAACTACAGATGAATAGTGATACTAAGAGGAAGTAACGTGTGTATAATACCACAATATTAATTAACGTGCACATAACTAGGTGGCTTCAAAACGTGTGCGTGTGTGCAACAGTTGCGACACATGCGCAAATACCACAATATTAGTTAAAGCGCACATAAATACGTGGCTTAAAATTCTGACGCATGCGCAAATACCACAATATTAGTTAACGTGCACATAACTAGGTGGCTTGAAAACGTGTGCGTGTGTGCAACAGCTCTGACGCATGCGCAAATACCACAATATTAATTAACGTGCACATAACTAGGTGGCACGACATTCTCTAGGATATCAGCTATCCAGTTAGTACATAGTGGTATCGATGAGAGCGACACCTCTCAAGAAGACGGCGCCGAACGGAACTACTCGCCTCTTCTCGTGCGCCGAAGAGACGGACGTGAGGTCCAGGTCGGCCTCCAGGGTGCCGATCTCGCCCTGGTATTTTATATTCGGCTGTCTGGAGCGATTCGCTCCCTGTGAATGTATCTGATAGAATATCAGTCGTCCTAGGATCGCGATGATGGCCACCAGGATACCAGAACAAATGCCGATCCACACGTAGAACGTGCCCTCGTCCTCCTCCTCGTCGCCTCTTGGTGCAACTCCCTCTGGACATACATTTTAAGTTTTAAGAGGATATATTATGTATTAATTAAGTTTCTTAGCGCCTTAAAAACTGTTTTACCATCATAGGCAGGAGGCTGCAGGACCGGGATCCTCGAGGTTCGACTCATCTCCTGGGTGGCTGGAGGACGAGCCACCAGGTTGGGACTCGGACTGAAAGCTGCCTTGAAATCCACCTTGTCGAAGCCCTCCTCGAGGATGTCGACCTCGGTCGGGGTCTCAGCCTCGTCAGGAAGTTGAGGGACTTCGTAGACCTCCGCCAGGACTCTGCGTGGGACTGAAATCAAGAATTTCCTGTTCACCAATTGTTGCAACAAAATCCTGCCATTAAAATAGATGACAGCACCGATGTAGTTCTGTTTCGTTACAAATATGTGCTGCGTATACACAGCAATATCAGGACGATACCATAATGTAAGATAAGAGTAACAAAGTTACGCTACATTAATATAGGTACGATAGTAACAAATGTTATGTAGCCCGTTAGCTCCATGTTACGTAACTGTTAAGTTACTGCATCGTAACAAATGTCATTTAACTAGTTAGCTCTATGTTACGTAACCGTTAGGCTATTACATTGTAACAAACTTCACGTTATTCCACAGTTTTAAGTAACGTAACTGTTAGGTTCGGTGTTCAGTGGGTAATATGTAAATTAATTAGTTGTAGCCTTTAAACGCCGATCCCCTGGGGGAACGACTTTAATGGTGATGGTTGTTACATTATAGTGGCTGTTAAACAATTACAGGAAGTAAACTCAAGTAACCGAAGGGTGCGTTAAAATAATCTAGTAAATGCATTGTCTGTATCCGGTGCTATCGGAACATCAAATTGCTTTAAACAATTAGTACTTAGGAATGATTTATTCACAAGATTCAACAATTTCTCCTTTGTACTAACAATGTACGTGTTTATAGTTATTAAGAGGTTCGATGTATCAACTGGATTATTTAAACCAAGGTTATGTAATCAATTACACACATATACATATATGTGAGCAATTTTCAGTGGAACGTAAATATATTCTATTAATTATTTATATGGCAGATTTCAACTTTTCCTCGACTAAGTTTATTTACAAAGTGTCTATGAACACGTTCATTTGCATTCTTTGAAAAAGGGTATAGATGAATTTCCCTTAATCGACGTCGATTGAATTTCTTAGCGCCTTTCATATCCTCTTAGGTAACCTTAGAAGCAGTATATCCTGGAGCATTCGTCGGCCCGGTGGGCGACGGCGTCGGGCAACCTGGACCGGCGCTTCGGGTTCATGAAGGACGAGCTCGCCAGGGTCCTTCCGGCGTCCACAAAGGACGAGACGTCGGGATGGACGTCGGGCAAGCCGTCGTCCTTTCGTCACGCCGGATAAAAAGGAGTCTGGCCGCCCAGGACGGCGTCGCCGTCGTCGCTCTTCGTGGCCGTCAACGACGTCTCCTCGACGCCGCGACGGTCCTCGGAGACGAAGCTCAGGGGGAACCTGGAGTCCTTTGCGAAGGACATCGTGTCCTCGACGATGCGAGGCACGCTCCTACAGAAGAAACGCTTCGATTATTATTTATTATTATTTCTTATTATATATATATACTACCTGGACAGCTGATATATATCAAGGAACTAGGTAGAGCTTCGAGCCAAATACATTTTGCACCGAGGAACTCATTTGTTCTATACCAAAGAATTCAGAAGTCTCCATAGAAGCCCAGAAGGACATTAGATGCCCGATAGTACGTTAGTCAACGGATGGCGGCGCTGTGATCATCTCTCTTAATCTTATGGCGATATACAGCGAATTGTATTCTTTCTTTATCTTACACCCACTACTCGCCTTTCTATATGCGTCTCTCTTCCTCCCGTATGTGAGATATCGTTCACTAGCACATGCGATCTCTCTTTTACCTCATTTCTAGTTTGTTAGTTCCAACTTTTACCGCATCAAGCGCTAACATAGGATCTAGGCCTTCTATGGAACTTTTGAATTCTTTGTCTATACTGAAATGATTTAGCCTAATGCCAGGCACACCAGCGCCAACTACAGATGAATAGTGATACTAAGAGGAAGTAACGTGTGTATAATACCACAATATTAATTAACGTGCACATAACTAGGTGGCTTCAAAACGTGTGCGTGTGTGCAACAGTTGCGACACATGCGCAAATACCACAATATTAGTTAAAGCGCACATAAATACGTGGCTTAAAATTCTGACGCATGCGCAAATACCACAATATTAGTTAACGTGCACATAACTAGGTGGCTTGAAAACGTGTGCGTGTGTGCAACAGCTCTGACGCATGCNAAATAGAACGACTCTCGAACGAGCAGGAAATCACTTTAAAGGGAAATTAAACCGTAAAAAAAATAAAATCGATCCACCTCTTTTTTTTTTTTTAATCAATTGTCCGGGGGGGCAGGTGCAATTGTAACACGTCAAGTGAAACAAACTCGATTACCGAGCAATTTGTCTGCCGTAATTGAAATCGTCCACCTGGTGGTAATGAAAAAAAAGTGCGTACAGACGAAAACTTGGAATTTGGATGTCATTGTCCTTAAATAATTTAATAATGATGATTAAGAATGTTTTTAAGTTAATTTAATAGTGACGGAAAGGGGGTAAGTGAACGGTCATGCTTAGGGTACTTAGTTATACGAAAGGGGAATTCTATGTATATTAAACGTATATAAGATGTTTATGAAATTAAATTCATGGTACTTGGTTATATGAAAGGGTCATTTTACGTATATTAAACGTTTATAAAATGTTTATGAAATTAAATTCATGGTACTTAGTGATATGAAAGAATTACTCTACGTACATAAAACGAATATAAAATAAAATTCATAACACTTAGTGATACAAAAGGGTCACTCTACGTACATAAAACGTATATAAAATAAAATTCATAACACTTAGTGATACGAAAGGGTCACTCAACGTATATTAAACGTATATAAAACGTTTACAAAGCTTTTCCCCAAAACTGGGCGCACCGAATAATTAGAAACTTTAACAAGTGATTATAGAGGTCTTGAAAGTATTAATATTTCAACTTTTTGTTATCTATATATTTCATATCACCTTAAAAAGAGGAATTCTCCCTCGAAATTTTTCCCGCAATGTCGAGGACTTCGTTAAAGGTTTTCGGGTGGAAATTGCGCGGTCGTGAATTTGCAAAATACACGGTGGGGAAAAATGCAGGCCCAGCAACTGTTTTGTGCCGGATATTGATGAAATTTCGGGGTGCATGCATCCGGTGTACCTGCCAGGGTATGGCTCGGATAGGAACTGAACATATGCATATTTGAAGAGTGTCCGAAGAGAAGAATGGCCGAGCGGGGTCGATATTGGCAGGATAAAAAAAAGAAAATAATATTCTAATCGCACTGGCTGTCGGCGAATATCCGAATAAAAAATTTAAGGGTCTTCCTGAGGACTCCTACCCCGAGGGAAAAATATAATCGAGCCTAAGAGATATGTTCTTAATAGGAAAAATAATTATTTTCTTGGAATTAAATTCAATGAAATCGACGGAAAGTTTCTTTGAAGTTATTTCATGATTTCTTTGGGTTCATTTCAGTGAAGTAATTAATTGTCGAATTAAGTAACTCTTCCTTTGGCTGGATAGTATTTTTTTTTTATTTATTAAATAACTTACCACAGGTGTAAACCACGTAGAGGTAGGGCTTGGTGTTGATTTCCTTGCAGGGGTTGGTGCTCAAAGGGTGGATAAAGGATTCCGGGGTGACTGATAAAAAACAGCTTCGACGACCGTGGCAAGCTCTCATTACGCCTCTTATTCCCCCCTCGGCCACACAAGCTGTAAAAAAGTTATTTAATTTTTACGGGGTCTTTTAAGAGGATATATGTGCCCATAATTATGAAAGTGGTCTAAGTCATATATTTTTTCTTTCGAAATTACATTGAATTAATTTCCTTTGAAATAATATGGCGTGAAATAACTGATAAACTCATTTTTTTTTTTTTTAAATTTTGACTTAGACCACTTTCATAATTATGGGCACATATATCTGAGAAGTGAAATCGTTGGGAAAAGTATTCCCCGGATTGTGGGTACCGATTAGTTTCGAATTTCCCCACGGGGATATGGAGGCGCTAGGGTAGGTCCTAAAACCCATGAAATTTAATTTTTCACAAAAAAATCCATTCTCAGCGCCTTTTATATCCTCTTAACAATTTTTAGATGATTCTGAAGCTTCGCGTCGTACTAGGATGATTTTTGTATTTTTCGGAAGTTTCTTGACGTTTTCGGCGCCGTCGAGGGAAAGGGGCGGATCTTTCGACTTACTTTCTTCGGGCACACCCGATGGCTGAGGACAGTGAAATGTCTCGTATTCTGTTCTGCCGTAAACTGCACTATAAACTGCAACGCGGTTCCCAGGGTTGCAGGAAAGTGCAATCGTCTCGCCGTCGCAGGCCACGGTACTTCGAAATTCGTCTGGAAATAAAATCACCAGTGGAAATAGGGATAAATGCAAAATCTTTTATAGAAAAATGAAATCTCACGGGCAGCGCGTTCTTCCTTAGAGATTATACATATTCGCATATTCACATTTTCACCTATTCACATATTCCCATATTCCCATATTCCCATATTCCCATATTCNGGGTGTACCAAATTCTATTAAACTTGACAATTCGAACATGGAGACATTTTATTTATATAGAATGACCATTTCATATCACCTTAACACATTATTTATAATTTTGTAAATGTGTCTTTTGAAATTATTATACAATTATACGTTTTCCGAGCGAAACTTCTTCAGTCACTAAGGTGCCAGAGAGATCGGGATGAAACGAAAAATTGTGTGGGAAAATTATAAAATTATAAACTCAATATTCCAAAGTCAGAACACGTTATTTCTAATTTTGTAAATGTGTCTTCTGAAATTATGATAAACTTATAATACGCGCATTATGAAATCATGGCCCACATATTATAAAATGATAACATCCTTTCATAATTTCACTACATACGTCTGTATTCAATTTATAACACATGTAATATATTTTATTAGAAACTATGTTACAAAATTAGCACACCAAGTCCGAACGAAACTTCCATAAAAAATGTTATAAAATTCCCAGAATTATTTTTAACCGTCCATGTATGCCACTTTCATATCACTTTAATTAATTAAATAAGCGATACTGTATTTTTTTTATTAATCCCATTCATGTAGTTTATCAACTGATAGTGCGTTATGTCGGGGAAAAGTCGCCATTAGAGTTTCAAAAATAAGACCGGGAAATGGAAAATTGCTCGATCCCATCCCTGTCCGGTGGTAAGACGTAAAGGCGGTCTCAAAGATGATTTGCATGCAAAAGTGAGGCCGCTTTGTCGAAGCGAACGACATCGACCAAGGAGCTTCTTCGAGCGGAATAATGCGCGAGTGGTTTCCCTTCTTGTATAAATATAGGCCGTGGGTTCAACTACAAGGATCTATCTCGAAGAAATGGATAGAGGTATCCCTCTATCGGAATAATTTCCAACTACTTGGCTCGCATAAAGCTCCCCTTGGGTCCTTCGTATATTTCCCCATGAATCCCCCAACTTGTTTTCCCCTAGGTTTTAATTCCCCAGGCTGAGCTTTGGGCCGGCCGACAGGAAAAAAAAAATAATATAGAGAGAAAAGAAATTCTATCCACCGCAGTCAATTTTTTACTACCTCCGAAACGAGCTCTTCCGCGTGCATCCGGAAATTCCCCGCAGCGGAACACTCGCACTTCATTATTATTTCCTGCGGTTTATCCTGGAGTTCCTTGACGGGGTCTTCGTTAAATATTTCCATCCTTCCGGATCCACTTTCCGACCGAGAGCGTGCATTTTAAGGCATGCCTTAACCCTTCAAGGTGATGTGAAAGTGTATTTTATTTAAAATTTCCCGCCGTTTAAGGTGATGTGAAATTGTATTTCATTTAAAATTCCCGCCGTTTAAGGTGATGTGAAACTGTATTTTATTTCAAATTCCCGACCTTTAATGTGATGTGAAACTGTATTTTATTTAAAATTCCCGCCGTTTAAGGTGATATGAAACTATATTTTATTTAAAATTCCCGCCGTTTAAGGTGATATGAAAGTGTATCTTATTTAAAATTCCCGCCGTTTATGGTGATATGAAACTGTATTTTATTTCAAATTCCCGCCGTTTAAGGTGATATGAAACTATTTTATTTAAAATTCCCACCGTTTAAGGTGATATGAAACTATATTTTATTTAAAATTCCCGCCGTTTAAGGTGATATGAAACAGTATTTTATTTAAAATTCGGAGGACCTCGGAGAAATTTCATTTACGTCAGTCTGGGGTGCGAGCATAAATATGCATTTTCGTGATGACACTCCAGGCAAGCCGCTCTGGAGGATCCTCCTTCGTTATCTCCCCTATCACGGTTCCCTTGATCGATGTAACTTTCCGTCGTATTTGCATGGCCAGGAGTGTCCTCTCAGACTGCCACTCGGAAATCCCCAGGACAGCACGTTCGGTAAACATCTTCGCGAACGGAGACTCGAATTTCCCGGATTAAGGTGATATGAAAGTGATAAACGTATCATGTTATGTATATATCCCCTTTTCATATCATGTTAAGGTGATATGAAAGTGATAAACGTACCATGTTATGTATATATTCACATGTTCGCATATTCGCGAGCGAATTCGCCAGCGCACCCAGTTGTGCGAAAAATTTTATAAATAATTTCATTTTTTTGTTGTGTATATATCATACTTTCGTGTCACCTTAAACGGCGGGAATTTTAAATAAAATACACCTTACACGGCGGGAATTTTAAATAAACTACACCTTAAACGGCGGGAATTTTAAATACACTATACCTCTTGCAGACAATTATGGGTATCTCGTTAGCGGGAATCTGCACTAGAGACTGTCTCCGTGTTTTTCTTCAATCACTCGAAATAATTGTTCCGAATGAGGAGGAAGACAGGGCGGAAGGAGAAAAAGAAAAAGAAAAAGAAGAGTCGAGCCATGCTTCATTACCGCAACTAGAGGAAAAACGAAGTACTTGTTTTCCTCTGGCGTTGCCGTAACGAGGTACACTGTTAAAAAAATTGTGTTAATTTTATAACATAGTATCAAATAATATATCTTCCACGTGTTTATAATTATACATGCCATGTGTTAACAATTGTAATTACAAACTTATGTACTGAAAGTGTATGAATTTGTTTGTTTTGTTTAAAGGGTAAGGGGAAAATAAAAGAGGCGCAAGTACATCCGAAATGTAATCTGGAACGAGTTTGAAATAAAAACCCCGCAAAAGGGTCGCATAAGCCATTTCGGATGGAAATCGACGTTCATTTGCATACATTAAATATTAACGAAGACTGCGTACCACTCGGCGCATAAAACAGTCCACGCTGTGGGTAATGCGAATTCGCAAATTGCAAATTGAAAATTGCAAACTGAACCTGTAAGGTAGACTCGAGAAAGGAGATGTAAAAATTGCCCTATACATTATTAATACTCACATGGTCGACATTTGTACGTAAGCTCTATGAGTCGAGGTCTCCTAAGATGGCCGCGATGGAAACATGGCCCCTTCTCGCTTCTGTTGGCGGAAACACGGCATTGCCTCTTTTTCTGACAAGCCTCCACCACTGTCTGCAGTAGAGAGTACTGCCATTCGTAAGGCAGCGATATGAACAGAAAGACATGATTTTTTCTTAATCTAATTAATTTAATCAAAGCTACATACCCTTCCCCAGCTCCCGTGCGCTGCGTCCCGCCATTTTCCCTGAAACACGAAAGCGCCACCTATGAATTCGGATCTGTACTTTAAGGTGATAAGAAAATGGCGTCGAAGAGATTTCGTTTATGAAACTTTTCTCCGAACTGGGTGTACCAAATTCTATTAAACTTGACAATTCGAACATGGAGACATTTTATTTATATAGAATGACCATTTCATATCACCTTAACACATTATTTATAATTTTGTAAATGTGTCTTTTGAAATTATTATACAATTATACGTTTTCCGAGCGAAACTTCTTCAGTCACTAAGGTGCCAGAGAGATCGGGATGAAACGAAAAATTGTGTGGGAAAATTATAAAATTATAAACTCAATATTCCAAAGTCAGAACACGTTATTTCTAATTTTGTAAATGTGTCTTCTGAAATTATGATAAACTTATAATACGCGCATTATGAAATCATGGCCCACATATTATAAAATGATAACATCCTTTCATAATTTCACTACATACGTCTGTATTCAATTTATAACACATGTAATATATTTTATTAGAAACTATGTTACAAAATTAGCACACCAAGTCCGAACGAAACTTCCATAAAAAATGTTATAAAATTCCCAGAATTATTTTTAACCGTCCATGTATGCCACTTTCATATCACTTTAATTAATTAAATAAGCGATACTGTATTTTTTTTATTAATCCCATTCATGTAGTTTATCAACTGATAGTGCGTTATGTCGGGGAAAAGTCGCCATTAGAGTTTCAAAAATAAGACCGGGAAATGGAAAATTGCTCGATCCCATCCCTGTCCGGTGGTAAGACGTAAAGGCGGTCTCAAAGATGATTTGCATGCAAAAGTGAGGCCGCTTTGTCGAAGCGAACGACATCGACCAAGGAGCTTCTTCGAGCGGAATAATGCGCGAGTGGTTTCCCTTCTTGTATAAATATAGGCCGTGGGTTCAACTACAAGGATCTATCTCGAAGAAATGGATAGAGGTATCCCTCTATCGGAATAATTTCCAACTACTTGGCTCGCATAAAGCTCCCCTTGGGTCCTTCGTATATTTCCCCATGAATCCCCCAACTTGTTTTCCCCTAGGTTTTAATTCCCCAGGCTGAGCTTTGGGCCGGCCGACAGGAAAAAAAAAATAATATAGAGAGAAAAGAAATTCTATCCACCGCAGTCAATTTTTTACTACCTCCGAAACGAGCTCTTCCGCGTGCATCCGGAAATTCCCCGCAGCGGAACACTCGCACTTCANTTAAGGTGATATGAAAGTGATATACGCACCATGTTATGTATATATCCCCTTTTCATATCATGTTAAGGTGATATGAAAGTGATATACGCACCATGTTATGTATATATCCCCTTTTCATATCATGTTAAGGTGATATGAAAGTGATAAACGTACCATGTTATGTATATATCCCCTTTTCATATCATGTTAAGGTGATATGAAAGTGATATACATGCCATGTTATGTATACATCACACTATCATATCACCTTAAGGTGATACGAAACTTACTTTCGACCCTCCTGTGCAGTTCCGGACGAAGAGGTCGTTGCTGGCGACCTCGGGGACGGGGCACACGGGGACGTCGGCGACGTCGGAGGCGTCCAGGGCGGCGAAGGCGTCGGGGGCGTCGGGGGTGCTGGGGTGATCCGTGTAGCGAGCCATGGTGACGCTGATCGTCGTCCCGGGTGGACAGCGCAGGGTGATGGAGTCGAGAGCTGCACCAGGAGTTGTGCACCCGAGACCGTGGCGTGTCCTCAGGGTCTCCGACAACAATCCTGGAAAACAAGAACAAAAAAATTAAATAAATGGCGCTCTTTCTTCAATTTTTCAATTTTTTAAATACGGCGGAATGATTGAAACAATATTTATACATTTTTAATTTTTGAGAACGTTTTTGTACATTTTTAATTTTTGAGAACGTTTTTGTACATTTTTAATTTTTGAGAACGTTTTTGTACATTTTTAATTTTTAAAAACATTTTTATACATGTCATTTCAACACTTCGAAAAATCACCAAACAATGTCGCAGGAAATTGTTACTCATGTAAACCCAATTCAAGTGGATGTTAAATGGTAAAAAAATGTCTAGGACATGTTAAACAATTTGAAAAAAAAAAAAACAATGTTGATAAAGTCGGGAGGAAAATTCTTACCCATGTAATCAAAATCCGAGTGGATGTTTAATGGTAAAAAAATGTCGAGGACATGTTAAACAGTATGAAAAAAAAAAAACAATGTTGATAAAGTCGGGAGGAAAATTATTGCCCATGTAAACCAAATCCGAGTGGATGTTTAATAATAAAAAAAATGTCGAGGACATGTTAAACATTTGAAAAAAAAAAAACAATGTTGATAAAGTCGGGAGGAAAATTCTTACCCATGTAATCAAAATCCGAGTGGATGTTTAATGGTAAAAAAATGTCGAGGACATGTTAAACAGTATGAAAAAAAAAAAACAATGTTGATAAAGTCGGGAGGAAAATTATTGCCCATGTAAACCAAATCCGAGTGGATGTTTAATAATAAAAAAAATGTCGAGGACATGTTAAACATTTGGAATAAAAAAAACAATGTTGATAAAGTCGGGAGGAAAATTCTTACCCATGTAATCAAAATCCGAGTGGATGATCGACAGATGAGCCACTACATAAAAAGCGGCGATTTTCCAGCGCATGCTGCCCGTGAAGTTTTCCCACACGTCAGACCATTTTCCCGACACTTTATTTCACAGCTATCGAATTATCGACACCTATTGAAACTATGTATCGATCTTACATCGGCGATTCGAAGTCGATGTACTCGTTACCCCTTTGAACACGGACCCATTCCGACATAAGGGCGAGATTCCCCTGACCGTGCAGGCGATATTGGACCAAACGTCGGGCGCCTTTAGGCGCTCTTAGTAGACAAAGGGTTGCAGAAATTGTACATGTCAGGAAAAAAAATTACAGATGTCAGGAAAAAATTGCAAATGTTACGAAAACAATTGTAGATGCCAGGAAAAAATTGCAAACGTCACGAAAAAAAAATTGTAGATGTCAGAAAAAAATTGCAAATGTTAGGGAAAGAATTGCGGATGCCAGGATAAAATTGCAAACGTTGCGAAAACAATTGTAGATGCCAGAAAAAATTGCAAATGTTAGGAAAACAATTGTAGATGCCAGGAAAAAATTGCAAATGTTACGAAGACAATTGTAGATATCAGGAAAAAATTGCAAATGTTACGAGAAAAATTGCAGATGCCAGGAAAAAATCGCAAACGTTATGAAAACAATTGCAGATGTCAGATTATCTAACCAGATAACATTGTTAAATATGCCTAACTATTTTCCTTCGACATTTCCTTCTTTAGTGCAACTTGGAAAGCTTTATTAAAAAAATCCCCCATTCCGAATTGATTAATCAGGATTTATCCAAAAGGTCGGGGATAAAAAAAACGGAGATTTAGAAGCTATCGGGAACTTCTGCCGAGCGTTCTGATAACGTTATCAAGCGACGATAGGAAGGATTTATTATCCGCAGGTCGAAAAAGCACCAGGACAAAAAAAAGGGCGAAGATAGGGCAGAAGAAAAAAAAAAAACCCCTCAGGTGATAAAATCGCCACTTCCCGAGAAATTTGATAACAGCCGAGTGGCTGTTATCAAACCTCCAACCATCAAAGAAGTGAATATTTAGAAATTATTCTAAGCCACTAGGGAATTAATTAAGGGGGGTGGATTAACATGGGGATTTTTACCAGTGCCCTGTTCAACGCCTAGAGGTTTGATAACAGCTACTCGGCTGTTATCAAACCTCCGAACTGATAACCGAAGCTCCCTTAATTAATTAGTGCTTTTCAAGTTATCAAAGCTTCATTTGTCACCGAGTCCCTCGAATTTCACATCGGGCCTTTTGATAGTAGTCAGGGCTCGGATAATTGTCAACTTCCTGATAACGGACTTGTCAACTTCCTGATAATGAACTAACCGGAAGTTATCGAGCCCTCGGGCCGGACCGACATCGACTTCGAGAGTCAATTTCGATTCACGGATAGTTTGCTCCGGAGTCGAGACCAACTTCCATTGTTTATTGGATTTTAAAACCCTGACCATGTATGGATGTAATCCATGTACAATGTTTAATGTGAATTATCTTCACTTTTAATGTGATATGAAAGGCGGGAAAAATTTAATTGACATTAATGAAATAGATAAGATAACATTCACCTACACCCCTAGTAGCATAGAATAATTTCTAAATATTAATAAAATATTTTCTAAGCATTTTCGGGGCACAAACCCTGACCATGTATGGATGTAATCCATGTACAATGTTTAATGTAAATTATCGACATTTTTCACTTTTAATGTGATATGAAAGGCGGGAAAAATTTAATCGGCATTAATGAAATTGATAAGATAACGTTCACCTACACCCCTAGTAGCATAGAATATTTTCTAAATATTAATAAAACATTTCCTAAACATTTTTCAAATTTTAAACCTTTGATGTGATATCAAAGGCGCAAGGAATTTAATCGAAATGAAATTGATAAAATAACACGTTGCATAGTAAACATTATGAATTATGCATAGACTAGTGAGTACATTTAAAAAAATTCACGGCATGCATCTTTCGGCAAAAATTCCCGATCCGAGCGGAAGAGCGACGCGGATCCACCCCGGAGGAAGGCGCGCGTCCTACTGGCGCTCCGGATCGACTGAAGCGCCGTCATAGGCTTCGGTGGTTGCGCGCGCAACCTCCCGAAGAAGTCAGATATGAAAGAGTCAGTTTATACACATCTGAGAAGTCAAATTGAGTGTAAAAAAAAAAAAAGAAAAATTGCTCGTATATCTTCACGCTTCGACATTTATGGATTAACATCTAAACGAGCTCGATGCGGATCGAGTTTCGATTTGCGTGGAATTCGAAACCAGGGTAGGAATTTATTCATCCCTACATCAAGTGTTCATCGGGGGTTCATCGGGATTTCCTCGAAGAAGCGAATCCTCGATGCGGAATGGTAATGCGGAAAACTCGGGGCTGTTGGTTCCAGGCGGATCGGGACGCGGAATTTTCTCCGCGTCGATTCCGCAGGTCTCGTCGATCCCTCCGGATCGACCGGGGTCTTCGCTCGACCGTGAACAGCTGATAACCATTCCTCGGATTTTCGCTTACCCAGGTGATACACGTTTCCCCCTTAAGCGCCAACGTGGCCGAGGATTCGCGTTAATGGTTGCCCCGATGCAACAAAGGCAACCTTCGGGTTGCCCCATTTGCCGCAGCAACCCTCCAAGATAAACAACAATACCGATCAATCAAGGTAGAACTTTAAGGTGATATAAAAGTCTGATATACATGTTACCGTGAATGACCGAAATTGGAGAATGTTGACTTTCACCGGTGAATGTCAACAGATACCAAATACGTCGGTGAAAGATCGAAGATTTCATTACATTGTTGTACATTCGGACCCTCTCCAGTGTGTGTCGACAATCACAGATATTAGTGCATGGTGAATGTCAAGATTTACCGGTGTAAGTCAGAAATAAGAGTATTTAGCAAATATTTCGGACATACACTAAGCGACTATGTGAATGTTGACATTCACCGGTGAAAGTCGACATTCATCAGATTTCGGTGTTTCACTGTAACATATACACGACAAAAAGTCAAATTTCGAAAGACAAATCGTATGATGGAGGCCCTCGAATTTGCATTTACGGTGCATATCGACCTTATCACCTTACCCCCCTTATCACGAGCTGCAGTTTCGGGATAAGCAAGTGGACCCCACCACCAGCCGGCAATTTTTCTCACGGTTACGGATGCAGCTGCACCGAACTGAAACTGCACTCGCTGCAAAGGGCAGGGAGTGCCACTTCGTGGCTGTTCATCTTCCGCGATTCATTACCTTCGATTTATCGGTAACCGATGCGCAAATTTGTAAAGCCCGACACCGATCTGGCCGCCCTTTTTTCTCCGCTTTCAACCCTTTCATCCTCCCCCGCGGCTTATCTCCTCCTTTCTTTCCCCCTTCGAATTCGTCTCCCTGAATTTCCCCTAGGAATTGACTCGCTGGATAAACGCCCTGCAGGTGCGACGAGCCAGGTTCAAGCTTATTATTTATTAACTATATATAAATTGATCTAGTTACTTTTTCTACCCCATCGATTCCCCTAGGAATTGACTCGCCGGATAAACGCCCTGCAGATGCGACGAGCCAAACTTATTATTTATGAATTGATCTAGTTACTTTTTCTATCCCATAGATTCCCCTAGGAATTGACTCGCCGGATAAACGACAGTTTCCATCCCGAGCCGAGTAGGCGTGGAATAATAACCCTGGAGGTACTCTAGAGTCCAATTCATTGATTGCTTCCCGTTGCACCAGACCGAATACGTGCAGGCAGTAAATTCATCCGAGTAAGCCGGATAATGCGACCGCGTTGCTTTGCCGCGGATTAGAATTGCAATCTTCCAAATTGCCCGGAATTTCGAACCGGGTTAAAAAGTAAGACCCGATTCGTATACGCTTGATAGAAAAAAAAAAAATTAAATTTCATGAACGTCAAGACCTTCCTTTTAGCTTCTAAATTAATGATGTAAAGTTTGAAACGTTTCGGTACATCCAGTTTGAAGAAAAGTATCATAAACGATGGACATCTCAGATACCACTTTCGCACCCTCTTAAGGCGATATGAAATTTGTTATAAAAAAATGGAATTTCAAGAACGTCAAGACCTTCCTTTTAGCTTCTAAATTAATGTTGCAAAGTTTGAAACGTTTCGGTACATCCAGTTTGAAGAAAAGTATTATAAAAGATGGAGACATCAGATGCCGCTTTCGCACCCCCTTAAGGTCTTCATGGACTTTAATATATTTCCACCACCTCTTCGAATCATCTCTCGCTTATCCTTTTACGGGCCCGGAAGGAAAAGTTTCGAGCCAACAAAGAAGTATCGATTCCCTAGGAGATCCATTCCACGTTTAACTTCGGCATTGTTTGTACGGTCCGTGGGGAATAAAATTAAACGTTCCCGCCCAAAGATATTCCCTAGTTTATGATGTTTGACGATGCGGATATTGAGCTCGCGAGCCCGCGATGAAGATCTGGGTCAGCGCGTTATTGAAAGATAAAAAAGGAAAAGAAAAAAAAGGAGAATAAGGGAGAGGGGAAATTCCGGAACACCCCATAGACGAGCCAGCAATAACAGGAGTATTGCTCCATTTTCCCTTGTTCTTGACTTTCCACCTGGACTGCCATTTTCGTTCCCTCCGTTCGAGGGGTCGTTTTCAACGAAAGAAAATCGCCTATTTGAAAATTCCGGAAAATCTATCCGCGGTGAGATTAATCATCATAATAAAAATCGGCAATTTCTTTCCTGGCATCTGCAATTTTTCTCGGAATATTTGCAATTTTTTCCTGGCATCGGCAATTTTTTTTCGTAACATTTAAAATTTTTTCCTGACATCTGCAATTTTTCTCGTAACATTTGCATTTTTTTCCTGACATCTACAATTGTTTTCGTAATGTTTGCAATTTTTTCCTGACATCTACAATTGTTTTTGTAACGTTTGCAATTTTTTTCTGGCATCTGCAATTTTTTTCGTAACATTTGCAATTTTTTCCTGGCATCCGCAATTTTTTTCGTAACATTTGCAATGTTTTCCTGTCATCCGCAATTTTTTTTCGTAACATTTGCAATTTTTTCCTGGCATCTGCAATTTTTCTCGTAACATTTGCAATTTTTTGGACTGCCATTTTCGGTTCCCTCTATTCGAGGGGTCGTTTCCAACGAAAAAATCGCCTTTTGGAAAATTCCAGAAATCTATCCACGGTGAGAAAAATTAAAAAAGAAAATTCATTAACCCCTTGCACTTGGATTTAATTACTATTACAAACTATTCTAGCTATATAGATATAAGAAAGCGGATAATAGGTTGCATTGTAAACGGCAAAGTGGTCAGAAGTAACTCGGCCTATTCTCTTTATCGTCCATTCCGACTACCCGGGGAGATAGCGACCCATTTTCATAGACAATCGGTAAAAAAAAAAGAAAAAGAAAAATCGCCCCTTTCGTCGTTATTTTCCGGGCCCGATCGGGGGAAAAATGTCCGACTATTGTTCCCGGAAAAGTTCCCTCTCTCGAGAACGAGGCCGAAAACTCCGAGAAATAACAGAGAGGGCTCCTTCCGTCTCGAGTTTCCGGAAATCAAGTATTTTCCCTCTCTCAGTCCCTCTTTTCATTTCCCTGCCTTTTGATACGCCCGTCGATTTCGCATTTCCCGGGGAAACTGTGATAAGGCACTCGGGGACGATGAAGCGACTTTTTTATGCCGTTAACCGGGGTTTCTAAATGCTGATACCGAAAATTAAGTTCCCGAAATTTCAAATCAACTTCTGTTTCTTTCCCCCCTCTTTACTCGTCCCTTGGTATCTCGGTACTTATCGAGGAAATTTCTTTTTTATATCATTTGCAAAATTTCCTACACTTTCAGGGGATGTCCGCAATCATTCCACGAGGTTTGCAATTTGTTGTAACGCTTGCAATTTTTTTTCCGGGCATCTGCAACTTTTTTTCGTAACATTTGCAATTTTTCTCGTAACGTTTGCAATTTTTTCCTGACATCTGCAATTTTTTTTCGTAACGTTTGCAATTTTTTCCTGACATCTGCAATTTTTGTTAGTAACGTTTGCAATTTTTCCCTGACATCTAAAATTTTTTAAGTAACATTTGCAATTTTTTCCTGGCATCTACAATTGTTTTTGTAACGTTTGCAATTTTTTCCTGGCATCCGCAATTTTTTTCGTAACGTTTACAATTTTTTCCTGGCATCTACATTTGTTTTTCCTGGCATCTGCAATTTCTGCAACCATTTGGCTACTAAGAGCGCCTAATGGCGCCCGCCGTTTGGTCCAATATCGCCTGCCCGGTCATACGAATTTCGCCCAAATGTCGAAATGTCTCCCTCTTCAAAGGATTAAATTCGAATTGACTGCGTCCGGGGTCGATTAATCCCGGATTTCGAGGACGACATAAACTTAGCCATTGTTACCGCAATTCTGGCAGGAAGCACCAGACTTTTTCTCATTCTCGGGATCCGCAAATTGCCAACTTTGAAGTCAGACTTAAGGAAACATCCGAAGCTTGCGCGGCGAGGCGGAGGGAGCGTTTCCGCCTGCGGAACCGCATCCTTCGGCACAACCAAACGCGATATTATTGCCTTTTGATGTCGACGCCTAGCATTAAATCCCCGATCTCCGGTGGTTTAATTAAACCGAACCGTGGAAACTCTCTTAGAAGGCGTCGTTTTCGCAGACGTGCGGATAATCCGTGCCGGAACAGCTGCGCTTAAAATTAACACCAGTTTATGCGGCTTGCCATTGTAACTTCCCTTTGTCGATTCCGGTTTAATTGATCGAAGCTTATATTTCGATTTAAACCATTCGCTCTCGTATCACCTTAAGGTGATATAAATTGTGAATGACCCTTTCACATCCCCTTAACCCTTTGAACACGGAGCCATTTCGACATATGGGCGAAATTCGCCTAGCCGTGCAGGCGATATTGGACCAAATGTCGGGCCCTAAGTACTTTATGTGAAGATTAAAATTTTTAATTAAAAAATAATTGATTTTAAAATGAAACAATTGATCTTAAAATAAATCAATTGATTTTAAAATAAAACAATTGATTTTAAGATAAAAGAATTAATTATAAAATGAAACAATTGATTTTAAAATAAAACAATTGACTTTAAAATAAAACAATTGATTTTAAAATAAAACAATTTAATTTAAAATAAAACAATTGATTCTAAAATAAAACAATTGATTTCAAAATAAAACAATTGATTTTAAAATGAAATAATTAAAATAAAAATTAAAATAACCCGGATAAATGTGACGTGGGGACGGAGGAGACCTCCAGGTCGGCGACGATCGTTACCCAGGACACCCTGCATGTCCCAGGGTAAAAGTGCAGTCGACGGGGCAATGAGATAACGACATCCCAATATTGCTCCTGTTATCAAACCTTTCATTGTTCCGCCTACCCCGACTCTCGATCTTCCAATACCTCCCGTCATCCCCGCCGATAAAAAACATCAACTGCAGGGACAAACGATATATACGCGTGTTCTAGAAAATTATCCCTAGAGTTTACCACCAAAATCCCCATGCTGGATGAGACGAAGAAATACAAAAAAACATTTAAAAAAATTAAAAAAGATCGTTCTAGCGTTAATATAAATTTTCCACATGGATTTAATATTTTATATTTAAAAGTAGAAGAGGAACTTCGCGATTGGAGATCCAGGGAGGTTTTATATTAAACATTCAGACCTTGTCGATGAATTAAGGTGAAGTGGAAACATATCGATCGAAGAGAGTTTCTAAATATCAGAGAAATCTTAATAGTAAGGTAAAGTTGTTTTGAGAAATGCCAGTCGATGAATAAATACATGGTGAAATTTAGGAACGGACAATCTGGATGGTATTTGTCATCGATCGCTGTTCTCTGCGAAAGGCAACTCGTCGAACATATCTACGTCACCACCGTATTCTATTTCTTTGTCTAGAAATGCATTATTGTTACGCTCCTGAAAATCTTGCGGAATGAATATTTTGTTATCGAACTGAAATAATGTATCGTCCTTTGGGAAATTTTGCAAATCTGCCCATCGCATGGCTACGTCTTTAGAAACAGTTTTCCGGAAGACTAAACAATGAGTGTGCTTTAGTTTTTCATACTTCAGTCTCATGAAGCCTAATTTTGATAATACGTAGCGCCAAGACTTCATTATTCTGGCGTTAGCTCCCACATGCTTTGAATCTGGGGTTACGATAATGAGAATTCCCCCCGAGTGTAACAGTTCGTATGCCTTTCGACAACAATTGAACCTTTGTTCTGGACACGGCATGTATTCCAATAATAGACAAAATGCAACGGCGTCAAAGAACTTTGCAGGCAACTCTTTCAATTCTTTCCGCTCCTCGCTGATTACTCTATGCTCTCCAATTTTTAAACTAAGAAAATCACACCGTAAGACACTATCGGCAAATGGGGTTAGGTCGACAGCCGTTACGTCGAAGATTTCAATTAATCCAAGTGGATTGTAACAGCTTCCCACGTCTAATAACCTTACTTTTTTAAAGTTGCGTCCGATGTTAAAATCGCAAATTTCATTACATTTCTCAAAACTAATGCCAGATCCATCTTTTGGATAAGCAACATCGGAGAACCGAGTATCCAGCATTTTCTGTATTATTTCTATCTCTCGCTCGTTATACTTTTCTAATCCCCCGTTAATAAAATATTCCATACATTCATTTTCGATCCATTTCACACTCGTCTGTTGCTTTCGTGGATCTTCTCCAGGCTTCACCCAATGTTTCGTCGCCAGCGCTTCCATCGACGTCGCATACTTCTGAAAAGATCAATTCGATTGAGTACAAAATCGCAAAAGGGCACATTAATTTCGGTAAATATACAGAAGCGTAAACTTTTCTCACCTGTAAAACATCACGCTGTTCAACGTGTCGCCTCCACGCTTCCGTAGCTCCATAAAGATGAGTTTTTTCCCGCAAATCATTGTGGACTGCTTTTATGAAATCAGCTAATCGTTTATGTTCTTCCGATGCCATCGTCACCTCGTACCTTCAGTATGCCATGCTGCCGAATCGGCTGCAAGAACAAAAATATTAATATAACCTATTACTTTAACAATTTATACAATCTAACCTAGTCGTAAAGGACGTGCAAAAGAAGCGATATTTAATATATATTTCCTGAACATTGTTTCAAATAATGCATTTCCTTCAAAATGTATTTAAAACTAATCGTAGTAGACAGGTTAGGTTAGGTTAACTTTTACGTACCAGCAAAATGTATATCTCCGTGGTGAATATATACAATGAACAATTGTACTGCATTGACCATTAGAAAACAACTTCGACTCTTTAATCGCCGTTTAGATTAACCAGCCAAATTGGATCGTTTAATTATAGTTAATTGAATTTCGATCTAAAAACTGCACAAACGTGAGAAAATCGTGGATTATATTGGGGGGGTCTATTACGTAAAGCAAATTGAGCGAAAATGTGAAAAATGAGGAGCTCACGGCGAATAAACCCACGCGAGATGAAAGTGCGAGAAGTGAGCGCGCTCGTCAAAAATACCTAATACACGCCGAGCATTCCATATCTTAACGGCGAGTTAATTGCCTTTAACCGCCGTTTAGGTTAACCAGCTAAATGCGATCGTTTAGTCTCAGTTAATTAAATTTCTTTTAAAAGAAAATCATGGATTATATCGAGGATGTATTAAAATCTTCTCATGAGAAAACGGGCAAAGATGAAGACGTGTTCATGTTAAACATAAACCAGGTTTAACATGTATCCGTCAGGTGACCGTGACTCCATACCTTAGAGCATAAAACCTGGACATAACCTTCTGATCTTACCAAGTTGTTCTTGCAATCTGTAGGATCATTTCGTATAGAAACGTTGGCAAGGGACATGCTTCGCTTTGCATGATTTTCGAACGGGTTGTCTGCTTCTTTTGACAGTTTTCGCTCGAGTGGAGAGATAACGATAGGGATGTCTGTCCATGGAAAATCTGCGATGAGTGGGTAACGTTTTGAGGTTAAGTTACCGAAGAGACGAACATGAGAAGCTACGAGTTCGTCGTGAAGACGCTTTTCTTGTGCATCTTCGCGATCGGTGGCGTAAAATTGGCAGCGATCGGCGAAAGCGATGCTTATCAAAGTTTGGCTCCTGCTCAAGGGCTGTACAACTCCAGCGACGATGTCATTGTACTAAACGCGAATAATTTTAAAACCAGCGTCAATGCCAGTGCCACTGGCTGGCTCGTTGAGTTTTACAACAGTTGGTGTGGCTTTTGCCATCGATTCGCACCCACTTGGAAAGAGTTGGCACGAGACGTCAGTGGTGGGTATTTTTATTACGGCTTTGAAGTATGCGTCTCGCAGCGTTCATTAGACATAGAGTCCGTTCCTTGCCTCGAAGGCACCGAAAGTATTATTAAGTACGAATAAGACTTTTAAACTCATATCGAGAGTATTTAATGCTGTAACGTTCGGTTAATTTTAAAGCAATTTTGTCCTCGCTCGATGTTCGCTAATTGTACTTCGATGACTTATCTTAAATTATTAACAGGTTGGAGGGACGTCGTTAAAGTTGCGGCTATTGATTGCGCTGACGATGATAATACTCCTATTTGTAGAGAGTATGAGATAATGCATTACCCGATGCTCAAGTATTTCTCCGTTATGGCAAGTCCTACGTCGATGGGGATCGAAGTCGAGAAGGGGAAAGATGTTTATGCTATTAGGCATAATTTAATCGATCGTCTGAGAAAGGAGCAACAAGATGGTCGCGGCTCTACGTGGCCCAATATCGTGCCTTATAGGTACGTACTCTTACGATCAGTTCTTTAACTTCGGAGCCAACGATATTACCAGAACGAGATTTCTCGAATGATTATATAGTTAAATGTATAATATTCCCTTGCGCTATCGTAGGTATTCAGTGGATTCCATCTTTAAAGAACCAAGAAGCGAGTTTCGTAATGTGTATTTAAGCAAGTGATGATTTTTTTTATCAAGCAGAGAACGATCATGTGTTAAACGGCTGCTCAAATACTCGGATGTATTTAGTGATTGTGTATAAAAGTGTTGGAATACTCGGTCGAGCCATACATTGATCGCTGGATGGAATAATCGAGGTCCCGGGCATCATAACGGGTTACAACTGGACATTTGTGGAATCAAGACGTTCAATTATGGACTTAATCGCGTTTAATGGCGAATGAGTGCATCTGATATTCTTGCATACGTGTTCTTACCGCGAAATTATAAGCGATTTGGTTTCCCGAGAATCCAGTAATAACCCATTAATTCTATCGGAGACACTGTTACGTCACCAGCGAACACATTTCCATGCTCCGAGTGGAGAAATAAATTTCACAGGAACCATTCGATTAGTTACGCTCTCCAGATAAATCATCGGAGCAATTTTATAGTTGCAATACTTGATATCGTGTAATTAAATCGTTATGCCACCTGAACATAATCGGGTTGCACAATCACATCGTCAACAGTAATGATAGGAGAAGTAATTAACATGTTATCGTAGTTGCACAATTTCAGAACCGATACAAGAAAATTGATGCACACGTTTCATGGAGCTCCTAAAAAACACTTCCTTCACAGCGATGACTCTCAATATAAAATTTAAAGTCTCTCGCATGGATACATTAATTTATTTATTCCATATATTCTTGACTCACCGATATACATTTTTTGTGCGATTAATATTATAATTATTATATAATAATTAATAATTGCAGGAGCGGCGACGTGAAGAACCTCTGGAGGAACGTGCCAGAGACCGTGAAGCACTACTTCCTGGTGTTCGAGAAGCCGGACTCGTACCTGGGCGCGGAGGTGATCCTGGACCTGCACAAGGTGGAGGGGGTGCGCATCCGGAGCGTCACCTCGGACAACGAGCCCCTAGGTCTGATGATAAACGTGAACAAGTTTCCGAGCCTGGTGGTCCTAGGACGAGGGGATTCCCATAAGATCCTGCCGGTCAAGACGCCAGCCCGCGAGGTCTTCCGCGGAGCCATCCTGGACTTCCTGAAGACCTCCGGGTCGAACCTGACGACGAGCGAGGAAGCGTCTAGCCCAGGGTCGACGTCGTCGACCACTTCCAGCCCGAATCTCCGTCCGGACTCGACGAGGGAGCAGGATCCCCTAGAGGGCTCCAAAAGCTCCCCCACGGAGGACGATTTGTTCTGGCTGGACCTCGAGATGGCGCTGAGGTACTCGCTCTTCCACGAGGTGCCTATGACGAAGAGCATCCACGGGGAGAAGATGCAGGCCCTGAAGAACTACCTGAGCGTCCTGATCAAGTACTTCCCCTCCAATTATAACATACTTCCCTTCCTGGACCTGCTCCTGGAGAAGCTGAAGGACCTGGAGGAAGTATCCGGCAGGGAGTTCTCCAGGATGGCGCGTCTCGCCGAGGAGGAGGTCAAGCCGGTCTTCTCCGGGGTGAAGAAGTGGATGGCTTGCGTGCCCGTTGGAGGGAACTCCCGGGGGTATCCTTGCGGACTCTGGACCATGTTCCACACCCTGACCGTCAGGCTCAACGACGGCTTCGGGAAGGGGCCTTCGCGGGATCCTAAGGAAGTTCTCGGCGCCATCCACGGCTACGTGAAGAACTTCTTCGGCTGCGCCGATTGCTCTAGGCACTTCCTGGAGATGGCCGCCAGGAAGGGCCTCTTCCAGGTCGGGAACCGCACGGAGGGCGTCCTTTGGCTCTGGAGGGCGCACAATGAGGTCAACCGAAGACTCTCCTCCGAGGAGTCCAAGGACCCGGGGCGGATGAAGGTCCAGTACCCCCTGGACATCCATTGTCCCAGGTGTAGGTTCGACAACAGGACCTGGAACGAGGTGGAGGTCCTCGGGTACCTGAAGAGGAAGTACTCGACGATCAACATGGCCGAGGTGGAGCTACCATCTCTCCTCCTGGAGGATATCTCCAGCCCCAGGCAGGAGAGGCTAGTCGCCGTGAACGAGGATAAGGGCGTCACCCGGAAGAAGATCGGATGGGACTTCACCATCTTCGACATCAGCATCTGCGTCATGCTCTACATCGCGTCCGCTGCCATCCTCGTCCTGGTCTGCATCAAGTTCGCCGTTAAGAGGACGTACAAGAAGAAGATACATGTCCATCATTTGTTCGGGAGGGTTTAAACAGCGATTAGGATGGTCTTTTTAATTTGGACACGGACCGAAGTCTAGGAGGCGGTGCCGACGGGGAGGGTTGGGCTTCTTGATGGTTGGGATGATTTTTAGATCGCTTATACTTTGTTGAGAATTATCATTCCAGGGATTTAAGGCGATATGAAAGTAGGATATGTGCGTAGCGAATTGTCTACATATTTATCTTACTTTTCTACATTTTTTGTACGCCTAATCGTTTTAAATCTCGTCGCAAGATTGTGGAGGTCCTGAGGAAGAACGCGCTGCTCGTGAAATTTCATTTTTCGACAAAAAAGGTTTATTTATTTTTTTTTTGTTGGAGGTAAATGCTACATTGTTTATATATATAATAAATATGTTGACTTGTTGGTACGTATATATCACACTTTCATATCAACTTAATTTCCGAAAGTTTAAGAGCTACGCTGAGAAGAATTTCCACTTTGTCGATACTGGAGTTTGGATTTTAATTTCTATCTAGGTGCAACGATCTTTTGCGTTTAATTCTTTGAGATTAATTGCTACTTTGTTACGATTATCGGTATAATGCGAAAGCTTAAGAGAAGAATTTCTACTTTATTGATACTGGAGTTTGGATTTTAATTTCTATATAGGTGCGATGAACATTCGAAAATGACGTTTAATTCTTTGAGATTACTTGCTACTTTGTTACGATAATCAGTGTAATGCAGTTTTTCTTGTTCCGATAGTCATATATGCTGCGAAGTATATATCACTAGTGTACGATAAGTTCTGTTAATGTTGCATTAATGGGAAATGGTGTCTCTGCGCTTCTACATTGTCTTCATACTCTTTTTGAATTTACTCAATTTATTTGGCTGCTACATACTCATTACTCAGGTTGTGACGAACACTAATAATCTTTTTATTCGAACTTTACAGATTTTACGGTACACGTTTTAGATATCAGACTATATTATACAGCGAACAGTTTGATAAATTTCTTTTTATATTTATTCTATAATATTTACAAGTAATCGACACTCATCGTTACCAATAGAATTCCATGCCCTGCGATTCTCCCAGTTATAGATATAATTTCCCAACGAATAGAGCTTTATTAACAGGTTTATCTTTAAAATGTACATAAGTATATACACTTATTCTCATATATAAGTATGCTCCGTTACTTCCATTTATTTATGCTCCGTTCCAAACCGCAGGATAACTAAATAATTAATTCCCTCCGTAGACTTATTCACCGGCTAAGTGAGAACAAATCGGTTATTATAAACTCTTAATTATTGTTGTTAATTTACTCACGTAGCTTATTAATTTGAGTGCCAGCTCTCCGAAACCAGTGATCGAACAACTCTTTATGGCCATTCGACACAAGTGTAGACCGTAGATATTGTTTAGAAATTTGTAGATATTATTTACAGGAAATTTGTGGATATCACTCTATCGTGCCACGGGCCAGGGATCTTCTGGATTTATTAATGAGATTTATAATGTAAAGACGCATAAGTTACAGAGTTACTTCCACTCGAATACTACTCCGATACTACTCCGTTGGTAATCCTTCCTCTAGTTAATGTTTTTTCTTTTTTAATACAATGCAGATTACGAATCAGGGACTAGAGATAGTTTTGTCGATACCACTTGATGTTACTACTAAGTTCCGATCAATGTAAGAAATATTTATGCGCAGTGGTGATTATTGAGTGGAGAATATTTGGAAGCGGCTGGATTATACCTTTGTATAAAAATGAAGAAAAGAAAGAAACGGAAGCGTATCTTTTGTATGCGAGTGCAAATAAAACTTTCAATCGGATCATTGAAAAAGATTTGTTATTTTATTAAGTATGTTCGGTGGTTTTATTTTGTAAGCTCTTTCGATGTTGGCTTTGTTTCGAAGACAGCGGTCTGAAGGTAGTCGAATGTCTTTTTATGCTTTTTGGGGGAGGAAAATACAGACAAGTGGAAGGATAATGTGTGAAAAGAAACTGTGAAGGATGTCTGGAAAGTCAAGGAGGTTAACCGATGTCGACTCTGCGAAACAATTTCCAGAAGATGTTAAAATTGTCCCGTGGAATGAATGGTCGGATTCAGAGCTCAACGTGGAGAAGTGGGATAGCCCTAAAAGTAATATTTATTTTTCTTTCCTATCGATTAATGTGACTTGGTAATAAGAAATGTTTTTTATAGGTCCCGATGATGGGTTCTTTTGGGATACAGAAACAGTGATGATGCCTCCATCTCTAAGTGTTCATAAATGGATAAGAGCTCGCGAGTTGGCAAACTTATCGGTGAGTGAAAATGTGACGGAGAGAATTGTAACCTTAAAAAGTTAAACCGAGGAGGTTCGGTTGAATTTTGTTTAATAATTCCTGGGATTTCTCTTGGGATTTTTAGGCGCCTCCAACTGTATTTGTGCCTGGAGGTGAACAGTTTGATTTTTCAAGAAACAATGGCCACATTCTTCACAGCGAGGTAACTCTTAATATTCTGTATCGTCTCGATGGAATTACTCCGATGGGATTTATCATTTTTCCTGCAGTTTAAAATATCCATCGGTGTTATTCCTTTTAACCTGAATGTCTATATTGAAGTCCATAGCTTAAATGAGGATTTATTTCCCTCCGTTACAAATTAACAGTTCGCACGGTGGTTCATATCGTCAGTGGTCGATCTTCAATATTGTGGTCGAAGTGGATTGGAAGTTGCTAGCGAAGGTAATTTCCTTTGGAATAATGCGAACCAACCCTGGCAAGGTTGGTTTAATGTGTACTCTTTAAACAAGGCTGGAAAAGGCGCAGCTCATCGACCTTCCTTCAATACACATGGTAAGAAAGCGTAGATAATTTTTATTCAAGAATTTCTTTATTTATTTAAACGTTTAATTAGGGAAGTACATAGTGCGTCTTTTCTTTATGGGATGCTGGCGTCGTTTTCTGGTCGACGACAGAATACCAGTAGACGAGGAAGGGAAACCTCTTCTTCCTTGCACCGCAAACAATTTTGAGCTGTGGCCGATGTTGCTTGCGAAGGCACTTTTAAAAATTGCTTCGCTCTCTTGGACACCAATAAGGGAAATTACTGACTTCAGTGTAATCACCTGCTTGACTGGTAAGTAACTAATTTATTAAATAAATCCAATTCAATGGTAATCATCGCTGCTTTAAATATTATCTGTACAAGAAAGTTAAGAGGTTATGTGTTACCTGAGATATACTTAATTCATTCTAGGATGGTTGTGCTTGTCGTTGGATGTAACTCATTTGTCGACTCGGTCCAAGTGGGACTTTCTGAGGAAATATGCTGATCGCTTTGAATGGTCATCGCAGACAATGGACTTCGATGGCAGATTTTTGAATTCTGACGGAGAGAGTCGAAGGAAACAGATTAAAGAATCGCATGAGCCATCGACAGTTCTTTTCATCGTAGTCAGTGAGATGACAAATCTTTCTTCGGGGAATGTTCCAAGCACAGCTCCATGTTCTGGATATCTGATCTACGTAGAGTTGCTGCGGGATGTTCCCCTCGACCCAGGGGAAGTAAGTTATCGAAGAAAAAGTGATGCAGTGGAGGGATAAAAGATTGTGTAAATGCTCAGGTGAAAGCCCCGCTGGCAAAATGGAAGAACTATCGCTGGCTGGATTGGGCGATAGACCGAAATCTGATAAACCCTGTGGACTACTTTGTGCCGATCCGTTACCTGAAAATGGTTAGTCCTCTAGGATCGCAGAAGGAAAGTGTCAAAAGTGGAATTTTGGAGACCCCACACGAGGAAGAACATCAAAAGCATCATAAGACATCCAAACCAGAGACGGTGAAGAGTAAAAAAGGAAGTCTGCTGAAATCAATCGAGTCCACAAAAGAAGAAGTCAACGTCTCTCTCGATACAGGCTTCTGGGGAGACTTTAATAAAATGAGTGCCTACGTAAAAGCAGTCCAGCTGTTTTACAAACCGTGGCACTTCGCATACTCTTCTAAAATTTCTGACACTTTTGATTCGCAAGGTGAGAGTAAAGCTAAATCTACAACTGGAAAGGACTCGAAGAAGAAGGATGCGAAGGCAAGCACTCCGGAACATTTGTTTAGAGATCGCTACAGATGCTCATCGAAGTTGCGGAAGAGCAAAAATGAACCTTTGTACTTGTTGGTGGATTCTGTGCAGTTAAAGTTCTTTCTCGTTGAGTTCTCAACGTCTAAAGTGCGGAAGTGTGAAGATTCTGACTCCGTCTTGCTGGAGACCTCAGAATCTTCAAGTTACGCAGTGATCGAAGCACACAATTTCTGTTCGAGACCAGTGGGGGATGAACCGGTGGCAGAATTAAAAACCAAGGGAACCAAATCAATTGTCTTTGAGCTTGAACCTGGGCGACATTTATTCTCCATATTTGTGCACTCCGAAACAGCTTTCTTCATGAAGATCCTCTCCGATACAGTGTTCTACATTGGAAATCGTCAAACAATGTATGAGATTATGTCAATGGAATCTTGTCTCGTAGATGATTACGTTAAAAGGGTAAGCGATGGACTGAACGATGCTTTACAAGCATTCGGCACTCCAGATTACCGTACAAAATTAAAGAGATATTATCAGAGTTACATCCCAGCCGATAAAGAGTCATCGAATCGTTTGAATAGACGAAGGCCCAGCAAGAAAAGAAAAACTCGAAAGATCCACAGCCTCTTTTCCGAAGGATTATCCTGGGCTGTGACGTCTTCCTTCCCTGAGATTTCTGGAGATATCCTTCGGGCACTGAGGATTTTCTTCATTAATCCTGACATTGGAATAAATGATCATCGCTCCAGTACTTCGCTAGATAACATTAATTACTCGTATTATGAACTAAGAAGCAGAAGACTGGGTCGGTCCAGATCCGAAGAAATGACAGGCGAGGACTACGAACCTATCGACTACGATCGAGCAGCACTTCTGATTCAATCCTTCTTTCGAAGAGTACTGATCAAACGATACATGCAACAACACGATCCCAATCACCCAAAGCATCGTAGCATCCTGGAGCAACTGTTTAAATTGGCCGAACTGTTTAATTACAACAAAAGGGAGTCCATAGCCAACGTATTGTTTCGCAACTTGATGAAAAGGGATCCCTCGTTGTGTGGTTTTTATCCCTGTGCTAAAGAGTTTCAACATGTTCTTCAAGTTCAAAAGTGTAGTGGTATTTTGAACAACGTTTCACCAGGTCGGTGGATTCCCATAGTCCGACTATCGATAAATGTTCCGGCTAACACAACCACACAAATGTTCGCAGACTTGTTCATCTCATTACCAAGATATACTATCAGGGTTTTTAATAATGACACTGCTCGTGAGATTTTTCGCATCGCTAATGATGTTGCTCCGACGAATTTTCGACATTCTAGGTTAGGGTACACTGTATTTTGTTATGGCTGGAGCGAAGCCAACAGATACAAAGAACTGAACTGGGAACTTAACCTAGTAAGCGTGAAAGGAGATGTCATGTTTTACCAATTGGAAAATATGGAAAAGATTTCTCCACTCTCCAATATTTCTCGCCTGGTTTGCAAAGAGTTTTTCAACAATTATATACCAAACATTTGGAAGCTGATCGGGAGATGGAGTCTTGAAGTTACGTCGACTACTATTGCTTCGTTCAGATTTAGAGTGTCTTTTGATCGAGTGAAAATTAAATTAAAAATTCTTAAAGATGATAAGGTCTTGAAGGAACTGGTCGGAGGGCATACAATCATTTTGCCACTTGTTCGGTTAGTGAAAAATGAAGATCAGTCCGTTGCTGATGCGAGGAAAGAGTGGAAGGGCAAGAATCAAGATAACGATGAAGCTTACGAGAGGAGTGAAAAGGAAACGAAGGATTATTATCTCGAGGCTTATGTTTTGGATGACTCTTGGCCACTTTTGGAGTCCGATTGGGTTGTAGTCGATGCAGCGAAGAAAAGAGGTCCCAACGCTGGCATTAAAATGAGTAAACCTTCTTCGATGAGTTTGAGTAGACCGTTAACTGCGGAACTGGCCAAATCGAAACATGGTACGAAAAAGTCATTGGATATCAATTACTTAATGGAATCTCCATATTGGGTACTCCAGGTGATCAGCGATGCTGGAAGTGACATCGGGGTAATGTTTCTCTTTAATTCAATGAAGTATATTTGAATAATTTCTTTATAAATGACGGAGTAAAAAAAATGTAGGTAGTACAAGATACAAGACGAGAGGAAGAAATAGCTGAGATGAAATCGGTTTGGGTGGCCGATAAGCCTGATCGTCTGCAACAAGGTTGTCGGTTGAGGGAAGAATTTTTAAATAAAAATCGAATTGTATTGGAGCCATCGGAGGTAGTGTCGAAGAAAAAAATATCGACAATCGTCAGCCAACATAAAGACGTCAACAGCAGCAATACTGCGAGGCTTTTATCACAACTGTCCGATGATAACCAGCGAACTTTAGTGCCTCCAGAAAACATGAAGAATCTACTTCCAAAATTAGACTTGACTATCTACATGGTAAAGGAAGACGAAGAGGAGGATCGCTGGTATAAAACGGAATACGACGAAGAAATGCTTCGGAGCCATCGAGCTGTCAACATGTTCGACTTTGAACAATATTATTTAGGATTTCTAGAGGAATCTAATGACATTTTGAATAGTCAGAGACAGAAATACTCTCGTCTTCTGAATAATTACAGTGAATCAGTGTCTCGTAGGAAGTCGTTATTAAATACAGCTTATGAAACGAGGACAGTGTTCATCGACAGTGCGGAGCCTTTTCCAAGTGAAGTTGAAGATAAACAGAAGAGAAAGAAGAAAAAGTGATGAAAAGTAGAAATAAACACAGGAATTTATGAATATTAAACTTTGTTAAACAGTGACAAGGAAGTTATTTTACGAGTCCTATTTAAATTTCCCGCTTTTCATCGTGATATATTAACTACGTCTTCATCGCACTAAATCCGGGATTTATCGAGGGCAGATCCTTTAAATCGCATTAATAAATATAGATTCGACCCTGGCGCTTCGATCGACACTTAAACTCGGATTTACTGGGTCCAGATTTGCTAATCCCGGATTTAAGAGCACGATGTACAAACACGTGAGCCGCCAACGGCAACTGGTAGATGGCACCGCCATCGCGAGCGCGCGAGCCCCTACCAGAAATTCGTTGCGCCGCCCTTGGGGGCAAAAAACGGTGAAAGCTAACGTACGAAACCAGAGGGCAGAAAAAGGATCGGATTTCCACGTGCGCTCTAGAATTGGTCACAAAGTCTTCTTCTTGAATTTCAACCGTTTTTCAAACACTTTCCGACGTAGTCGTCTTTTCATTCCAGGTAAGTACTGTAATATCACACGGGGTAACGCAGTTTGCCCCGTCCTAAACGCATCGCACTCGTCGCGCGCTACGCCCCTGGTGGTCGATGGCAGGACTTCGTCCCGGGCCCGCCACAAAACTCCACCTGGGGGCGCCATCTTGGATCTTCTTAACTCCGCGGTCGTCGCGGAACGGGAAGCCGTAGTGTAGCGCCATTTTGTAAAGTCGGAGTTCCGAGGATGTGTTGGACTCGATTTCGGGAGCGAATCGACCGGCTATAGTGCGCGTTCAGTTCCAGCGAGTGCAGCATAATTCGAAGATCTTTTCAGCATGACGCAGTTCCTGCCGCCGAATTTGTTGGCCCTGTTTGCTCCCCGCGACCCTATTCCGTACTTGCCCCCGGCGAGTAAACTCCCTCACGAGAAGAAGAATGGGGGCTACGTCGGCGTCGGGGCTTTCCTCAAATATTTCGAGGCAAGTAGAGACGAGCCCTTGGGAATTTTTCTCATCCAATTATATGTATTAAATTTGAAGTTAATTTTTGCCCATTCTCTGCCGATACGTTTTGCACTCATTAATTCGTTTCATTTTAGGTACAAACGGTTTGGGCTCTTCGTTAATGCATCCTGTTCTGATGCTACTGCCGATATGTCCCCGAGAGAAATATATAAATATATGTGTAAACAATGCAGATGCGTGCGGCGTCACGGGTATAAATATGTTTAGCGGGGAGAGTAGATACTCTTTTCTGTCGATACGTTTTGTACTCGTTCTTTTATTTCATTTTGGTTATAAATGGTTTGGGGTCTTCGTCGATGCATCTTGTTACGATATATAACTGCGAATATGTTTCCGAGGGAAATATATAAAGATATGTATGTAAACGATGCATGGATGTATGCGGCGCCACTTCTCCATATGTTTTTAGAGGGAACGGTCAATACCGAATCGATGAACATGTGGATCATTTTTTGTAGTATATTGGTTTTCTTACAATGTGTTTACAGAGGAAATTAATATCAAATATCAAAGTTATATATGTCATTAGTACATATCAAAGTGGTACGAACATCGGAGAGCATCACCTTTTTATGCATAATTACCAAATAATTTCTGCTCCCAGGACCCCAAGGATACACCTCCTCCTGTCCGAGTGGAAACTCGTGAGGAGCGTCTGGAGCGTCGCAGAAGAGAGCGTGCCGAGCAAGTTGCATATAAACTTGAACAGGAAATTGCAGTATGGGATCCTGCTGGGATTCCCAATGTGACGGCGGATCCATTTAAAACGCTGTTTGTAGCTCGCATTGTAAGTTGAATGTCACATTTTCATAAATTCAACATTTTACCTGCTATGTCGGGTACTAACTTCGTCTCATTTGTTTCGTTACAGAACTACGATACATCAGAGTCGAAGCTTAGAAGGGAGTTTGAGGTGTATGGTCCTGTAAAAAAGGTAAATAATATTTGCATTTGTTTAATATTCGTCCCAAATAATGCTTTGACTATTTCAATTGAGCGAAACCATTCGGGTGAATAAACTCACGTGAGATGACAATCCGAGAAGTGAGTACTCTCGCCAAAGTTACGGAATCTACCCTCAGAGTACCAGCCAATTATGCGTACACGTTCACCGACGATTCAACTTACTTCGAGCGGTGTATACGATTTGTTAATCTCGCTCTAAATAAATCCGGTGGAACATTTACGTCTTTAACCCATGATTAATTTAGACGTTAACTTTACTTAATCTCGCTCTAAATAAATAAGGTGAAACATTTACGTTTTTAACCCATGATTAATTTAGACGTTAACTTGACTTAATCCTGTCTTTAACCCATGATTAATTTAGACGTTAACTTTACTTTACTTAATCCCGCTCTAAATAAATTCGGTGTAACATTTACGTCTTTAACCCAGGATTAATTTAGAAGTCAACTTTACGTAATCCCGCTCTAAATAAATACGGTGGAACATTTACGTCTTTAACCCACAATTAATTTAGACGTCAGCTTTACCCTACGGTTAGGTAATCGACTGTTTAACCTACCGTTAGGAAATCGACGGTTTAACCTACTAGGTAATCGATGATTCAACCTCGGTAGATGGAAACGCGGACAAGGGATGTTACTACCCACTATAACCACGGCTAATCGATGTTATCCCTTATTTCCAGATCGTAGTTATCCACAATACGATCAACGGCAAGCCGAGGGGTTACGCGTTCATCGAGTACGAGCACGAGAGGGACATGCACTGTAAGTAAAACGAAGGGCAGCCTCCCGTTTCCTCTTGAAGTGGCCCAGAGACCTCGTGGCCCCCCGAGACCTGGTCTCGTCTTAGCGTCACTTAGATGTCTATCTAGATGTGTGGGGCTCTAGTCAAAAGCCTTTTAGTTGGTGTGTCGAGCACCAATTCGGTCCTGGGTGGGTCCCCGGCATGCAACCGTCCGGGGATCCGCCGATCTCTCATTGTCTGGTAAAGCGAAAGGGAGAGATAGAGAGAAAGGGAGAGAAAGAAAAAGAAAAAGAAAAAAAAAAAACCACACAACCAACCCAAAGCGAAATATTGGCTGTCTTGATTAATGCAGTTTTTATCTTGTTCTTGGTACAGCGCGGTGGCCGTTGGCGGCAACTAGTGCCGTTCACTATTCCATGCAAAATCCCTGAACCTGCCTGATATGATAGGTTTGTATGTGTGGTAAGATCCAACATACAACGAAGTTTGTTAGAGTCTACTATCGAGACCCTATTTGCCATACCGCGGGTTTCTGTTTCTTTCCTTAAGGAGGGAGTCGGAGGTGGCGCCCTCTGGTTCGCGGGATTCTTCGCCGCGGATTACACGCGGTTACTACTTTAGCGCCGCGCTAAGGTCTTCGCCGATTTATCTGGGGCTTATGATCGGGCGTTCTGCTACTTTATGCGATCGGATATGAGCGGGGAGATGTTTCACGCCATTCTATAAAATGAGACACGGCTCACTAGCGCCGTGGAACTGCTTTCAAAGGGGCGAAATGTTCTCCGTCGATAAAGAAATACCCGTATGCAGATTTCAAGTACAGCGCATGATCGGTGGAATTGAGTTATCCCCTTTTTGTTTTTAGCATCAGGGTCAACGTAGGTTAGGAAAGAAGGCCACGAATACTGATTTAAGTTGTTATGCGTGGATGATTGGGATTACGACGCGGCACCCACGTATACCCTGTTTTACCGATCGTGAAGACTTCGCCCCTGTGAAAGTAGTTCCTATTTTGACAGAGTGTAAAGGGGGTAGAGGGCGCCAGGGGGCCACGCCTCCCTTTCAAACTATGGCGGGAAACGTCTCCTCGCTCATCTCTGCTACGATGGAATCGATCGGTGGGGAAGCTCGGAGGAAAGGTTCAGGGAAGAAAGTCAGATCTCCCTTGCGTTCTCACTCGGTTAATAGAGAATCATCAACGTTTCATTGGCTTTCTTCTGTTTTTTTTTTTTTTTTTTTTTCCCTTTTGGGACGTCCTTAAGGGGGAATGGTACTACTACGCTAATTTCGAATTCACCGCGCTGCCATCTAACGGCGAACGGTAGTACTACTTGTCACCAGGGTTGAACTAATTAAAATCGTCGATTTGAATTAACGGATTTTTATATATAAAAATAACGGCCATCTGACGGCGAATAGTGGCAATACTTGTGACCAGGGTTGAGATTAATTACTTTAATTGATTTTTATTTATAAAAATAACGGCCATCTGACGGCGAATAGTGGCAATACTTGTGGCCAGGGTTGAGATGATTTACTTTAATGGATTTTTATTTATAAAAATAACGGCCATCTGACGGCAGACAGAGGCAATATTGTGACCAGGGTTGAGATGATTTAATTCAATTGATTAAAATCGTCGATTTAAGATGATATGAAAGACGCTGAGATATTTAATCGACGTCGATAAATTAAAATTCATCCATGCACTTTTTGGTGGCAACGTCATTTTGAATACTCGTTTCGGGACCTACTTTAGCGCCTCCATGTTCCCAGTGGCAAGATTCGGAACTAATCGGCACGTCCGATTCGGGTAATACTTTCATATCGCCTTAATTGCGCGAAAAAAGTGTGATTAGAGGTAAAATAGATGGCAAACAAGGGGAAAAAAGGAAAACGAAGATAAAGATTCGAGCACATCAGCCCTGGGGTTACCGTTGTGACCAAGAGTATGCTTAGGAAAAGATAAAGAGAAGGTAAAGGGAGAAAGAGATTTTCGAGGGTAAGGAAATGATTAACGTTAAGGGTAATGGAAACGAAAATGATACGGTAATACTGCGCACGGTCGGATTGTAAGTAACGAGTGAAATATGGCGCACCAGGTAAACGCAATAGTGAGGTTATGCGGAGACCGAACACGCGCATGCGCGCGAAGAGAGACGTGGGCATCTTTCCAATATCTCTAACCTCCCGTATCTCGCTTACGGGTTCATTTAACGAATTAAGGTGATATGAAAGGGTCATTCTGTGTTTATGAAACGTGAAGACGTTCATGAAACTTTTTCCCAAACTGGGTACACCGAATCATTTAAATACTTCAGCAAGTGATTATCGAGGCCCTGTGGAAGAACGGGGTGCTCCTGAAATTACAGTTTTCCCAAAGAAAACAAAAAAATGTATTGGTTCTAGTCTGGGGTAAATAAACAATTTTTTTTTTTCTTCTTTTTATTGTAAATGAAACTTCACGAGCACCGCGTTCTTCCTTAGGGTTTTCGTAATCACGTGCTGAAGTTTAAAATGATTTGGTGCATCCAGTTTGGAGAAAAGTGATATATCTTTGCGTTTCATAGATATAGAGTGACCATTTCGTGTCACCTTAAGACGTATCTCCTAAGATTTGTGTTAAACTGTCCGTACGTAACGTAAGTAGCCGCGGTAGGTATCTTTTGTATCTGTTAATACTTTTTTTTATTCTCTCTCGAGATTAAGACCGCCTAGACCTAAGGTGACGCGGCGCCTGGACATTTGAGAGGCGACGCCATTGGCGGGCGCTGATTGGTCGACGCGGCCATTGGCGCCGCCGGGTGGACCGCCTCCTCTCGAAACCTGACAAAGAATCTCGTTACGAGTTCTGGGGGGTCCTGGGCCAATGGTTTTGACCAGGAAGTAGTATAAGGAGGCATAACCACAAAAAGTGGAACCACCCCAGAATCGGCACCTACAGCGTTTATTACGTATTTTTGACGAGAGCGCTCACTTCTCGCACTTTCATCTCACGTGGGTCTATTCCCCGAATTACGTATTCGCTGGATGAAAGAACGAGATCATTAGCACTTCCGGTCTAGTAATATTTCCAAATAAAGGGCGTTTATTACGTATTTTTGACGAGAGCGCTCACTTCTCGCACTTTCATCTCACGTGGGTTTATTCCCTGAATTACGTATTCGCTGGATGAAAGAACGAGATCATTAGCACTTCCGGTCTAGTAATATTGCAAAGTAAAGGACGTTTATAGGGTATTTTTCAAGAGAGAGCTCACTTCTCGCACTTTCATCTCACGTGGGTTTATTCACCGAACTACGTATTTGCTGTATGAAAGAACGAGATTACTAGCATTTCCGATCTAGTGGTATTGCCAGATAAAGGGCGTTTATTACGTTTTTTAGACGAGAGCGCTCACTTCTCGCACTTTCATCTCACGTGGGTCTATTCCCCGAATTTCGTATTCGCTGGATGAAAGAACGAGATCATTAGCACTTTCGGTCTAGTAATATTTCCAAATAAAGAGCGCTCACTTCTCGCACTTTCATCTCACGTGGGTATATTCGCCAAATTACGTATTCGCTACATGATGACCGGGTTGAAGATAACTGAAATGGGAGGCAAGTAAGTAAGTGCAAGGGGAATAAGTAAGTAAAGGTCCTACGTATGTCGGCGATCAGCTTCGTCAAATGTCCAGGTGCGTCACTGTCATCGACGTAGATGACAGATAGTTAACGCTGTCACATGCCAGGTTAACGTGCCGATATGCCTAGCGAAAGTTAAGAAATATCCTAAGTACGCTGGCTCTAAGAAAGTGTACTCTTCGGCACCCCTTAACGACAACCGTTAAGGTTGTTTGAGATATCTTGGTTAGGCCTCTGATAACCCAATATATATATATCGCTCATCATTCGACACGAGTTTCTTGGTCCTATGTACTTGGCGCGAAACTCTACCACTTTTAATTCTTACAAGGGTAGATACCCATGATGATCCTCCGTTAAGTCGATACGAGTTTCTTGTTGAAATGAACTTGGCGCGAAACTCTACCAATTTTAATTCTTACTAGGGTAGATACCTATGATGATTCTTCCTTAGTCTCAGGCTTTCTTGGATCTTCCATATACATATCGCTCATCATTCGATACGAGTTTCTTGTTGAAATGAACTTGGCGCGAAACTCTACCAATTTTAATTCTTACTAGGGTAGATACCTATGATGATTCTTCCTTAATCTCAGGCTTTCTTGGATCTTCCAAATACATATCGCTCATCATTCGATACGAGTTTCTTGTTGAAATGAACTTGGCGCGAAACTCTACCAATTTTAATTCTTACTAGGGTAGATACCTATGATGATCCTCCCTTAGTCTCAGGCTTTCTTGGATCTTCCATATACATATCGCTCATCATTCGTGAAAATTGCCATTCTAACGTTTTCGAGGACCTGGGAGGTTCTGGGGGGCTCTGAATTTTTCTAGCTGCCAAGGTCACTCCCAGCGGTCCCAAAAAATTCTCATCATAAGTACTCCCCTCTGTTTACTTGTACAAATTAATGCAACCCATTCCGAGGAATCTAAGCCATGGAAAAAAATTCTTGAAGATTGCCATTCTAACGTTTTCGAGGACCTGGGAGGTTCTGGGGGGCTCTGAATTTTTCTAGCTGCCAAGGTCACTCCCAGCGGTCCCAAAAAATTCTCATCATAAGTACTCCCCTCTGTTTACTTGTACAAATTAATGCAACCCATTCCGAGGAATCTAAGCCATGGAAAAAAATTCTTGAAGATTGCCATTCTAACGTTTTCGAGGACCTGGGAGGTTCTGGGGGGCTCTGAATTTTTCTAGCTGCCAAGGTCACTCCCAGCGGTCCCAAAAAATTCTCATCATAAGTACTCCCCTCTGTTTACTTGTACAAATTAATGCAACCCATTCCGAGGAATCTAAGCCATGGAAAAAAATTCTTGAAGATTGCCATTCTAACGTTTTCGAGGACCTGGGAGGTTCTGGGGGGCTCTGAATTTTTCTAGCTGCCAAGGTCACTCCCAGCGGTCCCAAAAAATTCTCATCATAAGTACTCCCCTCTGTTTACTTGTACAAATTAATGCAACCCATTCCGAGGAATCTAAGCCATGGAAAAAAATTCGTGAAAATTGCCATTCTAACGTTTTCGAGGACCTGGGAGGTTCTGGGGGGCTCTGAATTTTTCTAGCTGCCAAGGTCACTCCCAGCGGTCCCAAAAAATTCTCATCATAAGTACTCCCCTCTGTTTACTTGTACAAATTAATGCAACCCATTCCGAGGAATCTAAGCCATGGAAAAAAATTCTTGAAGATTGCCATTCTAACGTTTTCGAGGACCTGGGAGGTTCTGGGGGGCTCTGAATTTTTCTAGCTGTCTAGGCCAACCACTGCGACGTATAGTCGCTTCGCGATTAAATCACTGACATTACTTTTAGGACAAACCCTGTATGTCATCTAATATACATGGCTTTCTCCGCGTATATTACAACGTATAATACGTTCCTAGTTTTCTACGAGTGGGCGAAGTATATTACGCCCTTCTATTTCTAAATATAAAATGAGAGGTCCAATTGAAAGATCGATATTAAACAGGGATAAGTCGAAAGGATTTTCAACACGAGCGGGAAGTTATTCCTCCAACGTTTTTACGCGTTTACACGGGCGCCAAAAGACGTTTGTAAACCTAGCGGATACGCATATCGTGCATCTGCGTCATCCGCCATATTGAAAAGTTAAAATTCTAAGGGATATTCCAACCCAAGCGGCAAATCAATTAACTGTTCCGTGAAAATGACGACGCGTTTACATGTGTGCTGTGAAAGACGTTAATCAACCTAGCGGATGCCGTGTATCGCACGTCTACGGCGTTCGCCATATTGGAAACGTGTAATATACTGGTTTTCCAGGATTTCCTGTGGCAAACCACGCGGTTTACGTAATATACGCGATAACTCTCGAAAAACCCAAAGTTACCCAGCCCTGTGTGCCATAACCTAAGCCATACCTATCCCAGAGAGTCCCTGAGTCGCATAATTCCGAAGTCTCCATAGAAGCCCAGAAGGATACGGACGCTTGATGCTCGATAGTACGTTAGCCAACCGATGGCGGCGCTGCGATCACCTCTCTATATCTCCCACACACGTTTATATGCGTCTCTCTACCTCCCTTTAGTGATATGCCGTTGGCTAACACGCGTTATCTCACTTTAACCACTTTAGTCGGCCATTTTTATGCCGCCAAGCGGTAGGATAAGGTCTGGGCTTCTGTGGGACTTCCCAGTTATTTGCCCCGAATGCACAATTAGCACCGATTACCTTGCTACACGTCGTCTCTCTACCGTAGGTAGGTGTGTCCGCAGGCGTCCATGTCGTAATCCAAAGCTTGGTAATTTTAGCTGCGTATAAGCATGCGGATGGTAAGAAAATAGATGGTCGCAGAGTGTTGGTTGATGTGGAGCGGGCCAGGACGGTCAAGGGATGGCTGCCCAGAAGACTAGGAGGCGGTCTCGGTGGTACCCGCCGAGGAGGACCCGACGTTAACATTAAACACTCGGGTAGGGAGGACAACGAGAGGGAAAGGGAACGCTACCGGTTGGAGCGGGAGAGAGAAGCCTGCGGACGTGGATCCGACAGAGAAAGGTACGTATCCCGAAGCATCTTCGATGCTTCTACGAGGGGTATCTCAAAAGTTCCACTATTTTTTTTTTTTTTCTTTCGGTTTTTTTCTTTTCTCTTTGACGGCGTTCACCACCAAAGTCGGGACGATGACTTCCACCGGTAGGTGGCATTAGCATCGCATTCGGTGGGAGGTAACCAAAACGTACTTCCTCGCTCGGATGAGGGAGACGCGACGCATAATGGGCTGTGTGTAGCAACGGGCGAAAAATGTGTGGGTATTTTCCACGTATAGGACTCACACAACGGCTAGGCGCCGAAACGTGTGTGTGACACCCGGGGCACGCACACGCCAGGTGGACGCTCCGCCTAGAGTCGGCAACGGTTGCTAAGGGATGCCCAGATCCTTTATTACTTACTTTCCTTGCGATTACTTTTGGGACACCCCCCTCGTATCATTCATTAAGGCGAAGTGATACACGTCGGGGAACTTGGTCGACGTCGGTATCGAAGATTTTTCTAAATACCTACGTTGCCGACGTTCATTCCATATCGACTGTTGGGTCTAATTATACCGGACCAAATGGCATGCTCCATCTATCGTTTCTCTGCAATAATTATAAAGAAATCTAAGTAAAAGTCCAGATATCCCCTCGATTTATCGTTTCCGAGGCTCTGGTCGACCGCAGAGGGACCTCTGTGACGTTTAGCTGGAACTAAACTTCGGTTCCAAAGACACGTGGTAGCCACGAGACAAGCCAAAGTATTTTCCATAGTTTCCCACCTGACTCTATAATATTCCATTTCTACGGTATTCTAAATTGTTCGAGCTAGGTCCCGAAACTCTTCATTTTCGATTCTAACCCCCCCCCCCAAGAAGCATAAAACATCGGAAACGTGGACGGACCACGGCATGTTGGTTCTAGTCCATGATGAGTAAATACATTTTTCCATTTTAGGGATCGAGATCGGATCGACCGGGACCGGAGGAGGTCGCGCGATCGAAAGCGTAGATCCCGGAGCAGGTCACGTGACCGGAAGCGCAGGCGCAGTCGCGAGCGCATGCCCGACCCCGAGATCGAGGAGATCCAGCGGGAGGAGAGGCCGCGCGAGCGCAGGGACCGGGACAGGGACCGCGACAGAGAGCGCAAGCGCAGACGGTCGCGCAGCAACGACAGAGAGAGAGACCGGGATCGCAAGCGCGACAAGCGCGACCGCGACCGCGACCGCAGGGATCGCAAGGACCGCGGCGACCGCCAGGAAGAGGACACCAAGGAGATTCGCATCAAGGAGGAGCCGCTTGATGGTAGCTCCCGCTTTCTTGAACTCTCTTTTTTACACGGTGAAACCTTCGTGAGACCCTTCGGAAGGGTAGTGTAGGATTTGTACCCACTAAAACCCCATGACGGTGCTTTTGCCCGGGGGGAAGCCCCGGGAATGCCTATGCTTGCAACCGGTCCTCTCCTTGGCAACTGCTATCATCATCAGCTCGTCCTAACGTTATGGGCGCCATCGGACTGCTGGATTTCTTTTTGGAACCCTATATTAACCCTTTCCCTACGACGGGTGACTATACTCACCGGCCACGAAACGCCACCTACACTAGAGTGACTATACTGACCGACCACGAAACGCCACTTATACCAGGTGTATAAGCGTAAATCCGCTGTTCTTTTTCTTTTTTCCTAGAAAGCGAAAAGATAATTTATTCAAAGTACTGGCCCTCGCCATTTGTCCCATCTCTCGGCCTTTTCCAAGGAATTCAGAAGTCTCCACAGAAGCCCAGAAGGATACGGACGTTCGATGCTCGATAGTACGTTAGCCAACGGGTGGCGGCGCTGTAATCATCTCTCCATCTCTCTTAATCTTATGGCGATATACAGCGAATTTCATTCTTTATTTATCTTACACCCAATACTCGCTCTTCTATATGTGTCTCTCTTCTTCCCGTATGTGAGATATCGTTGGCTAACATATGCGATCTCTCTTTTACCCCCACTTCTAGTTTGTTAGTTCCAACTTTTACCGCATCAAGCGCTAACATAGGATCTGGGCTTCTAGAGAACTCCTGAATTTTTTGGCCTTTACCAAGGAATTCAGAAGTCTCCACAGAAGCCCAGAAGGATACGGACGTTCGATGCTCGATAGTACGTTAGCCAACGGGTGGCGGCGCTGTAATCATCTCTCCATCTCTCTTAGTCATTTGAATCCCACGCGCCGCTTTCGCGCCCCTCAGATTTCATATCGAAAAAACGCGGTCAACTTTCCAAGCGCATCTCTTAGACGAATTTTTCGACGCAGAATAAAAGGAGAGCTGTTGCGCTGTTCTCTTTAAAAACCTCTGGTAGTCAAGCGGTTAAAGTCGACCGATTTGGGGGAGGTTTAAATTCCCCCTAACGCGGGAAAATTCAAATAAATCCGAAGTAAGTGCTCTGTAATCGATTTTAACCGTGGATTGTCGATCTTTCAGATTACCCGGATTACAGCAACACGTTTACGACGTCGACTTCGTATTTCACTCAAGTCAAGTACGAAGACGAGAACGAGGTCGAGGAGAAATACAGAATTCCGGAAGGACGTCCGGAACAGCCGCCGTACAGCAATTACGACTCTGTCCAGGACTACTGATCGTTTAGTTCAGATCCCGACCTCGAGAGGGCTCTGCGTGGCGCGATCACGGAACAGTTCTATCTCCTGATGTTAATAGATGGTTAAACGAGATTCTCGCCGCGACGCAGACTATGAGTTACGATCTTTATTGGCAAACTGTAGATAATAAGGGAAGGCGCTAGCTTTGCACCATCTACGATAGAGGGGGTCGAGAGATACTGGGAATAGGCGAAAGTGTGAAAGTGTGAAAATGTGAAAATCTGAAAATACACGGCGGAGGCGCTTAAGAAAGGCATTCTCCTTATCCGACGATTACTGGTAGCGGCTACTCGGACGGAAATTTACAGTATGTTACTTCCGTCGCTGGCAAACTATGATTACAGTCGTATATCTCAGATTTGTACATAAGTTCACCTTATTTCAATTGACTGCTGTATGTATATGTTTATACTTACGGGAATAAAAACTGAGTATACATACTGTACTACTCGAGGGTGCCGATCGTGGGTGGTTGTTTACTTTCTTCCATCGTTTCTATTCCCGGTTGGCAATAAAGTTACGCCGATCGAAATGTGAGAGCTATATCGTCGAATTATATTGAGTATTGTACTAAATGGCATATTCCACCTGTTTTCGTACAATAATTATAAAGAAATCTAAGTAAAACACTAGAAATCCCCTAGATTCGTAGTTTTCGAGGCCCTGACTGCAGAGGGACCCCCTGCGCCATCTGTGATTTCCAGGTCAACTAAATTTTCACTCGTGACCTCGTATTCCCATTGTTTTAGCATGTACTGTAATTAGAAGTTCTACGATATAATTTTCTTATCATGTCATGTAAGCATGAATTATTTAACAGTTTTCAATGTTTAATAATGTAATATAACCTCGGAATAACAAAAACTAACCTGTACATCCTAGTAAATTCTCTTTCATCTAACGATAATGGGTCCGAGGCATCACGTAATTCCCTTCTTCTTCTAATAAGGTTATTACGTCCCCGAATGCGATTGTTGGCTAAAATCAAAACACCCAGGAGGTTTTCCATTTTGAATTTCGGTGTCACAATCCGTGGAAGATGGCGCTCATGGCGCTTATTTTCCTATCATTTCTTGTATGCTTCACCATTTCGCTTAAAAATTTGTGTCGAGCTAGTTCACATGAATGGTCTCGCATTTTCATCGCCAAAAACGTTCCGTGATACCGTGAGCTTCTCATTTTTCACATTTTCGCTCAATTCGCTTTACGTAATAGACCCCCAGAGGATGGATATGAATGGTCTCGCATTTTCACCACCAAAAACGTTCCGTGATACCGTGAGCTCTTCATTTTTCACATTTTCGCTCAATTTGCTTTACATGATAGACCCCCTGGTTTTATTTAATACTAAACTGACTAGGTGAAAACGCTTCTCGAACTAGGATTTATCCAATCCGGTGTTTAATAAATCCCGAAAGTAGAGACTTCGGTGTTTTCGTTAAAACCGAAGTAAACTGTGTTTACACAGCATTTAACACCAGTAGTGACATCGCCTGTATTTATAAAACCAGCGGTAAAGTCGCAAGTGTAAACGCCCTTAGTGAAGTAGGGGATTAAGCGCAGTTTTAATTGGTTGTTCATTTTCAGCGCGTTGACGCGACGCGATCTTCGCGCCACTGAACGCGCTCAGTGAGACAGCGCCAAAACATGAAGTGCGTCGCGTCGTGACGCGACGCACTTCATGTGATACCCGACGCGCCCTGTGGGACAGTCTCGCTTAGGTCAGTCTTCGAAAGTATTTGTACGTATTTCATTTGAAAGCATTCCAATGAAATGTCAGATATTCTGTGTTGATACTAAAAATGCACTTTTACAGCAGGGAGACTATTGTAACCTAGTTATGGACAATTATGAAGAAGGGGAACAACACGTAATTTTCTGTACTGGAAGTGAATGGGTGGAACAATTAATTAGTGAAGTGTTCCGTAGAGAACCTCTTTGGAATAGTAAATTGCCCTATAAAGAAAGAGGGTTCAAGACAACGTCAGTTCTATGGGCCGAAGTCGACCATATTTTAGGTAATTACGAGACACGATGAATCTTCCGAAGAAAGTATACAATGCACTTATCGTGCCATTTTGTTAATTACCGAGTTGTATACCGATGTGACGAGTCGAGTATTTTGACTCGTTAAACTCGAGTTGAGCATGTTGAGTCAACTCGAGCTGTCGGTACAAATGAATGCGAGTTACAAAGCCGAGTTCCTTGCATTACGCCTTATTTATTTATTCAAGTAATCGTTAATCGAATTGTCTTACTCTTTAACTCGCCATTGACTCGACTCGTCATGCCGAATGTATGTGGCGTCGAGTTGGCACGGTATTCGCTAGATTTGTATACATTTCAGATAAAGAAAAAGGAACCTCTCAGGCGAAGTTTAAAAGTCTAAGAGATCGATTCTTGAAGTTGTACGCCGAGTGTAATAAAAAGCCAAAAAGTGGAAGTGCTGCGTCGGCGTTACATAAAACAACTTGGAAGTATTATAATCAATTGTTATTCCTTATACCGACAATCGAATGCAGACCGTAAGTCAAATTTTCACCTATGCGTTGGAGATATTTAACGTCGTAGAGATTAGTCTTTACGTTACTGTTTCAGAGCGAATACACATTTAAAGAAAATAGAGGAAGGCACCAATTTCAACACGAGCTCGACAGAATTGTCAAGTCGGTACGCGTTAAAGAGAAAGAAAAGTGCAGAAACTGGAAACACGATGGACTTAGATCCTTTCAGGCAATATTGCCAAGCCCAGTTAGAGGCGAGCTCTCAACCACCCGATCGAATTGGTGCATTTTGTATGTATTTAGAAGCGGAGCTAAGAGAAATGGACATGAATTCGGCTCAGATGATGATGAATAATGTTTTGAAATTATTATTGGACACAAAGGAAAGGATAAATGAGTAAAATTACAAATAGTTCTTTTTATTTCACCTGTCAAAGTGTAAAGAAATACTATTTAACGTACAGATCATACGAAATTTGTCACATGCACAGAAATATACAATACAGACACAAACATTCATTTAAAGATTCTTATATCATGCGATAATAATATACACAATTAAAATTAAATGCTACGTGATTCAATGAATCTTCCGTAAAGTACTTATTAAATCATCGTAACGTTCCCCGCAGTATAGAATATGAGGTTAAAATTTATGTAGATGAACTGTGGTTTTTATCATTTTCAGACAATGTTGAATATTTTCAAATTACCACCTGGATACAATGGAGAAAATAAACGAGTATAATTATAAATAGTCCCTTTTATTTCATCTTTCAAGATGTGAATGATTACCATTTAATATACAAGTCATAACCTAGAATTCATTACATGTAAATATACAATTATCGACACAGATTCTTTAATTACACAATAATATACAGGATTAAAAATAAATACTACATAATTTGATGCCACGGTACAGCTCCGTCTTCCATAAAGTAATGCATAAAATAGTCTCTTACGTGAGCAGAATATCTGGAATAACTTTTCACACCTATAACCGTAATGTCCTGAAATGCTCCGTTCCCATCCAGATATTGCCTCCAACCTCCCTCGATAACTTCCCCTGTTTTAATTATTTGATCAACGTAATCTTGCCCGCAGTATACATCATGTGGCATTAAAAAATTATGCAGACAGACGGTAGCTTTCATAATTTTCTGGGTCGTCGATAAAGACGTATTCATGGGTTTTCCAAAAATTCTCCAGCGTGAAGCAAGAACACCGAAAGCATTCTCTGTAACTTGTCGAGCACGACTCAGACGGTGATTAAAAATCCGTTCCTCTTCTCTTAGACTTCTTCCAGTGTATGGTCGCAGGCAGAATTCAGTTAAATCAAAGTTTTCATCCGCTACCATACAATAGGGCATCTTTTCAGAGTAAATCTCACTCAAGGGTGACGGTTCTGGCAAATTCATTTCACTGTTATAAAAGATCTGGCCCATTTGGGAGTTTCCAAAAATGTCTACATCGCTATCCCTCTCCTGGGTGTTAATGTCGACAATCAGAAATTTGTAGCTGGCGGAAACTAATGCCATTAGAATAATGTTGTGTTGACTTTTATGATTGTCGGCATCAGAACTGGCATGTTGTGGAAACTGGAAGAAGTTTCGAACGTATAAATAAATCCTTTATTAATAAGCAGTAAGATGAAGCTTTCCTTAAACCAGTCGATTCGAAACTCAGAAAATTAATGTTGAATTACACTGAATAAATATATATACATAATTTCTACCAACAAACATATGCTTTTAAGCACGAATCGATACTCACTGTGTTTACAACGTGCTTTGCATCGAGAGCTCCGATGCAGTGAGGGAAGTTCCATTTCTCCTCAAATTCATCGCTAACTTGAAGCCAATGTTCCTCCGATGGTTGTAACATCTCTTCTTCGAGGGCGTTCCAAATCGCCTCGCAAACAGTGGGAATAATTGCCACCGCGGTACTTCTTCCAATACGGTAGGACAGTGCAATTGATGTAATCGTATCGCCAGTAGCCAAGTAACTGAAAAATAAAAAATCGTTATAACACCTCTTCCATGGTTACGATGTAAATAGAAATATTATTCCATAAAGCAACCCCAAAACATTGTTATCGTTTACTTAATGCAGATTTTACCGAATCGTGAGTGCTAATCGGGCAGCTGCAGGAATTGTCTCTCTAAAATTTGTCGACTGGCGTTCAATTTTTGGTCCGACTTTGGTGAGAAGAGTACTAAACGTTTGAGGCGTCATTCGCATGTTATTAAAAAACGTTTCGCAATCCCATAGCTGCATCTCTTCGATGAGACGATTCCAATTGCCTTGTTGCATCCTGTTCATAAATATCGGCCTAACCCACAGCTTTCGTTTCTTTATCAATCTCTGCTCTCTTAGAGCAACTCTTTGCTGGTTTAAACGCAGCTCAGCGTCCATTAGTAACATTAGTATTATACTCCTTCGACGTGCACGCCTCCACGCATCCATGATACCGAACGTTTAAAGAATTAACCTCACGGTAAATAAAATACAGAATGTATTCCACTTTCTTACAGATGAAGGAAAATGTGTTTATTGTACTCTAGCCGCAGTAGAATTTCTGAAAAGAGAAATAAAAATGGTTTATTTGTTTTCGTGAGAACGATATACGAATAGTTCATTGATTCCAATACTTAACATTAAACAACTTTTTATACAGCTTAATACTTACGCTTGTAATCGTTCCACTTTCTTTGCTTTGGCGATCGGTTATAAACCATACAAATTATGTATTTAATACAAATTATTCGTTCATTGATTTCAATACTTAACGTTAAACTTTTTATATAGCTTAATACTTACGTTTTGTATTTGTTCCATTTTCTTTGCTTTGGCGATCAGTTATAAACCATACAAATTACGCAGACAACGCGCCGCATTTAATGTGACACCCCAAATTCAGGCACTACGTGTACCTGACGCAAAGCCTTGCCGCGTCGCGTTCAGTGTGACACCAACCGCTGCTCGACGCGCTTAGTAGGACAGTCTCATAAGATAAAGAACCACGGACCTAAGTAATAGTAAGAAACCAAGGGGGTCTATTACGTAAAGCAAATTGAGTGAAAATGTGAAAAATGAGGAGCTCACGGAATTTCGGAACGTTTTTGGTGGTGAAAATGCGAGATCATTCGTATGAACTGGCTCGACACAAATTTTTAAGCGAAATGGTGAAGCATATAAGAAAAGATAGAAAAATAAGCGTCGTCAAGTTTCAAATAGTGAATACGTAATTCAGCGAATAAATCCACATGAGATGAAAGTGCGAGAAGTGAGCGCTCTCGTCAAAAGTACGTGATAAACGCCCTTTTTTGGCAACATTACTAGGCCAAAAGTGCTAATGATCTCGTTCTTTCATACAGCGAATACGTAATTCGGGGAATAAACCCACGTGAGATGAAAGTGCGAGAAGTGAGCGCGCTCGTTAAAAATACATAATAAACGCCCAGGATTCGAGTTACAGAATCGGCTCCCAAGCCTTCACCTTACCGCGAACGTGGCGCCGCCACGCGGTAGCTTCGGTAACCTCCGACCGAAGGAAGAGGCGACATTCTTGGCGCGTCCAAAGCAGTCCGAAGGAAGGTGTTCCGAGCGGTTACAATTGTTGCGGGCGATTGGAGTGCGATGACGATGGCGACTACTCAGGTTAAAGGCAGCGGATGGCCGCGACGGGCAAGTAGTAATGCCTCCGAAGGGAAAGTCGTGCCGAACCAGTCGGTTACTATCAACAGAACGGTGAATCTGTAAGTTCAAGCCCTCCTCTTATGCGTTCTCGCATTCGGCCCCAGGGCCGATCTTAGCGCAGTTATGGCCGGCTCGGTGACGCTAAAAGCTTCACCGGGTCGAAAATCTTCAGCGATGGATGTTATTTAACGCGTTCTTTGTATCGATCGACCGTAACCTGTTAATCGACTTTACTCAGTAGTTTACTACAGGCCGGGGAATATTCTTTTGCAGTATCGATTTTCTAGCCCCTGTAATACATTCCCGGAATTTGGAAATGTTTGGCACGATAAGCAGGCCTGTATTAACCTTCATGCCTTGTTCAGCTCCGTTGCGGTTCGAACCAATTTCACTTTTTCTTTTATACACCGCTAGCTCATACTTTGTTATGTTTTTAGTTACCTGAAGTACCGGAGTACCTAAATTACGTGAATTATCAAATATTAATGGTATAAACGAGGTTATGAAGGTATCGTCTTCACATTTTATTCCAGTTGAACTCGGTGACACTAAAAGTCATCGATCGACCGTAACCTGTTAATCGACTTTACTCAGTAATTTACTACAGGCTGGGGAATATTCTTTTATAATATCAATTTTCTAGCCCTTGTAATACATTCCCAGAGTTCGGAAACGTTTGGCACGATAAGCTCCGTTGCAGTTCGAACCAATTTCACTTTTTCTTTTATACTTTTCTATTTCACAATTCATGTTTAATTACCCAAATTACAGGAATTACCAAATATTAATGATATAAACAAGGTTATGGAGGTCCCAGAATACATAAATTGCATGAATTATCAAATATTAATGGTACAGACAAGGTTATGAAGGTACCGTTAACCTCACATTGTATTCCAATTCAACTCGTTGCAGTAAACTATGTGAAAATTGAGGAAGGCGTGAAGGTTATGTTATTTTGTGTACGTATACATATGTATATACACGCGTTAATGAATTGTTATAAATGTTTTCATAAATGAACATAGATTTGGGAATTAAAATTTCATGATTGATTTAGTTTCGTATCTTGGATGCATGTCTTTAGCTCCTTCGGCTTCCGTTTGGTCGATCGTTGTTCTCGTTGTGCATTTTGTTCATCGGCCAAATCGAAGGCGATACAGGGATCCGTGCCTCGAGTATATATTATATATAATTAGAATTTTATAAAAATGTATGGCAGCGATGTAACGTACGTCTAACAAAGGCCTTTACATCGAAGTACTTTGTATATTCTTTCATGTACATTGAGTTTTCTTATATCTGTTATGTACTTATTTATAAACGTTCAGTTTATTTTTAGGGTGACGATGTAACGATAACACTGCTACATATTTTTAATGGGTGTCTATTGATTACATGGAAGCGCATGTCTTTAACGATTATATATTGTTTGTATTAACTGTATCGTATATATTTATACACATATCGATGCTCCGTTTCACATGCTTTTCAGAGATTTCAATATGTATAATTTAAATTACCGGGGAAGTGGTTGTTTGATATTGAGATAATTCAAGTTCGTTAAGACGGAAGAACAATTCCAATTTTTTACTTTCCTTTGCAAGATCATAAAGTGCAATACTTTCTTCCGGACGTTCCATGGAATAAATGATTACGTTTACTATTGGAACTAAGATTTAAGCATTATGTATTACTTAACGATATACATAACCTATAAGATTGAGAGACCGAAGCATATATTGATTTTGAAATTGATATGTGATTTAAATGAAAAGTATTGCCTGTTTTATTTTATACAGAAATCGACTTTTATGTAACCTGTTTAAAAGTTTAACTATACAGTTACTACAGTAGTATCGTAGAACGAGATCATGTCCACATATTTAGTGTTTAACAAAACTCAGCTTCTGCAGAAATTAATGTTAATAAATTAAACCTGATCAATTGAATGTTGTGATCGTACTAACATATCAGTTGACAAGGTCGATCGTTCATCGGTATAGTTAAAATATTGTACGTTACTTTGTCGATATCATATTGTATATTTGACCATGCCAATTTGTTATAATCATGTATTTGGTTGTATCAATATTTCTCAGCTGTATTATTTGTTCTAAGTAACAAACTCAATAGTCTCACCTGATAACATATTAGGTAGCCAACGCAGTTAATGAATTTTTCATTGCGATGTCGTTGGTCTCATTACCGTAACAGAATTAATTTTATTAAAATGTATCAACCGTTGTATTTGATCTTACAAGTGTATCCAAATTGTAACAGGAGGGATACATGCCGATGTAAATTAAACCTTTACATTATTGTACATAATTGTTAATGTTAAACAATGTTCAGGCTTCCTGTTAATGAGTTACGTTTTGTGATGTTCATTCAGCTCAATCGGCTTGTCATAGGGTTACGCAGCTCTTGAATAACCAAAAAATTAAGTCGTCTTATCATATAATTGTATTTAATTTTATCAGTCTGTCGTAATCATTGTACATGATTGTAATAATGAATCTTATCAGGGTCTTATTATTGTTGTATTGCTAATTACTCAATTCGAAGTCATCTTTCTATCAGCATCGTATCAGATATTATATCGTCTGGTCTAGTATTTTCTTTGACGATGTCATTATCTTATATTATTGTATCCCGTCTTACCATGTTACCGTTGGTGATAATTTGTCGCAATCAATATAACAAACTGTAGATTGATGTATCTTGACAAAGGCTTCAGAGAAAATTGTATCGGTACTTATATCACTACGGTGTTTTGTTCGGTGGAAATATTTAATAATAATGATATTAGGGAAATATGGCCCTCGTAGCACTTTCATCAAAATGTTGTAAACTGAATAATGGCAACGGAAGTACAAAAGTTGCTCTTTTAATGTATGTTGATTATTGTATTTGACTTTACTAACGTGCTCAAATTGTATCGAGAAGTAACACCGTTACCATGTCAAGAGATTCTCCTAAAAGAAAGAACAATTACCACGTTATTGTAAATGGCTACTATTGTAAGACAATGTATAATGCTTGGTATTAATTAATTTCCTGTCTGTGACATCGGTTCAATTTTAATAATTTCATTTTATTGTTACGTTGTCTGCCCAATGGCTGTTATTAAAAAAGGAAATTAATTTCCATGGGATTTGTGCCAAAGTTAAAGCTGAATGTTTCCGGGGCAAGGAGTGTAGAAATTTCGTAGTCATGGACAATTGTTTATAAACATTTCCACTGTTAGTTACGAGGATTATATAGCTGAAAAGCAGTTTGTATAAATTTTTATGATAAATGTTCATGATTTCGTGTCGCTATGCTGAAACAATGGGAATACGAGGTCTCGGAGTGAACATTTAGTTGACATGGAAATCACAGATGGCGCAGGGGGTCCCTCTGCAGTCAATTAGGGCCTCGGAAACCATGAATTCAGAATATGTATTTATTACGTCAAAATGTTTATAAAACCTTCCTAGGGTTGTTTGGAGAGAGGTGGACGATCTAAGGAGGATGTATGTCGGATCTTGACTTTAGATAAGTTACGATGATCAAGGTGTGTGACCCTAACGAAAACGCATCCAACTCGTTTACCTATAGATATCCTTTGACAAACTATACGTTCGGAACGAAAGAGCCGCTCTTCGAGAAAGACCCGTCGGTGCCGGCGAGGTTTCAACGAATGAGGGACGAGTTCGACAAGATCGGGATGAGGCGCAGCGTCGAGGGGGTCCTACTCGTCCACGAGCACGGGCTGCCGCACGTCCTCCTCCTGCAGCTGGGGACGACCTTCTTTAAACTGTAAGTCCTTGCCCAATTGCCATTTCTATTTCTAATTGAGATTGAGGTGAAGTGAAAGCCCCCCTTAAAATCATTCTAATACTACACCTTATTTTTTTTATTTTTTATTTTTTTTTTAACACATTCGCGACCTTTGACGTGAATTCACGTCGTTGCCGCTGACGTGAATTCACGTCTTTTCAAGATCCATACCTGGTTACCGCTGACGTGATTTCACCTCTTTTCATGTTCTATTCCTGGTTGCCGCTGACGTGAATTCACGTCGTTTTAAATTCTATACCTGGTTACCGCTGACGTGAATTCACGTCGTTGCCGCTGACGTGATTCACGTCGTTGCCGCTGACGTGAATTAACGTCGTTGCCGCTGACGTGAATTAACGTCGTTTGCCGCTGACGTGAATTGACGTCGTTTGCCGCTGACGTGAATTCACGTCGTTGCCGCTGACGTGAATTCACGTCGTTGCCGCTGACGTGAATTCACGTCTTTTCAAGATCTATACCTGGTTACCGCTGACGTGAATTCACGTCGTTTTAAATTCTATTCCTGGTTGCCGCTGACGTGAATTCACGTCGTTTTAAATTCCATTCCTGGTTGCCGCTGACGTGAATTCACGTCTTTTCAAGATCTATACCTGGTTACCGCTGACGTGAATTCACGTCGTTTTAAATTCTATTCTTGGTTGCCGCTGACGTGATTTCACGTCATTTTAAGGTGAAGTGAAACCCTCTTCAAATCAGTCGATTCGAATACAACACATTTTTTTTAAAGGGTTTTGGACTAAATTGTCCTAAACTTTGTCACATGACTCGTGATCCTCGGCCGTAATGTTTTTTTTTTTCTTTTTAACTTCAATTACCCTACCGAAGAGAGGTTGAGGACTAACCAACCGTTAATTTTGTTTTCCAGACCCGGAGGAGAGTTAAACACCGGAGAGTATGAGGTAGAGGGCCTAAAACGGCTCCTTACTGAGGTAACAGTCAGGGCGACATCTTACGTCGCTCTTCGGAGTGACTAGGAGGCGGCATTTTAGTTTACCTAGATGGCGCTTCCCTCCTCTCGGGACTTTTGTTCTCTTGTGTACAACAGAACACTGATCTATGTACTGACTAGGCTTGTTCGCGTTGTCTGCACTTTCTACACTGGAGGGTAACGAGGGTACTACACTTTTCTTGAAAGGTGCCGAGGGGTAGATGAACTTTCGTCGACGTCCCGAGAGACAGAAAGCTCAGGAAAGTACAAGATGGCCGATTTAGCGGGACGGTTGGCGATTTTGGAGCTATTCTAATCGGATGACGCAATGCTTCTCCTCCATTACATCATCTAGCAAATGGTGACGATAGGGATAATATATGATGCGGGGATACATAATAATTGTAGATTAATAAATTGCTAATCAATACCGGATTAGTAATAGATAATGATTGTACAATTTTGGTCAGAGATTACGTAGAAAATTGAAACGCTAAATCGTTCTGCACATGGAGACAATGTATTGATCATTATTTATATTTATATTACGGTGAGATCTTGGGAGAAACTTTGTAATTTCCTGTTTGTTGGTCTTTTCAATTTTCAAATTTCCCGGCCTACGCTTCTATGACGTCTTGCGTTAGATGACCCGCTGTTTTGACGCATGCGCAGATACTACGCTGTTAGTTTACGTGCCCGTCACCAGGGGGCTTTAATACGTCACGCCACTTTGTAGGATATCAGCTATCCAGTTAGTATATAGATCAGTGATAAGGAACCTCGCGTCTCTGTACGATCTCTGTAGAACTTATGTAACCGGGCATGTAGCTCACACGGGTGCCAATTTTCGGCCACGGATGCCAACCTAGAGTAAGGAATGCTCCATGCCCGGACACTACTCGATGTCCCCATAAAATCTTCTAGGGATTATCTGTAAACTATAAACGGAGTCTGTTGCATTAAGGCGACATGAAAGGGTCACTCTATATATATATAGTAATATAATGAATAAAATTTAATTCATTATATAAACTAAATAATTTGAAACTTCAGCACGTTATTATGGGGGCCCTAAGGAAGGCACCTAGTTTTAAGAAAAATTATATATATATATATATGTATAACTTATGTAAAAGTATATGTATATATAACTTCTTCAACTCACATAAAACTTTAACACGTGATTATGTAGGCCCTAAGGACGCGATACTCCTAAAATATCATTTTTCACAATTTTCTTTTCGATTTAACCTAGACTAGAACCACAGCCTCATATTATTTGTTCATTTATTTATTTATTTTTTCTCGTAAAAAATGTAATTTCACGAGCATCGCGTTCTTCCCTAGGGCCTCCATGATCTCGTGCCGAAGTTTGAAATTATTTGGTGGACCCAGTTTGGAGAAAAGTGATATTTTCCTTTGCGTTTCATGTGTATAGAGCGACCCTTTCGTGTCGCCTTAATGGCTGGCCCGTGAGTTTCTGTAAAACGCTTTGTAACCATGTTCTTAGTGGACTGGAAACCGAGAAGATTGTTGTTAATTGTAGGAGGAACGGCTTGTGGTCTCTCGAGATGTGTCGAATTTAAGTCGCCTCCATTTCTAGACTCTCGGACGACAAGATGGGGTGAAACAGGAGTGGGTAATCGAGGACACTATTGGCAATTGGTGGAGGCCGAACTTCGAACCACCCCAGTACCCCTACGTGCCACCTCATATCACCAAGCCGAAGGAACACAAACGACTCTTCCTGGTGCAACTGCAAGAGAAAGGTATATCCCAGTTTTAAGGGGATGTGAAAGTGGCATCCGAAAGCTCAATCGTTCATAAAACTTTCCTACGGACTGGGTGTCTCAAACCGTTTCATACTTTAAAACGTGAATAGACGTCATTAAGCTTCCCGTCTTATATCATATTTCCTCTGTTTCAGCTCTGTTCGCCGTACCTAAAAACTACAAATTAGTCGCTGCTCCATTATTCGAGTTGTATGACAATTCCCAAGGATACGGACCCATCATCTCCTCGTTACCGCAATCTCTCTGCAGGTAATTATATGCATGACTGTTTGTATGTCTCCCAGTGTACAATGGCGGACATGAATGCCTCCCCTGCAGATACGGCATCCCCTGTGTAGGATGGGAGGGCATTGATGTTTCCCAGTGTACAATGGCGGACATGAATGCCTCCCCTGCAGATACGGCATTGCTTGTGCAGGATGAGAGGGCATTGAAGTCTCCCAGTGTACACTGTGGACATGAATGCCTCCGGTGCAGATACGGCATTGCCTGTGCAGGATGGAAACGCGTTGATGTCTCCCAGTGTACAATGGCGGACATGAATGCCTCCCTTGCAGATACGACATCGCCTGTGCAGGATGGGAGGGCATTGATGTCTCCTAGTGTACAATGGCGGACATGAATGCCTCCCTTGCAGATACGACATCGCCTGTGCAGGATGGGAGGGCATTGATGTCTCCTAGTGTACAATCTTGATACTCGGATTTCCATCCTTCCTTTCGCCGCGTCGAGGGGAAAAGAGCAAACCTTAAGGGGATATGAAAGACGCTAAGAAACTTAATCTCCAACGATAAAGTAAAATTTATCTATCTTTTTTTAGTAGGGAAGCCGTTTTGAATTATCAAGTTTTTGCAAAGCATTTTATTAAACGTAGAATGGCGGACATGAATGCCTCCCCTGCAGATACGGCATCGCCTGTGCAGGATGGGAGGGCATTGATGTCTCCCAGTGTACATTGGCGGGCATGAATGCCTCCCCTGCAGATACGGCATCGCCTGTGCAGGATGGGAGGGCATTGATGTCTCCCAGTGTATGTATCATACTTTTGGATTATCTTAAGGTAATATAAAAGTGATATACGTACCATATTATGTATGTATCACACTTTCGGAGTACCTTAAGGTGATATGAAAGTGATATACCTACCATGTTATGTACAATGGCGGACATGAATGCCTCCCCTGCAGACACGGCATCGCCTGTGCAGGATGGGAGGGCATTGATGTCTCCCAGTGTACAATGGCGGACATAAATGCCTCCCCTGCAGATACGGCATCGCCTGTGCAGGATGGGAGGGCATTGATGTCTCCCAGTGTACAAGTATACTGGTCTCATATTGTATGCTTACTACATTCCAATATTTATTGTTTATTAGTAATATCATTATAATGTACATTTCTCAACGCAGAGTGTAACAAACTTTCATTTATTGTTTATTATCTTTAATAATGTGCACATCATCAAACATTGTGTACTCGGTATCTTTACCCCTACCGGATTACTTACCAAGGATTTCTTTTCTCTGTTTCAGATTCAATTTTATCTACATGTGAAAGTGAAGCGCTAGACAAAGATTTGACAAAGTTTTATTTAAGTTAACCGAAAGTCGGGATGAGTATCTGCGAATGTGCGTGTGTATGCGATGACGAGTGTACGACCGATGACGCGTTTTCCGTATGAAGTGACGAAACACTATGCAATTAAAAGATTTTTCTAACCAGAATGCGTCCTGTTGGTTCCCCTTGTCTTACGATTCAAGGCATCTGGAAACACGGTAGAGTTTCGCGCCAAGTTCATTTAAAAGCGTTTAGCGTGTTTTCCGTATGAAGTGACGAAACACTATGCAACATTCCAGCTTAGATTTCTTTGTAATTACGTTTTTAACCCATGATTAACTTGAACGTTAACGTTAACCTACGGTTGGGTAATCGATGATTTAACCGAGGAACCGGGCTATATCGGTTAATTGAAAACTTATTTTATTTAATAACTTGCCCGTACCACAAGACAAACACGTAAGTATGATCCAAGGTATTCTAAATTTAAAACTATAATTGCCCACGAAATAATCACGTTAAACCGAATATTAATAAAAATGTGACTTTAATTCATACGCGCATATATATTATCAGTAATTGTTTGCTAGTCGAATGAAATCCTAATTGTCTTTAAGTAAAAAATAATGAAGAATAAGAAATGATTTAACTTTGGAGTGAAGTTGCGTCATCTATTTTATTAAATGTATGAAAAATTAATAGTACTTTGAGGTAACTGATATTATAACATTAATGTAAGGTGTACACAACATGTTACCTTAACGAGTCGGAAATAATAACTAACATCTAACTTCCGTGTTAGTTTTATGCTACATAACAACGTAACATTTACCCAACAGTTGTATAATGTTCACTGGGATGTTATTTCTTAGCATTAGGTTATGTGACCGTTAGGTTTGTTGTTCAGTGGGTACATTATGCGATGATGTATAATTTACCGAAGGTCAGCAAGAGTTAATATCTCAGGCGAAAATATGACGATCGGTTATCTTATCGCCAACTCGTGGCGCGAGATGCCACCGAAGACGAACTTTCGAAATCCATTCCTGATGGTTGTCGTGATTACAGCTAACTTCTACTAACTACTAACCATTAAGTATCTTCTTTAACTTTTACTAGCTTCTACTAACTTCTTCTACTAACTTTTAATAACTTCTAACTTCTTCTAACTTCTACTAAATTCTAATAACTTCTAATAACTTCTACTCACTTCTACTAACTTCTATTAACTTCTACTAACTTCTACTACTTCTACTAACTCCTAATAACTTCTACTAAATTCTTCTACTAACTTCTAATAACTTCTACTAAATTCTTCTACTAACTTCTAATAACTTTTACTAACTTCTACTAACTCCTAATAACTTCTACTAAATTCTTCTACTAACTTCTAATAACTTTTACTAACTTCTACTAACTCCTAATAACTTCTACTAAATTCTTGTAATAACTTCTTCTACTAACTTCTAATAACTTCTCCTACTCGCATTTGAACGGGATAAAGGCAAAAAAAGTGTTGTATGCGCTTCTATGTCAAAACGATGGTAATACAAGGTCTCGGAGTGAAAATTTAGTTGACCTGGAAACCACAGATGGCGCAGGGGGTCCCTCTGCAGTCAATTAGGGCCTCAGAAACCACAAATTCAGGGGATTTCTGGGATTTTACTTCGACTTATTTATAATTATTGTACGGAAACGACATATGGAGTATGGTATTTAGTACAATACCCAATATAATTCGACTCAGCTCTCGATATAAGTACAGACGTCGGCAACGTAGGGATTTAGAAGAATCATTACTACCGACGTCGATTAAACTTCTCTACGTGTTTCGCTTAATCTGAATATTGTCTAGGAAGTAAATTTCTCGCTCAGTGAGCGTCTTATCGCGGTGGGACGCATATAAAATGATAAGAATTACTGGTATTATTTCCTTCTTTAGGTTCTACGAAAGTGATCAACGGAAACTAAAGGAATGAACTCGGGAAATGATAAGCTCATAGTGCCTATCTACGTAGGTTAATACGGCCCCCTTACTTCTGTCTCTCGATACGTCTTATCACGATGGAATGCGTAGGAAAAGATAGTCCCTTCATGGAAAGGCTTTCTCGTAACTAGAAGTGAAAAATATCATTTTCTGAATTAGAAGAAGAACAAAAAAAAGGGAAATTAATTCACATACCTGAGTCGAAGGGTGTGCGCTTATCAGTCAGGATAATCATTGGTTTATTCAATTGTCTCCACGTCCCAGAGAACACTTTAATATAACTGTTAGGTAAATATTACATTTTCAAAGCTAACTACATAACGATGTAGGATAAAAGTAAGATCAAAGTTAGATACTCGTTATTATTTCCCACTGAATAAGGCAACATGTTATATCAATGTTATAAGTTCAGTTACCTTAAAATAATATTAATTTTTCAAAGATTTAATTAATAATAATAATAATAATAACAACGCAACGTTTTACTTTGTATTATTTCGTGGCACTTGGTAATAGGCAGGTATTATATAATAAATCAGACTGTAAATGAAATTATGCGAATGATAAACTATTTGATATTTAAATGAAAACAATGACTTCATTAGCCAGCAATTACTGATAATGTGTATGCGCATGCGAATTAGAATGACATTTTTCTTTTTTTTTTTTTTCATACAAGTAAACAAAATATGACATGTATTAGTCTTGGGACATTTGACGATGATGATGTATGAAATAGATGTTACCACTTGAGTTATTCAATGTATGATGATCTCTTATGACGAATCGGCCAGGGCAAGCTCTGCCCCACCAAATCGCCTTTTTAACGAGATAATTGACAGCTTCGTCAGAGATAATGTTTGTATGCGTATCTGGTGATCCTTGGACGGTGCCGGAGAAGCTAATAAAGCTCAGTAGCGGAGCAGACACGGTGGTGATAACATCGGAGCTGCTCCGGAGCCGCCGTGTTATCACTGCCGCCTCCTGGGGCGAAGTCAACTTCGGTTTGTGTCGACCTGTAGCGATATTTAAGGTGTAAGGATATTTAAGGGAAATTTTCAATGTGTCAGGAGAATTCTTAGATGATCAGGAGTGATGTGTCAACATTTCGGACGGTTTGGTCTACTGCCCTTAACAAAAAAAAAAGTGTTGTATTCAAATCGACTGACTTGAAGGGTGTTTCACTTCACCTTAAACCGTTTCAAACTTCTTAGAAGCCACGGAAGAGCAAAACTCGATTCTACTTTGCGATCGATTCGGCCTAACAACGTCGCGCTGGTCCGCGTTTAATAAATAAAAATAGTAAGAGTCGTTAACAATTGAAATAAGCGACTTTAATTTGCGGTAGATTGCACCTTGAATGTGGATTTCGCGTTTTATATGTGAAAAGAAGAAAAATGATTATCGTTAACAATGTTGGTCTTGTTAAGTAACGGGCTAAATGTTATTAACTGTTGAAATAACCGGGGTTAATTTGTGTTAAATAGAGTATGAATAGTTGGGTCGCCAATGAGGCGATAAAGATTAAGGTGAGGTGAAACACGTCGAGGAACTTGATCGACGTCGATAAAGAAGATTTTTCTAAATGCCTACGTTGCCGATGTTCGTTTTTACATTGACAGCTGTATCGAATTATATTGGGTATTGTCCCAAATGGCATACTCCACCTGTCGTTTTCGTATAATAATTATAAAGAAATCGAAGTAAAACTCCAGAAATCCTCTGGATTCATGCTTTTTGGGGCCCTAATTGACTGCAGTGGTACCCCCTGCGCCGTCTGTGATTTCCAGGTCAATTAAATTTTCACTCCGAGACCTTGTATTACCATCGTTTTGGCATAGAAGCGCATACAACACTTTTTTTGCCTTTATCCCGTTTAAATGCGAGTTTATCGATTACCAGAGTGTTCTAAATTGTCGTAAAATTGTCCTGACCCTTTCGATTCTCATATCAGAGCCTTCGATAATTGTATATTGATCGAAATATGAGAGCTTGATGCCATTTTGGTTCTGGTCTGGGCTGAGTTACAAAATTTTTGTAAAGAATCCAAACTTTGAATGTGTCAGGACAATTCGTAGGCATTTAGAAAAATCTTCTTTATCGACGTTGATCAAGTTCCTCGACGTGTTTCACTTCACCTTAAACGTCCGATGTAGAAACATTTTTTAATATTTTTGTTTTGTAAAACATTCCGTTGTTTGGAGTGAAGAAATTAATTTCGGATACAGTGGATACAGTGGATACAGTGGATACAGTCATTGGTTTATGTTCTTGGTTGACCTTGAATTGGTTATGTCGATTGGTTATGTTCTTGAAGTGAAGCAATTAATTTCGGATACAGTGGATACAGTGGACACAGTCATTGGTTATGTTCTTGGTTATATTCTCGTCCTCGGTTACATTCCCTGGGTGATATAACGCACTAAACGCTCTAATTTCAAGACTCACGGAAGAATTCCAACGGAATCCAAGATGGCGTTCAGCGAGGTCAAGGAGAACGGCCCGAAGGTGGCGCTGAAACGCGAATTGGGACTCTTCAGCGCCGTCAGCTTGATTCTCGCAGTGATGATCGGTAAGAAATCTTCGGCAACTGACGACTGCACCAGAGATGAGGAAGAAAACGTTTCACGCCATTGCTGGAAAGGGAGGCACGGCCCCTGGGGCCCTCTACCCCCCGTACACCTCTGTAAAAATGGGAACTACATTCGAAGGAGCGAAATCTTCACGTTCGGTAAATCAGGGTATACGTGGGTGCCGCGTCGTAATCTCAATCATCCACGCGTAACAACTTTATTCGGTAAGAAATCTTCGGCAAGTGACAACTGCACCAGAAATGAGGAAGAAAATGTTTCACGCCAATGCTGAAAAGGGAGGCGCGGCCCCTGGGGCCCTCTACCCCCCGTACACCTCTGTAAAAATGGGAACTACATTCAAAGGGGCGAAATCTTCACGTTCGGTAAAACAGGGTATACGTGGGTGCCGCGTCGTAATCTCAATCATCCACACGTAACAACTTTATTTGGCATTCATAGTCTTCTTTCCCAAGCTACGTCGACCCTGATACTATAAACTAAAAGGCGATAACTTCAGTTCAAAGCAGTTCCACGGCGCTAGTGAGCCGTGCCTCATTTTGGACAATGGCGTGAAACGTCTCCCCGCTCATATTTGACTGAGATGTCTAGCAGAACCCATCTGTGGCATTCTTCATATTGGAAACGTAATTTACTGGCTTTCCATGATTTTCTCCGGTAAACTACTTTATTACGTAATATACGGGAAAAAGCTCGAAAAATGGGGATTACCCAACCCCGTCTCTAACGCCGATAAGTTGTTTCCACCCGCGTCGATACATTGGTTCTCGTATGATCACCGAAGTTAAGCGACGTCGGGAGCGGCCGCTCCTTGGATGGGTGACCATCAAGGATGGTCTTGGCGAAAAAAACAAAAACAAAAAAGAACAATGGTACTAGGCCCTTAGTTAAATGTCCGAAGTCCAAAAAAACAGCCTAAGACGTTTCCAGGGTCCGGCATCTTCGTCTCGCCAACCAGTGCCTTGGAGAGGTCAGGGTCAGTAGGGTTCTGTTTGATAATCTGGGCATCCTGCGGCGCCCTGTCCCTGTTGGGAGCCTTGGCGTTCGCTGAGCTGGGCACCGTCGTGCCCCGTTCAGGAGCAGAGTACGTCTTCTTCGTGGAGGCCTTCGCTCCACTTCACCACTACCTGGGCCAGCTGCCAGCCTTCATCTGTTCCTGGGTCTACGTGATGGTGCTTCGACCGGCTGAAGTAGCCGTGGTGATCCTAACTTTCGCGGAGTACAGCGTCCAGCCGTTCACCATCTTCATGGCGGACATTCCCAAGGCGTCCATGGTCCAGGTGAAGAAGCTCATCGCCCTGCTGGCCCTGGGGCTGATCACCTACATCAACATATCCAGCGTGAAGCTGTTCGTAAGGGTGCAGAACGTCTTCACCGTGTGCAAAGTAGCAGCCTGTGTGATGGTCATCTCCGGAGGATTATGGTGGCTGGCTTCCGGGAGGACGGAGCTGCTGAAGGACCCCTTCGAAGGCACCATCGCTTCCCCTGGGAGCATCGCCCTGGCCTTCTACAGCGGCCTGTGGGCCTACGATGGCTGGACGTCGGCTACCATCGTCACCGAAGAGGTCCAGAGACCCGAGGTCAACATCCTTAGGAGCATCCTCATCGCCGTGCCCACCATTTCCATCCTCTACGTCTCCATGAACCTGATGTACATGTCGGCGCTGACCATCCCGGAGATGATCGGCGCTCCTGCTGTTGCTGTCCTCTGGGCGGAGAGGGTCCTCCCAGGGTGGATGGGCTTTGTCATTCCTCTTGGAGTCGCTCTGTCCACCTTTGGGTGTGCCCTGAGCATCCAGTTCGGCGTCTCCAGGCTTTGCTACGTCGCTGGACAGGAGGGACATGTTCCTCGCATTTTTAGCTTCGTACATGTCACCAGGATGACCCCTGCTGCTGCTGTCGCCTTCCAGGGGATGCTCTCCCTGGCCTGCATCATGCTGGGGAACATCGTCGAACTTATCGAGTTCGCTAGCTTCCTCACTTGGGTGTTTTATGGACTGGCCATGATTGCATTGTTGGTCATGAGGAGGACCAAGGCCGATGTTCATAGGCCGTATTCCGTGCCTACTTTGATCCCATGGCTGGTGCTCTTGGTGGCCATCTTCTTGGCCGTCTTACCCATTGTCGAGGACCCTTCGCCGAAGTACCTCTTTGCCGTGGCCTTTATCCTTCTGGGAATTGGGGTTTACCATTGTTACGTCTTCAAGAAAAGAAAGAGCTTCTTTATGAGTAAGTTGAATAGTTAAGGTGATGTTTCGCGCCATTGTTTGAAAGGGCCCCTGGCGCCCTCTACCCATCTTTACACCTCTGTAAAAATTGGAACACTCTCAAAGGGGCGAAATCTTTGCGGTCGGTAAAACAGGGTATACGTGGGTGCCGCGTCGTAATCATCCATGCATAACAACTTTATTTCATTGAATATCTCTCCCAACTGATCGAAATTAACTGAAATCCATATAATCATTTCTTATTAACGATAGATGCAAAGTATGTAACCTGTGTTTCTGTATTTCAGGGAAACTGACGTTCCTTGCTCAGGTGTTGTGTATGGTGGTTCCTTCCGACCAATGCGACGACTGAAACCAATTTTAGACAAAGTTAATTAACGAAGTGACAATTGCAACAATCAAGCTGCAGTTAGGGGTGGAACAAATTTCGAGCTAGCTACTGGACACTTATAAATTGTTTGTAAATAATCCTAGCCTTCCACGGTCAAGTGGCTGCGAGAAGAAAACGTACAAACCTGTGATTATGTCATAGAACCATTCATATTATACATCGAAATGTCAAAATATTTATATCTGTGCTCGATTCAGGATGCATTGCCGGTTTTCCTTACTTAGCAACATAACATTAATTTATTCCCATGACTGATTAGCGACGCAGGGGAATAATGATTAATTAATAGAAGTGAAAGCCCCTTAAATTTGTATTTCCTTTAAAATAGACGATTCTTGATACCCTGCAAAGAGGATTTCTTGATGATTGGGTATTTCAGTATTATATCTCCTAAGAATTGTATCTACTGTTGCCATAATCTGGTGGCATTTACACTGTTAAATGAAATATATATTTAGATAACAAATGAACAGTGAATTTAAAAAAGGGTGCACGCTTAAACCAAATTAATCGACGTCGATAAATTATAATTCATCTATACCCTTTTCGATGGTGACGTCATTTTGAATACTCAAGTGGTAACCTCAGCTGGCGCGTCACGTTACCGACATTTATATTTGCGTTGAAGTCTTTTACAGTCTACGTTGATAATAATACCGCCCAAAGTAAAAAACAATGAACATGTATTATAATCACGATAAACAATTAGTGGGAAATAAAAAGTAAAAACAAAACCGCAGGCCAACGCTCAGCGGCATTCCCGAGACGGTCACCCATCCCTGGTACTAACCGCATCCAACGTCGCTTAACTCCAGTGAGAACCAGGCGTCCGACGTGGACTGAGCATCGACCACCAATCTGGTACCAGGTACTTCTAAAATAAGTTCATGTTGTGTATATATTACATAATATGACGTTTTTTAGTTATATTAGTTGACTGAGCATCGACCACCAATCTGGTACCAGGTACTTCTAAAATAAGTTCATGTTGTGTATATATTACATAATATGACGTTTTTTGGTTATATTAGTTGACTGAGCATCGACCACCAATCTGGTACCAGGTACTTCTAAAATAAGGTTCATATTGTGTATATATTACATAATATAACGTTTCTTGGTTATGTTAGTTTCTAGCCACTTAAATTCTTTTCATCTGAGGTAAATACAACCGCAAAGGATTTGTCGTTTACAGGTCGGATGCATAAAATTACCCAATGATGAACACTAGAATATCGGACATATAGTGTTAACTAAAAGCAATAATAAAGTCTGTTGGTATTAGAAGGAATTAAATTAATAGAGTTCATTGATATATATTACGTCGTCAAAAAGATCATTATGAGTTCTCCCGTTTAATAGCTCACTGTGATTAGGAAAAATATTAACATCGATTCAACGTATTTATGTAATATATTTCAAACAATTCAATGTGCATCTTTGTATGTAAAATATAACATTCACAATGAATGTAAACCTATCTGAACTGTTTGTACAATGTATTTTAAACAGTTCAGAACTCGTCGTCTCAGTTAATATAGAATTATGAGGGACGCAAACATTTCAAAATCGTTTGTACAATATATCTTGAACAATCCGGCGTGCATTGTTATGTTTAATATATATGGGAAATAAACACAAGCCCTTTCAAACGGTTTGTACAATACATCTAAAACAATCCAGTGTGCTTTTTTGCAGAGGAAAAAATGTCCTGAATATGTACACACTGCAGCGTCAGGCTTATTCGCCTTGTTTAAAATTCTTATAAGCAGACTCCGAGAGAGTTTCCAAATCTTAAGAAATTACAGTCTCATTGTTCCTTGTGCTTCGCACTGTCTTTGACTTATTCTCTGTATTTAATTCAATAATAGTCCCGAAATTGGATTGAATATGTTTAACACGAGTGCTTGCGGAATGATCGTCATGTTATGTATATCATTGTATGTAATACCTAAAATGCTTATGTCAAAGATGTTTACACACAAACTTTAATAAATAGAACACTGAGGTTAGAGTTAGCAACATGCAATAGTTCCTGTTTGCCTTACAGTTCCTTCGCCTTGGTAATTAAAAGATGTACATAGCCTCGTGCGAACACTGTGTGCTTAAAATATCTCAGACTTAAGCGATGTACACGCATAAATGTATATGATTATAATTCCTTCACTTTCCAGTGCACGAGGAAATTGTATTCCCGTGAAACAGGAAGTGATCTGCTGTTAAATTCTAGTTCCGCACTTTGGACACATTCGCTCCTCGCTGAAAAACAAATCTAATTAATATATTATATTATATAAGTATTATACAGAATAATAAGTATACGTAATTCTTTGCAGTTTTATGTCGAATTGGACTTAATATCTGCAAAACAAAATGAAAACACCACGACAGTTAATGTCGGTACGAGAAATAATTTTTTAAACTATTAAATTGTTTTGGCTGTTTTTATATATGATTTTGTAAATCCTTGCACAAGCTAAATAACGCAAACTTTACGTTACATAACGTTCACATAATCTCAGACAGAAAATCATAATTGGCATTTAATCAGCATGTTTTATTGCGTATCGCATTTCTGGAGTGCGATTAAAATATCTCGATGTAACTAAATTTACTGGAAGGTAACCTATAAATACCAATCGATTATCTTTACTGTTTCTTAATTACCTCAATATCTGGTGCAGTTTTTTCTTTAATTCATTGCAGAGATTCGTCTCAGCTGTAAGAGCATCTTCTCTTTCTCTTAACTGCTGCCGCAAATGATAAATGGTATCTTCTAGCGCTTCGAATATTGCCTGAAATTTTAATACCCGATTAATGACACGTTTTTGTAATATTTCAACGTAGCAGCAAGGAAGTCTTACTCTCGATTCCTCAACAGTATCGGAGAGCGTTGGAGGTTCATCCAAACAGAAGAATTCTCGCACGCAAGAAGTTGAGACGAGCTCAGGTGTGTTTAGAATGCCATTAACAAATGCCTGCAGACCGTGTATTCTCTCTTCGAGAAAGCTCGGAGCAAAGTTATCGCCTAGCCACTTCTTTCTAGGCAACGACAAGTGAGAAATTGAAGCTTTTTGTCTCCGCAACTGTGCCAGTAGTCGTACAAAATCAGTGTATCGCCTGAATACGAACCAACAGTCACCAGTTTTCAGTTCGACCCGAAGCTTGTAGACCTACGAACATAAAATACATGAATTTTTAATACTTGCGAGTAACTTGTGGCAGTTGGAAGTAGTTTCTTGTTAACGTTGTGACAAAAGTTAACCTGTACCAAGAGCAGAATAATTATAAACACCCGAGTCTGATTAAAAAGACGCTAAAGTTGTATTTACACGTGCCTCTATTTTCCTGTATTTATTAGAAAAATACAGAAAAAAAAACAAGAGATTATGTATAATACAACGATGTGCTTCTTTCTTCTTGTTTATATCTTCCGAGTAATTATTCTTATCATGCTCGACACACCTTAATTACCTCGCAGCTTATTTCTATATAGAAAGAGAACGGAAAGCGGAAAAAACTGGGACACAAACTGTAAATCTGGCTCTCTCTTCCATAACTTCATATCCGACTATCGGTATCCTTAATTCATTGGTGGAGGGTGGAATTTCAAGAATCGCCGTTCCACAATTAGAGTTCCCATCTGTGGGGTAATTAAAACGACGAACGGTGAATGAGTTGGAGTGGCCCGATCCATCGGAGTCAGGACTGTCGAGAGTGTGAACCATTCCTTGCTGAGATCCCCTCGCTTTACTTATCGCTAGGGTCACTTCGCTGACGCATCCCACACCGGATTCCAAATTGGACATTTTACTGGGGACAAACTAAACGAAGCCATGCAAATCGGAGAAAATTAACAGAAAAACATTACCAAATGATAGAAGCAAAACAATAACGTAATAACGTAACACTGACAATGCGTGAGGGGCTATCGAAATACATCGGGAAAGTAATTTAAGGATAATTGCGAAAGGCGACGCACATTTACTTTTAAAGAAGTTCAACATTCGGAATGTATCTCGCATAGATTTTCGTATTCCGAGGAATTGTTACCTCGAAGTACAATTCCTTTTTTAATGCATTACGATTCTTAAATGGTTGCGTAACTGTGTGAACAAAATTACAGAATAATCAGCACTTTCGGAACGCTTTACGGAAGCTGAAATGTACTTTGAATATTTCCAGAAAGGAATAACGATAGCATGCTTCTATAATGTACGTAACAAGTTCCGATCTAAATGTTTAAAGAGATATGTACGCCCAATGAATGTTTATTAACATTTTGTGATTATTTATTAGCTTGCTTCTATAACGTACGTAACAAGTTCCGATCTAAATGTTTAAACAAATATGTACACCCAATGAATGTTTCAACATTTTGTGATTATTTATACGAAAAAAGGGGTAGAAACTAACCTCAATAAGGGCGTCGAATTCCCAGGGTAAGCAAATAAATTATCATTTACAATTCTTTTCCAATGAAAAGTGAATAAATTCACATAGAATTCGCAGGTGAAGAGAAACGGAATTTAAATTTATTCCATCGTTTAAACATTTTCCTTTTGGAACAATTGCGTTCCACAGCTGTTGATGACAGGTGAGGAACCGAAAATTGACAGTAATTAGTCATGACCATGAAGTTAGTAATATAGTTAGAATACAAACTGGATTTTAGCATTGAAAACCAATTGTGGACGTAGTACGGTTATTCTCCCACAGATGGCGATGGGGAATTTTCTTCCAATGACGATTCATCACACTTTTAATGACGTCTCCATCGTTGTTTCATATAGCGAATACGTAATTTGGCGAATAAACTCACGTGAGATGAAAGTGCGAGAAGTGAGCGCTCTCGTGAAAAATACGTAATAAACGCCCAGGGGCCGCGATTGAATTGTAGAACCCGGCTTAAACGCACGATGGAAACTCTCCTATTTCACAGTTTCTCCGCAGCCAATCAGAGCCTTTTATTCGCGTTTCGTCGCTCTAATGAAATACCTGCCTAAGTTGGTAATGGCCGCGCATGGCCACGTGATCTTTTCAAATTACTACTCACTGCATCAATTTTACGTTCTAAAAGCTTTCGTTGTGACAATGAATCGAGCCATTACTGAAACAAGCGCCAATTTAAACGAGGAGGAATACAGGAACATGACACCCTCTGAAAGACCTCCTATAACGGATAAATACTTACAATGTATCCTGATTTACAATGGTAAAGAGTGAGGTTATATTTCTCTTCTTTGTAACACGTTTTCTCTATACAGTTGACAATTGTCAACCTCATAGTTAATATAAGTTTACAAGTCCACTGTACTGTTAAATTCAATGACCTACGTAATGAGTTTAAATTTGAAATATCAGTCAGTTAGTATTAATAAAAAATCTGAAAAAGTTACAGGCTCTACAAAACGGAACGTACTTTCATTATGCCAAACATGATTTCATGATAAATTCTCTTGTTCGAGAAAAATATATTTATTGAATTGAAGCGCCAAACATTGGTGTTAAGTATTCAGTGCCGTTCGCGTATGCTTTTAAATGTATTTGGAGTGAAACTCTACTGAGTTTCCTGATAGTATTAGGCCCTTACTTATATTTTACTTTTAGCATTAAAGCGTAACTTAAAACATAGCGTTAAAGTGTACTTTTAGCGTAAAAGACCTATTTTAGAGCATCGTTGATAGCGACCCTACTATGCTGTCGCTTTTAAACCACTTATATAGGAAACCCTTCAAAGAAGCTATAAAGATGTATTTTAGTCAAACTCATAACGCAGTCATCACATTTTTCTGATGTCATATTACATCTCGTAAAAGCAGTCTTTTAACTAACAGCGATCGTAAAAGGTGGTATGAGTATGGCATTTTTTAGTAGCGGTCCGATCATCTTTAACGAATAGATGTTTAAAAGCGCTGCAAAAAGTGAAGTATATGTAAGGGCCTTATTTTACATATTATTGATTATATGTACTGATTTCAGATGAAAGTGCTTTGATCGGTGCAAGTAGTATGACCGACCGCTACTGGAGGGGAACAGTATGGTTTTGCAATGCGGTTTCGGATGTGGAAAGGAGCAAATCATTTGTTGCGCTGAAAACAGAAAGTGGCGTCACCGATGCAGCGTACTTAGGACAGCGAAATAAATTCATCATCGGAGAGGACAGTGGCTCGGCTCAAATTGTCGAGTTTGTTAAAGACGTGGAAACTAACTCGCAGGAGTTACGAGTCATCGAAAGTGTCTGCTTGCACGATGACACTCTGACTACCATGTCGGTTTTCTTTGACAATGCAAATATGGTCACCGGAGCTGTGGATTGTTGGTACGACAGTTCCCTTCGACTTAAAAATTACAGTCGATTCAGTAAAATATTAGATGTTACTCTATGTTGCAGTATTAAGGTGTTAGATCTAGTGGAGCTGATACCTTTGCATACTTATTACTACGCGCACAAAGAACTTGTCACGTGCGTTAATGCAAAGCCTAAAAGTACGACAGTTTTTGCATCTACGTCACTGGATAACGAATGTCTGATGTGGGACGTCAGACATTATAAACCAGCACAGAGTAAGTGGGACGACAAATAGTGAAAATCACATATAATTTATATTAGCTATCATTTCTAACGAGGCCTCCCTGGGGTCGATGCTCAAAGAAAGAAACACCTAACTTCAAACTTTCTGCGGGCATTTAAATGCATTTTAAGACTGTTCAGCTTTTTCCCAAGTAAAAGTATTGAATTATTTCAGTTATATATAATTTGTCGGCGTGCCAAAAAAATGAAATGTTTCTCAACGGTGACTAAAATTGGTTGTCGAAGCTAAGGCAGAAAAGAAAGATTCTTAGTAAACGTTAACATTTTGACTTTTTGATATGTCTACGATACTTTCATAACACCTTAATAAACTATTACAAAAAGATAGTTCCGAGGAATGTAAATTTGATAGTAAGGGTAATATTTACGTATAACCTTATTTCTAAATACTGCTAAATGTGTTTAAGGTATCTTCGAGAACGACGATTGCAGTTTAACATCAGTTGCTTGGGATCCATGTGACGAACATATTTGTGCCGTCGGAACATTAGATGGAAATATAATTTTACTCGACACTCGGAAGCCGAAAGCCTCGTTAGAGCATCAGTCAGTCTTCCCGAGAGGGATTCATAAACTACTCTTTCACCCAGAGAAGTATGTTCACTTTATTAGAAGATAATTTATATCATATCGTAATTACATTTAAGGTGAAGTGAGACATGTCGAGAAATTTGATCAACGAAAAAAGATTCTTCGAAATACCTACATTACCAACGTTGATATTTATATCGACAGCCGAGTCTTAGTTAGGTGATCACTAGTCATGTATCAAAGTTTCAGACAGTTCAATCCGATACCCTTAAAAAAAAAATATCTAATTAGAGCCAACTGACTTAATTTGGTTTCAGTTCACCTTAAGTATGATCGTGTCTATGTAATACGATAAAAACTATCTTTTGTCTATCGAAGCTTTCAAATATTGTCGTAGGTTCATTCTTCGTACACTAAGCATAGATATTTATATACAATTTAAACTTTCAGATTACTACCTAATTTATGTTACGATTTCTATCCGCAGACCACACCGATTAGCTGGCTGCTGCGACGATAGTATAGTGAAAATATGTGATACTAGCAAAGAATTAGCCATCGTGTACAAAGACGACAGGCATGCAGACTTTGTGCGTGGCTTGGCATGGCATAACAAGGATTTAATAACATGCTCTTGGGACGACACCGTGCTTAGACATGTTTGGGATTCGTAAATAACACCTTACGGAGTGTATAATTCCGATGCATTAATCTACACCGGCCTGATAAGAACTTCCCTAGAACTTGTTCGGGATAAAATGTGATAAAGTGCTTTTTCATCTTCTCGGGACAAACAATTAGTGGTGTGTCGATCATTCAACCTAACACATAACCTCAAAATGATATCATTTTGATACGTGTGTAAAATTACATGGAATAAGTTAATGTGTGCCATATGATGGGAAAATTAATTACTGTCATTAAGGTGATATGAAAGGGACACACTGTATATAAAACGTCAGTATATATAGAATGACCCTTTCATATCACCTTAACTTTATTGAAGAAAATATGGAAAATGATGTGTATCACTTTACGAGTCGAAGATTTTCACAGGATCTTCTGTATGTATTAGCAGAACGCGTAACTACTGGAAGAATACCTAAGCGAAATAGCTTTTGAGTTAATTTAAAAGTCAGTGTGAAGCAGAAAGAAATATGATTGAATATTGATATCATAATATGATATGAATATTAAATCTTGCTGCGTTGAATGCACAATTTGATCACAAGTAAGTGTCTACAATGTATTACCGTAATTCTTTACCTTTACATAGTTTCAGGACCTACTTTAGCGCCTCCATATTCCCGTGGTGAAATTTCAAACGAATCGGAACTAAATTTTGGATGAAAATAAAACTTCATGAGTTTCAGGACCTACTTTAGCGCCTCCATATTCCCGTGGCGCAATTTCAAACGAATCGGACCTAAATTTTGGATGAAAATAAAACTTCATGAGTTTCAGGGCCTACTTTAGCGCCTCCACATTCCCGTGGTGAAATTTCAAACTAATCCGTACCTCCAATTCGGGGAATACTTTCCCCAACGATTTGATTTCTCTGATACATATAAATTACCCCTTTCATATCGCCTTAAATACATATCTCTCAATACAATTATAGGTGGAACTTAATTCGTAATAAATAATAGAAGCTTTAATACAATGCAACGGTGCAAAGCTTCGTGGGGAACTGTGCGTCCAATTGTCGGTACTCGAAGGCACATTGATTGCGTTCCACTTTCATGTCCAATTCGTGGGAAAATAGGGATTGAAGGTACAAAGTGCTCTTCCCTCTCCCGTAAGCTTCTACTTTAAGAAACCGCCACTTCGCCTTTGATAGCGCTGCGATCGCGTCTCTTAAAAGAGCTCTTCGAGCTTCGTTTGCCGTAGTCGGAGCAGTCGCGACTAAACATTTTGCGTACAAAACGAAAGCTCTGCCTTGGTCGTATAAACTGCCGTGGCTCAGTATTGGTATTATGGCCTCTTCTACCAGCTTCCAGGCTTGATTAGGAATGCCCATTATCAGCTGCACAGATAAAACAGAACGATGACAGAAGTTAACGTTAAAATCTTGCACTCATATAATTTACAAATATAAATTTTTTCATCCAAATTGAATGCACCGATTCATTTGAAAATTTAACATGTTGTTATGGAGAAGTTAATGAACAACGTGGCGCTCATGAAATTTCAGTTTTTATAAACAAATTTTTTATTTATCCCAGACGAACTAAGAATGCGTATTTTTGTTTAAACATGAAATTTCATCCAAATTGGATGCACCGAATCATTAGAAACTTTAACACATGATTATGAAAGCCCTAAGGAACAACGCGTGGGCGTAAAATTTAATTTTTCACAAATATATATATGTATATATATGAACTTGGCTCTAGTCTAGGCTAAATGGAAAAAATTGATTTTGGAAAAACTAAATTTCACGAGCATCGCCTTCTTCGCCGGCAACGTAGGTATCTAGGAGAATCCTTTTACCGACGTCAACGAAATTTCTCGACGGCGTTCACTCCACCTTAATAAATGTTAACGTTTATTAAGGTTTTGTTTAAACAAAATCGGTCTTGAACTTAATTTTTAAATTGTATTTACAAAATGTACCTGTACATTCGCCAAGTGCATCTTGACGAGTGCTTCGTAGTAGGAGAGATGAAACTTATTAGCCATTTCTAAAGCATTGTTCAGCAGTACGATGGAGTTGCTTCCAGCGATCCTGGACCCTGGCAAGGTGGAGGCACACATAATTTGGCTGCGTAATATCATGGCTCTCACTTGGTTATCAGGAGTTACCCCTTTAGTTTTGTCTATACTGTTCACAAACTCCAACCCCTTCGGGTAGTTGCCCCTCGCTAGACAAACTTCAGCCTGCCTAAAAGATATCGACAAAGGAAGCTTACTACAATTCTATTGACAGTTAAAATGAGAATTTATGTGAATTCTTAAACATGCATTTGCATACCTGAAGAGACTTTCGAGGGGATCCAAACTTGATATGTGTTCAGCCACTGCGGCAGCTTCGCTCCACTTCTCTTGTCTTATTGTACGGGTGAACTCGTACAATTGTTCGCTCAGCATCCAAACCTAATTGTTTCGTAACACATTTCAGAACATTCCGAGGTGATCGATGCACTTACTAAGTTAGTTGGAAAATGTAACACCCCTTCGTGGAAACTTTGCACTTTCCCCATGCAAACCCTCGGTAATTCCATCTTCACCCTACAAGATAATCTTAATGAAACCGATAATTTACCTTGTTACTAGGTTCGTTTGGGAATCTATTCTTCGCGTGAGACAATACAACGTCCACCAAGCTGTATTCTCCCAATTCAACCAAGTAATTAGCAATGTTGACCACGGCTTGACATGTTGACGGGCCGTTGAACATGTGTTGTTTTTTATCCCCTGTGTTGTGGAGGAGCAACAATTGGGAGCATACCGAAGACATTTCGGATTTACCATAGTAAGCCCATAAGGCTGCCTTCTCGGCATAGGTCATGGACATCAGGTCGATCATCGAGTGCTGACAATTCAGCACGTCAGATTTCATAAGCGTCTAGAAATAAATTACGATGTTTATTATATAACTCATCTCCTGGTAATTATTGTACAATTAAAGGAAAAAAATGGATCGACAAAATTTACAAGTGATATGAAAGAGTCATTATGTATACATCAAACCGTGAAAATATTTATATAACTTGTCTCCAAACGTGCTCGTGAAATTTAATTTGAAGAAACACTTTTTATTTATCCCGGACTGGAACTGAGATCACACTTTTATTTGAAAATTGAAATTTTAATGAGTATCGCCTTCTTCCTTAGGGCCTACGTAATCACTTGCTAAAGCTTCTAATTATTCGGCGCGCGTAATAAAGCTCGATTTCAATGACTAACCTCGAAATGTATTTTATGAGTATCGCGTCCTTCCGCAAGTGGGGCTCGCATCGTTTTAACTTTCAATTCAAATTCTTGAATTAACTTTACGTGATATTACGGAATAAGTAGAAACTTATTGGCTTATTTTATATTTAACTATCATTTAAAATTTAATCCTGCATAATTTAGGACCCTTATGTAATCTCTTAGGTTACCTCGAAGACCTGCGGAGGATTTTTTCCCTCAAGAGCGGAGTGATGAGCCGAAGCAATGAGACCTAAACTCGTGGTATGCGTTATTCCAAGTAGACTCGCTTTTCCAACAGATCGCTCTATTAACGGTACTCTAAACAAATTTTAATAATCATGAGTTGTAGTAATAAACAAAAGACCGAATGATACTCAAAGTACGTTATTCAAAAGATTTACTTCTGTTCCTCGGCTAAGTGGTACATCCAAGCATGAGCATGTTGCAAGCAAACATTATCTCCGGCTTCTTGTGCCATCATCACGGCTTCTTTCAACGCTGATCTGGCAACTTCTCTGCGAACCAAAAAATAATTTAGATGATACGAAAGAATCAGCTAATATATATATTCGAGAAGTCGGGGGTACCGATTCGTTTCAAATTTCACCACGAGAATATGGAGGCGCTAAAGTAGGTCCTAAATCTATGTAAAGGTAAAGAACTACGGTAATACATTGTAGACACTTACTTGTGACCAAATTGTGCATGCAACGCAGCAAGATTTAATGCAGCGTAGCGAAAGGTACGAGCTCTGTCTTCGGTGGGTGATCGAGTCTCCAAAGGGGCCAGTCTATCGAAGCAATGATAAAGGCTGTCCAAGGCCCCACAATATTCGTTAACACGTAGACAATTTAAGTAACTTAAATAATGCTGAAAAACATTGCCAATAGAATAATTATGTTTCATAGTCCTTGGAACATAGAGTGTAGATCGATACACTTAGTTCGGAGGAAAGTTTCATAAACTATTGACCTATCAGAGATATGTAATGACACTTCTATAACACCTTAAAATGTCAGAGATAAATACTTACTGCTTCGGCGTAATCTGGACTGCAATTTAGAAGTTCATGAACAAGCTTTTGAAGTTCAGCTGGAGGCAGAGCTTTGTGTTCATCGGTCTGTAAGGCGTGTGCTTGTTGGGCTACGAGAAGTTCAGCTTGTCTCCCTCCCCATATACTCCTAAATACGTAAAGAAATTGTATTTAAAAGCTGTACATACGTACAATACTAACTTCCAAGTCAATGAACAAACATTGTACTATGAAATTAAATTCAGGTCGATATTGTGTTTTCTTAAGGTGAAATGAAACACGTCGAGGAACTTGATCGACGTTGGGAAAAAAGATTTGTCTAAATACCGAATTATATTGGGTATTATACTAAATGGCAAATTCCACCCATCGTTTTCTTACAATAATTATAAAGTAATCGAAGTAAAACTCCAGACGATTCGATCCAATATCCTTAAAAAAAGTATCTTACTCAAGTCGACTGATTCGAGGGGGGTTTCACTTCACCATAACATGCGCAACGTGCACACTTCACTCACTTGTACGTGTCAACAGGTTCTGCTTTTGAATCCGCAAGTTCTGAGTTGTTAGGGCTCGCTGTTCTTTTCTCTAGGTATTTCTTGAAATCATCGTAGAGTGCGACCACTTGAGAAAATGTCAACTTTTCAAAAAACATTACGATCCTTCGTACGTATAATCCAAGAACAGAGTTCTTGTCTAAAGCTGGAGTGGCGAGGGAATGCTCCAACGGAGACTTCGTTAACCGCCGAAGACAATCAAAGAGATCCAGAAGGCCTTCTATTCCTTCTCTGTATAATCTACTCAACTGAACGTCCAGTAAACGAGAAAACCGTTGAAGCACCTCGTATTCGTTCGAGTACAGCAAATCAGTCACAGACTTTAAATACATGTCGGGAGACTGGAATAATAAATAGATGATCTTTTACGACCCTTGTAACAATATGACCATAATGTTTCCATTTTATCGGAATTGTATCGAATTATCATTTAAGTGCAAACGACTTCTATTAGGTTAATGTGTAAGTAATGGCGTTTTGTTTACACGTTGCATTACGTGCATTAACCTCGGAGAAGTCGTTAATTAAAATTTCATATTTTTTACATTATGGCCAATTAAATGATAACTATCGATGATATAACATTTTTGGCCTTTTAAATACCTGGATTAATTTCAGAGCCACGATGCAAAAGTCTCGCCTTTCCACAATAGCTGCAAAAGAAAAATGTTAATAGCGGCCTGAATCGTTTACTTCATATACATATTTTTCTTCATTAATACATTTTCAATTCTACCGATCAGCTAAACAATCTTGCAACGCTAGCGGAATGATTTCAAAATTGATTTCTATTTATTGAATCGCAACTCAAGTCAATGCTATACCTATCGGCTTCACTGCAAGATTTGTCAAATGTTAGAAATGAAAATATTATCGCAGGACTTCCTCGCTGACTCAATATTATTGTTAATCCTTAGGTATTCAAATCGACAAGTACCTTTCGTCCTTTCATTGCAATATTCCTTTATCAATATGACAACGACTATTTTATAGGGTGTCAGTTGTTCGCGTTGACTCTTTTTTGAATTACCATCGATATTCATCATATCCTTAATCATTGTATATTCAAATCTTTTTGCGCCGGTTCATTCATTAAGTTTTCGGAGCCTCTTGATTGCTCTTATTCATAGACAAGCAGTGTTGCCACCGTCGCGATTTAGAGGTTAGGAGAAATCATAAAAAATGGGAGTAGATTCACTGTCAGCGGAGCAGAAATAAGGGTTACCGCTACCATAGGGAGGATACTCGAACTAAAATCTAATATGGCGGATACGGCGGGATATTTGAAATATTCTACCTCATTCTTAAATCTTCTATCAGGCGGTCGATTTTGTGACTTTGGCGAGAGTGCGCACTTCTCGCACTGTCATCTCACGTGAGTTTATTCGCCCGGTTCTCCGAGTGAAAATGTGAAATCTCTAGATTTGAAGGAACGTGGTTCGAGATCTCGAAGTTTCTGATCGAGTTGTCACGCGAAGTATCTCACTTTTTTACTATAGTGAATGCTACGGAATCGCGGGAGATGTTCACTTTTAGAATCTTCACTAGATTCGAATTATAGAATCGACAGGTTAACCGATGAATGCAAACGCAACTAGAAGTGTATTTCTATAATTAATAGCAGAGATGAGACCAACACATCTTTGTTAATAGCAGAGATCATCTCTGTTAATAGTAATAGATCTACTCCAGTAGTTCCGAAGCAAACCACCATAGCGCTGGTGGGCGCCATTTTGCGTGAGGCATTCAATACCTTTTCTTTTTCTAAATTACATTACCTTTTTACTTAAATTTGTTGTGGCTTTCAGAAATGACTCGTGTCCATTGTCGCCAAAGGGCCGACGTTTGCCAAGCAGATATAATTATTTGGAATACATAATCAGAATAGTGGTAGTTTGCAAAAGAAATTTTTAACAATATTATGTATGACATATCTCATATACTTATTATTCTGTATTGCGATAAAGCAAAACTTCAACGTTAAGTCCTATACATTTAAACAATTATTTACATAATTTTACATGTATCAATCATACATAATACCTTCGAGGATCGCTTGAACCGTACGACTTGCCACAGGATTCGCACAATATATTTGTGCCAGATTCCATTAATTTTTTCCTGCAGATTAAATGCTTACATGGTAAAATATAGAGATGTAAAAGCGTACAACATGAACACTTGTCTACACTCTTTAAAGTATTTTCTTGTCCTTCGCTGAAGGATCTAAGCCCCGACAAAGTAACCCGAACATTTTCTTCTAAACTGACATCGGTCTCAGAATTTGTTAATTCATTGTTATCTACAATCATATCAACGTTACTGATATTAGATTGTTGTACTTTGTTCTGTAAAACATTGGCAGCTTTGAAATCTTTTCTCTTAGATATTATATTAATCGGTAACTTATGCTTAGTGTCTATATTCCGTTTAGATGGTTGAACGGAGGTGGATATTATATGTCTTGCAGGCACATTAACTTCTCTCGGTTCACATTTTACATCCTTCGTTAGAATCTCTGACCAATTGTGTACGGTGAGTTGCAACGACCGTTCACAAATACCATTTAACACTCTTGGCATTTTCTTGATTTCACTATCGTTGCTATGTTCGAGAAGATACTTGTCAATTTCCACTTTCAATTTATTGGCAATAATTGGTCGTCGATGTTCATTAAGCAGAAGTCCAGTAAAAGGGTCCGAAGGCATTCTGCCCCACAACGCTTCGTTCTTTGTATATTTCTCTAACGTACTTTGATCAATTATATTACCACTCGGCATTATTATTGGTTGAATCATAATTTCACAGGTGATGGGATCCAAAAATTTCTCTGATACACTTAATAAATGTTCGTCTCGTTTCCTAAATTAAAGCATTATAAATTGTATTAAAACGTGTTACAGGTATAATCTTTAATTTTATGGACCATAAGGAATTACAACTGTAAAATTTGCATTAATAACACGTTTAATTAGTATTAACCGTCTCGAAACTTAAAATAGATATTCATTGGACGGTCCAACTTATAATTAATATGTTTTAATCATAATAAAGCTCAAGGTGAAGTGAAACATGCAGAGAAATTTGAAACCAATTTAACATGAAAATAAATTTAAGCATCATACCTTTTACGAAAACTTGTGACTTCCGCAGCTGGAACATTAACGATCACATTTTTAGACGATCTTTGTGGATTATCTTTGTTAATCCAAGCTTCGTGCATAAGTTCCATAACGGTGTTTCTCAGATCCTTCGAAACGTATCCCCAGACCTCTATCCTACCGAGAGCTGGGACAGAGTTTTCCGTCTTAAAAATAGATATTCGCAAGCAGTTTACACTGTCGACAAACAATTGCTTAGAGAGTCTTATATATCGCTGGAGAAAATTAGGCGGTACATAGTCTCGCAGTTGGTTTGCGTCTTTGCGATAGAACAGTAATCCCAGTTCGTCTTTTAATTGCCCACTGGATACGCATTCGTAAGGGACAACTTTTGTGCGGTCCCAGTTAGTAGCTAGCTGGAAACCTGTGGATTTCTGAGCTCCCACGCAAGGCCAAATAACAACATGATGGATTTTAATGCTACAAGCAAAAGTGAAGTCAATATGTACTGGGGGTTTAATACAAGAGTACGCAAGGAAACCCTTAGAGCTTCCATTTACAAGATTCACTGGCTCGTATCCTTCGGTAGTGACAGTTTTGCAAGTGACACTTGTTTTTAAGCAAGGATCACAAAAATTCATAAGCATTTTAGACACAACGTCAATTCGTTTTCGTTTTCGTGTGATGGCTTTCGGCCCAGTAGTATGGGCCCAGTACCACAATTCTGGCTCTCTATTTATTTTATTTTATCTCGCTTATTTTCTGTCTCTTTGCCAGTGTCCAATATTGTCCAGTGGGCCACTGGCTTTTGGAGGTTATAGCATGATGGCGGTCTGATTTCCGTTGGGAGGTGACGTGGGTCGGCTTCCGGTCGGGGCCATTTGAATCTTCTCTCTGTGCTTTGGAGGGGGATTTAAGATCTCCCGTCTGTATAGGATTTTGGAGTGGTGCCGTCCTCATTCTCTAAATTATCCTATTGATTTCTTCTCTGAATTTATTTAATGCTCTGAATATTTTGCCGTTTTTGACGAATATCAAGCTGTCTATGTCATAGGGGGGGAATATATTTTCTTTCATTATCGATTCAAAAAGTTTGGTTCTCTGGTTGTCGTAATTTGGACATTCGAGGAACACATGGTTTTCATCTTCGTATTCTTCTCCGCATGGATTATTCATAAATTTACCGTAATTATTAACCATTTACTTGGATTGTAAATAAAATATTTCCATTAGATATTTTACATAAAAAAGCTCGAATGACGATTCACAACCCTGGTTAAAATGTACCGACAATCTTTACTGTAAGTACTTCATTACGACTCGAACTGAACGAACATGCGTTTAAATAAGAAAATCCTTCGGCTCGCTACAAAAGGCACCCAATACAGTATATTTAATAAAGTAATAAAATACATCGGTGTTAGATACAGTAGAATACTGAAATAATCATATTATTAATATATATATATATTTATATATATGTATATGTATGTATATATATACACTTCAGTACGTCAAGGTTTAAAGATACAAGGGACTATGGTTACCTACTTAAAAAAATATTAATAAATATCTAAGGTTACATTATTAACTGACTATTGGCATAACGTCTTATAAGGTACTGCGTTACGTCACTATGTTACGCCAGCATCCCTGGGTTCAAAAGCAGTACTAAACGTTATAAAATATGTGGAAAATAGAAATGACACTCTTTCTTTTCCTCCCGTCTCTGCTTAGTCATACTTTCGAAGTGCGGGATGCTCAGCCGAGTGCACCGATCTGTGGTTTGTGCTTTCCGCGATATAAAGCAAAGAATTCAGAAGTCCCATAGAAGCCCAGATCCTATGTTAGCGCTTGATGCTCTAAAAGTTGGCTAACAAACCAGAAGTGGGGGTAAAAAAGAGATCGCACGTGTAGCCAACGATATCTCACGTACGGGAGGAAGAGAGACGCATATAGAAAGGCGAGTATTGGGTGTAAGATAAAGAAAGAATGCAATTGCTATATATCGCCATAAGATTAAGAGAGATGGAGAGATGATTACAGCGCCGCCATCCGTTGGCTAACATACTATTTATCGAGCATCGAACGTCCGTATCCTTCTGGGCTTCTATGGAGACTTCTGAATTCTTTGTATAAAGGCTGGAAATGATATTAATCTCGGGTCACTTGTTTTGATTTAAACTAACAGAAGTGTTTCAAAAACCGATGCATTTTGATTCCGACGTAAAATGAAACTTTTACACGAACGTGCAAGGAATGTGTTCAGACCATGTACAAAGAAATTGTCTAGAAACTGTGCCGAAGCACTCTGCGATTCTCTAAAGCTTAAGACTGCGCTTCTAGGTACTGTAGTATACTTTTTCACATTAAATACAAAACATTGTTGCTCGTAGTCCATGGTATATGGCTCGGTCGATCCGACAGATCTTCGTAAAGAAAATGACTACGTTCGAGGGATTTAAATAAGAGTCGAAGCGCAAGAATTGCGGAGTCCTACACTTATTGCGGTTAGGTGGTTAATTTGCGAGAAGGAGAAATTAACGGAACGAAAGTAAAAAGAATTAGAAGAATCATCGTTACCCCGTAACGAAAAGAGACCAAATAGCATCGGCTCTGCTATTTGACTCCTCTTGCCTTAAGGTTGATTTTCCCATAACATGGTCTCAGGAATATGAACCTTACTGAAAGGCTGGACAGAATTGGAGCAGTCCTCGGCAGGAAATATATAGAAGGAATATTCTTCATCCAAGGACGCATACATTCTTAAGGCGAGCTTAAATGTCCAGGAAGGTGTATCACCTCCCACGTTTAAGATGATATGAAAGCGTGAATCTATAAACATAAAAACTGTCCACTTATCCCAGACTAGAACCAAGAATACATATGTTTAAATTTTTAATGAATTTTCATGAGCACCGCGATGGTCCGTAGAAGTTTTCCTCACGTTTCAAATTATTCGCTGCACCCAGTTCGGAGAAACGTTTTACATATAATAACCCTTTCATATCACTTTAAGTTTTACAGATAAATGCGCTCCAATGGCAACTTCGATAAGTAGAAAAAAGAATTTGGCTTCTGCGTACAGGCCAGAGTTAGCACGACATACCTATCTACGGGTAATCAAAGATTGTACAAATGACTGGCGTAAGAAGAATATCGTATATTCGAGATACAGTTATCTGGAAATAATATATATATATTTATATATATAATATATATAATATATATATAATCTATGTATTGGTTATATTATTTTGTGGCTACGTCGTAGAAACTGTTTTAACATTACATTATGATACAGTGTGGTATGTATGTGTGCGTGTCGGTGGACATTCCTGAACGAAAGCATGTAATTAAAAATCCAAGCCTCGACATTAACAGCGGTTTAGGGTTTGAAGAGTTAAAAGTAGGCACTAGAACTAAATTATGTTAAAGAGACTGTTGATGTCAGGACGCGGTTGAATTTCGCGCCAAGTACGACGGTCTGTTCGAAAACTCTTAGGTTAGGTGACCGTCGTACGCGGGGACGAAAGAAATAGATTTTTATCTATTCGATCAGGAATGTGAGAGGAAATAAATGTAGTTGCTGTTTCCTGAAGAGTATTTACACGTCCTGCAAACAGGCGGAATTGAATCCGTTAGAACTAAGTGAATTATCTTTCCTAACCTCTGCGCAATAACCTTACGCAGTTTCATTTCTTGAGTGTGCACAAGTGGGAACGATGTAGGAAGAAGTGCGTAAGAAAGAATGGGTATCTAGTTGAAGACTGTGACTGTTCCTGTTATTCCGTTAAATCATGTTAATGTGAAGATTCTCAAGAGTTAGATATCGGCGAAGAGGTTATCCATTGGATGGAATTTTTGCCCGATTAGCACGTTCGGTTTGTCATAAGTTGCTGTCGGGGTTTCAGCTATTTGCCTTATGGCACTGCATACACTCGCAGTGACGGCAATAGTTCTCTTTTCCTTGCCGAGCCCTTGCGATCACGAATTAACATTCACGATTTCAAGTGATCGTGTGATCGCAAGCCTCTGTTACTTCTAGAATTTTTTACTCAGACAACCGTGCGTGCACTAAGTGTTTCAACGAATCCATAAAGAATTACCATTAGTTTCGACTCTTAAACCCAAAACTCTAAGGTGACGTGAGAAAATCAACAGACAGTGGGATGATTTCGATATTTGAAACCGAGGACAATGTGTAGAAACTTCCGCAGCAAAGGTGCAGTTTTAAAAAGACGTGAGGATGGAACTAAATCTGCTGTAGTTCTCGATATCATACAGGGCAGTGTCAATGGAATCGTAGCAGATCTAGTGCAGATTGAAATTCACAGTAAGTCGTCATCGCATCAGTGCTATCCTTTGTGACGCTAGTGTTCCATCAGAACCCTCAGGGTCCTCCGTCAGGTGGCTTCGATCACAGCCAGATTCAACACGAAGCATCGCTTACTATTTTTATCCAGTAGTTCTGGGTTTACTTGGACTACCGTAAGCAGTCGAGGAACGTCATGGAAAACCTCTGGCCCTGTTTCTATCGAAGTGTTAGCACTAATAGCTTCATGGCTAGGTGCGTCCACATCCAAGGAAGTTCTTCCGAAGCCTCGACATGCCTACATTGTACGTCATCAAATGTGTTCCCTCGTTCCAACACAAGTGGACGAATGGTCTGGCTTCGCCAGACATCCTAATCCTGATAGATGTCCCTGGTATCTTCAAGAACGACACCGGCACCTTTATCTCACAGATTGATGGACATGTCCTGGTCATATTGACCGATGCTGGGGTCCGATGGAGAACTTGTCGAGGTGGGTGATTGCAATGGCGTAGACGAAGCTGGTAATGCCATCGTAGGACTCTCAAGGGTGGAGTTCCAGTGACTTCTGTCAGCTCCGTCACCCCCATCATCAGAGACTATGGAGATGTCCGCGATGATGCCGCTCTCTGTCAACAGGACCATTCGTTAAGGTTGCCTTTTGGTCCTCTACGGTGACATGGGGTAATTATTTATGCTTTCCCAACCAACGGATCATCCTCATAAGGGATACTGACCTACGCTACACTGGCTGTTCAGGGTAGTGCTGCGATGATGGGGTCGAGGACTATTGTCCAGGCCCAGGTGGAGGGTCGTGGGTGGACCACTGCTGCCTCCGCTGCTGGAAGAGGAACTCACGGAGATGACGCTGTGGGGCCTTCTACTGCAGCGACTCGACTCCTCGGACACGGACACTGCGATGGAGTTCCTGAACCTCGGTGCTGCTGGTGAACAGAGGAAGAGAACCGGGATCACTAGGGTGATTTAAATATACTTAGGGAATGGGGACCAAGGGGATGATGTCTATGGGTGAGGGGAACGTACTCTTGGAGAGCTGGGCCACGCTGATGGACCGGTCGTTGATCTGGTCCGCGCTGGGCCTGATGTCCAGACATGGTTTGTTCCCAATCCCCATGCTCGACATCTCCGCCAGGCGCACTTCTGCAAGGGTCAGGTCATCCGTGAGTTTAGGGTACGAGTCTACCTAGCTTGGGGTGGTGTCCTTAGTCATTTGGGCACCTCTGTTTCGCAGCGCCTGCTTCCAAAGGAGTCTGCTCAGCTCCTCGGTCCAGGTCTTCTTGATCTCCTCGGTGGCGCACTGCAAGGTGTAGGTGTCGCCCGGTTTCCTTTTGCGGAACCAGATCTCGAACTTGGTCGGCGAGTCCGCGATGACGGCCGTCAGGCCGATGTCCGTTGTCTTTATGCTGTGCTTGTAGATGTAGATGTCCAGGTTCTGGAATTCAAGGTGGAGGCGCGTCAAGTTGGGCGAGATTCTTACCACTAGGGGTTCGTGAGACCGACATATGCGTCCTCTCCTGGGTAGGTATCGAAACCTTTACGAAATCTTGCTTCAAGGGTGAAGAGCGGAGCCGCACCTTTCTATCCGGGAACCTCCGGGCTTTGCTGAAGAGGATGAGGTCCTCGAAGAGGAAGACTTGCCGGAGGCACTTCTTCCCTTTACCCTGCCAGACCAGGAACTCGCTCTGCCTGAGTAACCTGCCTTGCTCCTTCACGTTCACCTGGGGAAAGGAGGTATTCCTGGACACTTATACGGGAGAACGCTTCTTCCTGGGATTTACTTCGTGATCGTCGTCCTGGACTTACGTCGCAGTCCCGGAGGGAGTCCATCGCCAACAAGTCGTTCCCATGGCGAAGCTGGAAGCGCACCATTTGCTCTGCCTTTATCAGGTCGACTTCCCCTTCTACGGTGGGCTTCGAGCAGTCCTCCTTATCCTCCTTCTCGTCCTTGCTGGCCAGTTGGTCGGACAGGTCGGTCCCGGCCTTCACCAGCTGCTGAAGGAGCAGGGCGTACTTGCCCATCCTCTGGACCGGCTTCAGGAGGTAACTGGCCAGGTCCATCTTGTCGCCCAACTCCAGCTGCTTCGCCTTGAAGAAGGAAGTCCCGTACTCCGCCATCAAGGAGTCCGAGTTGGGCTTGTTCTTGTTGTACAGGGCGTACAAGTAGAACTTCTTCTCCTGGAAGATGTACGCGGTTATCTTTGGGAACGTTGCGGTCGCGTTCTGGGGGGCTATGAATTTTTTTAGCTGCCAAGGCCAACCCCAATCGATCCCCAAAAATTCTCAGCATAAGTACTCCCCTCGATTTACTTGCACAAATTAATGCAACCCGTTCCGAGGAGTTTAAGCCATGGAAAAAAGTTCTTAAAGATTGTCGTGAAGACGCGCAAGTAGTACTTCTGCTGGCAGATTTACGCGGTTATCTTTGGGAACGTTGCGGTCGCGTTCTGGGGGGCTATGAATTTTTCTAGGTGTCAAGGCCAACCCCCCCCAAAAATTCTCAGCATAAGTACTCCCCTCGATTTACTTGCACAAATTAATGCAACCCGTTCCGAGGAGTTTAAGCCATGGAAAAAAATTCTTGAAGATTGTCATTCTAACGTTTTCAGGACCTGGGAGGCTCTGGAGAGCTCTGAATTTTTCTAGCTGTCAAGGCGAACCCCAATCGATCCCAAAAAATTCTCAGCATAAGTACTCCCCTCGATTTACTTGCACAAATTAATGCAACCCATTCCGAGGAATTTAAGCTATGTAAAAAAATTCTCTCAACTAACGTGTCGCAGGAAACACTGGCCGACCATCATGGGCGACTGTTCACATTGCTCCAGCTCGTGCAAGAAGTGTTGACTATGGAACTCGTAGATCTTCTCGACGTTGCCGAAGATCACGTTCCGCTGTCCCCTTAAGGCCTGGGGGATGTCCTCCCGCACCAGTTCCGGGATGTAGTTCTGCAAGAAGCAAGCTCTTGGTACAAGGGAACAACACCAGCCATGTACAACGGCGGGCATGAATGCCTCCCCTGCGGATACGACATCGCCTGTGCAGGATGGGAGGGCATTGATGTCTCCCAGTGTATATTGTGGACATGAATGCCTCCCCTGCAGGTACGACATCGCCTGTGCAGGATGGGAGGGCATTGATGTCTCCCAGTGTACGAAACTATTCTACTATGTTCGGACCACTACCCACCTCTATTATGTACTCTAGGGACTTGACATAATCCCGTTCAGTCTGGATCATCTCCCTCATGATGAGCAGGATCGTCCTGGAAGAAGTCAAGAAACCTGATCGTCAAGGACTACATCAACAACCCCAACCATCCTTATCCTTATCCGACTCCCTTCCTCACGACCGAGACTTTTGGAAGAAAAAAAAAAAAAACCTTGAACGACGTCTGGTGAACACATTTTTTAACTCTGGCGACTTCGGGAAAACCCTGAACCTTCGAGAATTTTCCCTGCCAATGAGAATGCTCGACTTAAGTCTGACTTCCTACCTCCACCGAGCTGGAGGGAGAACTATGCACTCTGGTACTTTTTAAGGACATTTGTAAAAAAACATATCCAAAACGACAGTTGCTGAGTTGACGTAAATTCGTTTTAGTTGCCCAGCCAACGTAAATTTGCTCTAGTTGCCGAGACAACGTAAATTTGCTCTAGTTGCCGACAATGTAAATTCCTTCTAGTTGCCGAGTCAACGTAAATTTACTCTAGTTGTCTAGACAACGTAAATTTACTCTAGTTGCCGAGTCAACGTAAATTTGCTCTAGTTGCCGAGTCAACGTAAATTCCTTCTAGTTGCCGAGTCAACGTAAATTTGCTCTAGTTGCCGAGTCAACGTAAATTTGCTCTAGTTGCCGAGTCAACGTAAATTCCTTCTAGTTGCCGAGTCAACGTAAATTTGCTCTAATTGCCTAGACAATGTAAATTTGCTCTAATTGCCTAGACAATGTAAATTCGTTTTAGTTGCCGAGTCAACGTAAATTTACTCTAGTTGCCGAGACAACGTAAATTCGTTCTAGTTGCCTAGACAACGTAAATTCGTTATAGTTGCCGAGTCAACGCAAATTTGCTCTAGTTGCCGAGACAACGTAAATTCGTTCTAGTTGCCTAGACGATGTAAATTTGCTCTAATTGCCTAGACAATGTAAATTCCTTCTAGTTGCCGAATCAACGTAAATTTGCTCTAATTGCCTAGACAATGTAAATTCCTTCTAGTTGCCGAATCAACGTAAATTTACTCTAGTTGCCGAGTCAACGTAAATTCCTTCTAGTTGCCTAGACAATCGCAAGCTTTTAGTGTCACAGAACAATTTGTACCCTTACTTCTTAGCTTTCATCCCTGGCGCGATGCTAGGTGCCCTGTGGAGGTGGCTGTTGACCGGAGGCTTGACCAGCCTCCGAGGTGCCGGACTCCTGGGTGGTGTTCGCGGTGGCGAGCAGTCCAGGAGTTGTTCGGCGCTTTCACGCAGCTCGGCGATGTTGTCCAGGATGGGTCGGCCGCTGCTCCCGGATCCTACGCTCTCCAGGGGGCAGGCGTAGGAGGCGCTGTCGCTCTCGTCCCAGGAAGTTCCTGGAGCAATATCAAAATTCTGATCAGCCGCGTAACCCCGCGGGGAAGGTGCGACCGTTCCATCCAAGGACAACCATTTCTCATTCCCTAACAAACGCCAAAGTGCGGCCCTCCAATTAGTTAAACATTTATTCCTCCATTCAGAGGACTTATCATGGATTCATATTTGGCATAACGAAAGTACGCTCCGTTTTCTACAGCCTGTAATTCTTTTTTTTCATCGAATTTACTCTCTTTTCCTCAGGGTAACCCCTCGGGGAATTCTTATTCCGCGTGAGGGGAGGGACTGCACTCACTCTTGGACAAGGAATCATCCCAGGACGTCGGCGACTCCGCAACGGCGAAGGACCTCCTCCTGGCAGGACTTCCAGGAGCGGAGCAGCTCCTGGCCATCTCCAGGGCCTCTGTGCACTTGCTCCTGGCGATCCTGCACTGCTCCAGGAGGACCTCGTTGCCGAGTTTCTCGGCGAGGGCCATCATCTCCATGAAGTGCTCCGGAGGCAACGGGGGCCTCGCCATAAGGAACTGCTGGGCCCGACGCTCGCCAGCCATTCCCGCCTCCTGGGCCCATTCGTAGGCCCGGTCCTGCAGGAGGCAACATCTCGAGGTATCCTCCAGGTACTCGCGCCTGTCTTCCAGTCGGGATCCGAATCCTCGGAGATGCTGCTTCAAGGACCTCGCCAGTTCCCGAAGACCCCTCGCGCTCGCTGCCTCCGCTAGGTCGCTTCCTTTGTCCAGGTGTCTCTGCAATTTGTTTTTAAAATCCACATGGATCAAGGAGCAGGAAATAGCCATCAGAGTAAAACATCCCGTCGACACCACCATGTGGAGAGTGGCCACAAAATTCTATTGGAAAACGCAAACTCTATAATAGGGGACTCCCCAAGAAGGACACTCTTCACCAGGGTCGCCCTGGTGAGGAGAGAACTGCAACGAAGATGGACGTGGGTCATCCCCGAAGCCAGAAAAAAATTTAAGGAACCACTTGGAGAAAAGTTTCATGAATGAGAGTTTGGCGTCACTTTAAACCGCGACTTGTCCGTGCTGGGTGTTGTACGGATTGCCGTCGAGGTTGGCATTCCTTGCTTTGCTTTTTGTGTTTTTAATCTCGCCGACGAGTTTTAGGTTAGTCTCAAGGACTTCCGTCAGTCCGCCTCAATTTACGGCCATGCGGTCAGCAACGCTCCTTGTTCTTATATTTCGCCACAATGGCGGCGAGGAGTCGCGATGCACCGTGCAAACCTCTACGTTGTTTCTTTTAAACCTTGCATCCAATTTACTCCAGTCTGAGTCGGATAATTATCCTTGAATTAACGAAATATTCCATCGGTACAATGACTTTTCCTTTTCCAAGCGGAGTGAAACGCGTTACGCAGTGTTTCGAGACATACGAGATATGGTGAATGCCGGCCCCGAACAAAATGGCCGACTACCGTTCGCTGTTCCACCGGATATCGCAATACGTGCCCGTATACCGCCTTCGCGGCAGTTTCTCCTAGCCCCAATCAATGTTTCTAAAAGGTGCATCATCGACGTTTACTTTGAGCCGGGAATCTGGACCTTTGGACCATAGGTTCGTTATTTATCACCCATCGAAACTCCGAGGTGGAGCACGGAGAGAACGAGACGAGCTCCCTCTTCTCTCTTTTCCCCATCTCGCGCGACAAACATTACCAGCTGCCGAGTGCATTATCGTTTCGCGTTACATCGGCAAATATTAACAGCTGTCGTATTTCCGATCCCGAGGCGCGCAATTGTCCCTAGTTGAGAATAACCGGCAGACGTGCCGGTGCATCAGACATCCTTAATCCGCTCACTTTCGCCCGGCCGCCATCTTGGAATCCGTAATCCTTACAACACCGTGCACGGCTCGTTGCCCACCGGACTCTCGTAATAAACATTAAGTTATAAAATTGAGGATATATATATTTTTTATGTATATATATAATAAAGTCTAAGTATTTATAAAGCTTTTCTCCAGAATAAAGACCAGGCGCCAGGAGTACGAGGAAAAGGCTGGAAGTAAAAAAGGAGAAAAGGTAAATAGACACAAATCTCGAGGAGAAATCCGCATAATCTGCGATTCTTCATCTGGCAACCGGCAATTACTATTTTTCATATCTTTAACCGTGTCCGCGTCTAACGTGAGTCGACATACGCGTAGTTGCACATTAACCTGCAAATAATCCTAACCTACGTGCTTACGTATAAACACTGGAGGATATGTACGCGTTCGTACGCGGCTCGTAACTTTCTTGCCGAGCATTCCTTTCTGGTCAGCAACCCGGTCTCTTTCCGATCGTTCGGAAATGTCTAGGGACTTTTCACCTCCCCTGGGGGTCTATTATGTAAAGCAAATTGAGTGAAAATGTGAAAAATGAGGAGCTCACGGTATTACGGAACGTTTTTGGAGGTGAAAATGCGAGAACTTTCGCATGAACTGGCTCGGCAGGAATTTTTAAGCGAAATGGTGAAGCATACAAGAAAAGATAGAAAAATAAGCGCCGTGGACGCCATCTTCCGCGGATTGTGACACCGAAATTCAAAATGGAAAAATGTTAAAAATGAGCTCACGGTATTACGGAACGTTTTTGGGGGGTGAAAATGCGAGACTATTCGTATGAACTGGCTCGGCAGGAATTTTTAAGCGAAATGGTGAAGCATACAAGAAAAGATAGAAAAATAAGCGCCGTGGACGCCATCTTCCGCGGATTGTGACATCGAAATTCAAAATGTAAAACCTCCTGGGTGTTATGATTTTCGCCAAAAGTCGTATCCGGGGACGTAATAATAACCTTATTAGAAGAAGAAGGGAATTACGTGATGCCTCGGACCCATTTTCGTTAGAAGAAAGAGAATTTACTAGGATAACGCCTTTCCTATCCAAGATGGCGGCGCGCACGGCTCGTGAACCCGCGGGGAATTCCGCGATGCGCAAAACGGAGATTCAACGAGCCACGGCTTCCGCTTCCGGTTCTAAGGAACGTAGGGAAGGAAATTCAATTTGCGTTCAATCGCGCCGCTTTTCCCCGTGTAGAGTAATTTCCTCCACGAGTCGCTTTCCCTACCGAGGAAATTCTCCGTCGTAGGAGCTAAAGGCGAAGGGAAACCGGCGTGACATTTTGTAACGTCACCGGTGACATATCGTGCAAGGACAACGCCAGTCGGCGTAGTTTCTCCTTTTTCTTTCCCTTTTCCCAGCGGTCTCGCCTTCGCATGTGGAAAGGAACCTCTCTCGAGGTCCGCCATCTTGGAATTGGACGCGCCCTAAGGAATCCCCGATTTCCACCGAAAAACCCCTAGAAAATGAGTGTCAGAGCCTGGCACAGCAAAAAGCCTTGATATTCCGGTCCCATAATTGCGCGGAAAGTGAAAGTACTTATGTTACTATGAGAGTTAACGTTCCCCGAGGTGGAGGCGAAAGATTGATAGAGGGAAACCGGGGTCGCTGATTACGTCACTAGAAATAAAAATCAGGGTTGATAATCAGGATTTCTTCGAGCAAAATATAATAAATAAATAAATAATCGCCGATTTTAAGCAAACAATTGAAATGGCTGTAAGCGTGGGTTTTACGTTTGCTCGTGGGACGTTTTCGGACAATAAGCCCTGCTCGCTAGGCCCTCTAATTTTCGACATTCATCGAGAAACAAACCTCGATTGACAATGACTCGCTTTCGGCTCTCGACGGTGCATTTATATGCTGCACATTTACTGCACAATGGTCGCCCATCTGGTCCACTCTTTGGTCGGGGGTGCACCAATGTGCCCCACTTAGTGCGAACGTTTACAGCTGGCCCGTGTAAACGGCACAGGGGGTTGTTAAATCACGGCTACCCCGTGGAAACACCTCGATTTAATGCCGGAGATTAAATCGATCGCAACTCGACCCTCCCCGGTTACGCGACTCGATCTGTGGTCGAATGTCGCAAAAAAAATGGGTACGTTATGAATGGAGCAACTCCTCGGTCGCGTTACGAAGTCTCGCGCGTGAATTTTTTCACGTGAATATTTTCACTCGCGTGAACCTTTTCACATGAACGTTTTCACGTGAAAAATGTCGCATTATGAAATCTCGCGTGTGAACTTTTTCACGTCAACTTCTTCACTCATGTGAATCTTTTCACGTGAATATTTTCACTCACGTGAACCTTTTCACATGAACCTTTCCACGTGAAAAATGTCGCATTATGAAATCTCGCGTGTGAACTTTTTCACGTCAACTTCTTCACTCATGTGAATCTTTTCACGTGAATTTCCTCACTCATGTGAATCTTTTCACGTGAATTTTCTCACTCACGTGAACCTTTTCACGTGAAAAAAGTCGCGTTACGAGATTTAAGAAAGATTTTCCCCCGTTTCACTAGAGGACCCCTAAAGGCGAGTTGATCAGAGCGAGATCTGCATACCTCGGCGCGTGATTCGAAGAGAATAACACCGTAACGGATAACTGTGCTTGGATTAGAGGCCACAACGGTCCCTCGTAAACAACAACGTGGGTGATTCGAAATCGTAAGCACGCGCCGCCAGGTGTATCTTTATTCTGGCCACGATAACGATATCGCGCGTCGATCTGGTGACGTCAGAATGGAATTTTAAACCTCCAGCTAGTTTTTTTTTTTAACCGACGATTAAATCCCGATTTAATCCCCGGTTATATTACTAGACCTTAAATTATTGAGAATTTAAAACCGCCATTTTGAAATCGGACGCAATAGAGAGAGAAGAAAACAAATCGAGGCTTTTTAGGTCGCGTCGAAAAATGGAACGGAACAGAATTTGCACGTACGTCACGTAACGCGACGTGCGTTACGATTTTCGGGTGAATCCAAGATGGCCGCCGCGTCGAGGAAGGAGGTTAGAAAATCGGGTCGCGCCCACGCCTTGGAATTACGAATTCGAGATCGACCGTCGATCGATTTCAGGATTTCGTTTAAGTTTCACCTGAGAATTTACCATATAATTGATAAACAGTCACTAAAGGGTTGGGAAAAAAATTCAGCCCGTTTAAAATCTTGCAAACTAACGCATAACCTTAAAGTGATATGAAAGGGTTATTCTATGCATATGAAAACCTGAAAATATTTATAAAACTCATTAAATTGTTCAGTGTGCTCAGTTTGGAGAATGGAATCTATAAAATTTCCACTTTTTTCTGGATATGTGATACTTTCATAACACCTTAAGGCATGAGGGTGCCTTCCGACGTGTGCATAACCTAACTTTTTAGAGATATGGGATCGATGGAAGCTATATAGAGGTCCGAGACGCGTAAAAACTGCGCCGAGCAACATCTCGTCATGATGTTTGGCACCCTGCCTCGAGGGGGATGTTAATCATACTTTTATGACGGCCAGAGGGCGCCACAGGCGGGCATTACGGCCCGGAATAGCCGCGGGATTTCTGCAATTAAAATCCCCTAGACCGCGTACATTCCGCCGTGGCTCCTCCAGTGGTTACTTTCCGCAGGATTCAGCCGCGTTTGCGGCCGAACCGCGCCGTTAAGACCGCGCGAGGGAATGTCGACCAGGGAGGGCTAAAAATACGAGCCCGAGAGCCAACGACTTCGCTTTTACTTTCGAACTTGACGGCATTAACTCCTTGAAAGCGAAACGCATAGTTGGGAACAAAGGCGCCCTTAGCGGTCATCCGCGGAACTATCCGGAGAAAAAGAGAATTTATTGCATCGAATGAAGAGTGGCGTTTCTAACTGTTCCGCAAAACGCATATCGGTCGGTTTTTCA